GTATCTGATCACCCCCATAATTGTGTGGGGAAGGCATTTGTCGACATGAAGCGTGAGTACTCGGTTTCAATCCATTTCGGTACTTCGCCTAAGATCTTGCTATACTTATGTTACTTTAGGTGCCTGACAGATTAGTGTTCCTGATCTCGTTCTCGATATAAAGTCATACAGAGGCGGCATGCCGCAGTCCTAAGGCATACCCTCACTGATCAATCCTTATCCCACTCCCATCATGGCACCAAAATTTTTGCGCGAGCTCATCCCGCGTAGAGAGAAGCGTGCGGCCTCTGGTAGCGTAGTGGTCGCTTTCAAGGATCTCTCGTGGGTGCAGTGGGTTCAGTTTTGGTCTGGGTCAGTACCCTCCTTAGCTTCGCGTCATCATCATCTTAACACGTGTTGCACTAGCTGGCTTGCCTGGACGTGCGACGCCATCGATTTCTTCGCAGTGTCACTCACAGTAAACCTCCTGGCAAAGCAATTTAACCAGTCGACAACTTCGATCGTGCGCTTTTTTGATCCTTCCTTCGCTACTTGTGCGCTAATGCACACCGCGGTCACAGACGACCGCTATAACGTTGACCCTTTTATTCCGACCTGCCGGCGCTGTGAGCATCATTCCCGCTGTCTATCGGTAACTAAACTTGACTTATCATTCCCTAGATTATTTTCGGTATCTTATCTGATCGATTTGGTCGCAAGTGGCCATTGGTGTTCAATCTCCTTCTCTGCTGTGTCTTTGAGCTTGCAACTGGCTTTGTCAACACATTTCCGCAATTCCTCGGCGTTCGTGCTATATTCGGTATCGCCATGGGTGGAATATGGGGACTTTCGTCGGCATCAGCTCTTGAGAACTTGCCTGTCGAACTTCGTGGGATTGGAAGTGGAGTTTTGCAGGAAGGCTATGCTGTTGGATACCTGCTCGCAGCTGTGATAAACTTGACCCTGGTAGCCCAACACGGATGGCGGGTCCTTTTCTGGACTGCATCAGGCATCAGCTTCTTTGCTGCAGTCATTCGTATGGTCGTCCCAGAGAGCGCGTTCTTCCTGCGTGCCAAAGAACAAGAGAGGGAGAGAGGGACCAATACCTCCCAGAAAACTAAAACCTTCATTAAAGAAACGAAGGCGATGCTCAAGCGTCACTGGCTCTTATGCATTTATGCTGTACTCTTAATGACAGGTGAGTATTCTCTTGTCTCTAACAATCGACATATTAACATTTCTGTGCAGGTTTCAACTTCTTGTCTCACGGTTCACAGGTAAGTGCATGAAAATTCGCCGGGCGGGCTCATAATGACACACGTTCAGGATTTGTATCCCACGTTCCTCGAGGATAGCAAGAGTTTTAGCACTCACGACGCCACTGTCGCGACCATTATTGGCAACTGTGTGAGTCTTATAAAATTACTCGTATGCAAGCTCTAAATGTGCACTAACAGGGTGCGGTTGCGTGAGTTGTCAATTGATTCTACATGCATTTCAGGTTCTGAGGGTCATACAGCGGTGGTGCTATTGCTGGAACAGTGAGCCAGTACATCGGACGCCGTCTGACGATTGTGTATGTGTATTCAATCAATGATGGTTTCATGACTTTGCTCAAATTTTATCAGAATTTTCATTCTTCTCGTTGGAGGTAAGCACTAATCCTGATGATATGGAATGAAAATCATGTTCTCTGGCAGCGTTCATTCCATTATGGGTTCTACCCACCTCATTTTCTGCCCTCTCTGCTGGGGCATTCTGTATCCAAGTCGGTGTTCAAGGCGCTTGGGGTGTCGTACGTCTTCTCCTACTCTTGTTGCGAATCCGACCTCAAAAATAAACGTATTAGATCCCGATCCAACTGGCTGAGATGTCTCCGCCAGCTTTCAGAGCAACATTTCCTGGTGTTGCTTACCAGATCGGCAACGTAGGTTGAATGAACATCATGCGATAGTTGTGGCTAATATATTCGCGGTAGATGATATCGGCAGCATCAGCTCAGATTGAAGCCAGTGAGTGGATAGTCACAATTTATTCCGTGAACAAAGTTCTTAATGTACATTAGCTGGTGCTGCCAACTTAAAGACAACGGTCATAAAGAACGGAGTTCCTACTCAGGAGCCAAATTATGCAACTGTAAGTAACAGAGTTCCACTACCACACAGTCTTATTCATCACTTGATCAGGTGCAAGCAATCTTCATTGGTGTCGTTTCTGCATTCGTAGTGATTATCACAATCATTGGGCCTGAGTAAGACTCGCGCGCCCACTTGGACCTACATACCCTTACCTTCTTTTAGAAACCACGGCTCACATTTCGAGAACCACAAGACTGCCTTCGAAGAAGGAGGCGGAAGAGATGATGCTGTGGCTGATAGCGCATCACAAACGTCATTTCGCGAAGGCAACTCGGAGAAGAACAGCGCTTAGGCTGCGTGAGCGCCTCGGCCCTCTGCCTCTGTATGATCATGATCGTAGTATTTATTTATCTACAGTTAATCATGTGTTTGAAACACAGAAACGACTTTGTGTACTATATTTACACGACCGTAACGCATCTCCGAGGCTCCAGTATATCTTTCCCATGTAAACATATACTTCATGACTACAGTAATTTTTATACCTTTGCAACCATTTGTGCACGTTGATTTCGGACTGCTTAGAATCTTACCATTTCCCCATTAGCCTTAGCAAAAAACATTGTATTGGCTGCATGTACTTGCTCAAAGCTGCCACATCATCACTCGAGAACATGATATCACATACTATCCGTTACGGTCTATTCGTGATGGACCTCTATTTCGTGAGTCACACTGGCCGAATTTAGGCAGACATTCGTGATTTGTGATTGATTCGGCGCGATTGATTAGGACGCTACTAGGAAATATGTGAGCTACAGTATGTACAGAGAATTATATGGAGCTAAATGCAAATCATTAATTATTGCTGAGGGAATGTACTAGTATGTAGATGTGGGTATTGATATATTGGTTGATTGTGAAGTTCGTGACTCGGATGTGGGGGTTGCACGAAAAATATGGTGGATATGGTGCAGAATACTGAAAACAGATGCATGTGAGATGACGGATGTATGATTCAGAAATGTGGTGGTGGTGAGTGTCCAGGCTGGGCAAAACTGGAGGTTGCAGTGAAATATTCTTGCAGGTGCCATTTGCAACATCCACGAGTGCAGCCTGGATCCTAGACTCATACTCGGGGTCGGCAGATGACACCAGCTTGCCTCGGTGACGCCCCATGGCGTGGCGATTGAATATTGAGCCCTGCTCAGCGCTCACCGGCACTTGCTCGCAGACTCTGACTGCAGCTGCCACGAAATGCGCTGTTCAATTTAATGTCCGACGTCGGCAGCCACGGCAGGTGACACTGATTCGCTGCTGTCACACTGAAAACGGGATCTCTGCCATTTCCCAACGGTTTTGTTTTGTTTCACTTGGAATATGTTAGTATAGTGTGTAGAACATACTCAGTAAAGTGACTCGACAATTACTTTAAAATTGAGTGCTGTAGACAAAAATCACGAAATGGTGGCCCGTCACGAACAGACCGTACTACGGATAGTATGTATGTGGCTGATTTTTCAGGAAAAATATATTAGCGTGCCAAACTGAGACTTGATGGTAAAAATTTGAAATGACCTTTGCATGCATTTATTTTGTGGGCCCTTTTGCAAGTTCTCATTTCAAACTTGACAACATGCAGTGCGCAGGGTCTATATAGCTCATCATCCAAGTGCCAACTGATCGGCTCAGCCTGGGTTTTTGTGCTGTTGCGGAGTAATCGAGGAAATATTTGGTGTTGTTTCAGTGGCCCATGATCTGTGCCATGGCCACCAGCTTGACAAATTAATGGGTCGATTTTAATGAACGAGTTTGCAACGCCCCCGGGTTACGTTGCAAAAACGTTGATGGCATCGATGGGCTTGATACTACTATCCCTTCCACTGCAATCGGCACCCCACAGAAGTCGGCACTTTCACAAAACTCGTATTTCTAGCTACTTAAACACAAAATTCTTAACATCTGTATCATTCTCTCTCTAATACAACTCATTACGAGGTTGAACGACCACGATTAAAGCAGAATTGAGTGAGATAGTCGAAAGTGCCGAAGTCACGCAGAAATGTCACCTGCCGATACATGCCATGACGGAGTTTCAAATTGCATGCCGACTGGTGCAGCGCTGCGCGTCCGCATTCGCAAGTTTAAGTTAGCAGCGGTAGACGAGGAAAGCTGCGAGCTTCGTCAGACCCGACATATGAGCCACGCATTCAGGTTTCAATTCAGAGAATTGCAAATGGGTTATACTGCAGCAAAAGAACAGAATGTGAGTCGTGTTTCGTCATGTTACAATGCACATGGTCTCCCTATATATCCACCTCGATTTTGCAACTACGGCACTAATAACAGTCGCCCTCGTACTTAGGTATATCTACTATTCAATACTATACTTGCTCATTCGAACGAATACTAATTGACCTTGCCCACTTGCGTGACTGCCGACTTCTGTGGCCCACCTGGGGTGCCGATTGCAGTGGAAGGGATAGTAGAGATAACCAAATTTCGGGCATAATTAAAGGCCAGAAGGCCCGGGCCCTATTGCCAATGTCACGTGACATAGTAAATTTCAAATACTGCAGGCCAAACACCTACCACCTGCCAGTGGGTGTTGATGTACCTGCCACCGCCATCTGGCCTTCCTACCCGAGTTTTTTAAGGAGAAATGAGAACTTCTGTCAGCTGATACATGATGCATACCCTCCAGGCCAAGATTGCAGGCCGACGATCTCGTGTTGAACTGTTTGCCCAATATCCCTTTCAGAGTTTTCGCTGACTTGGAATTATTATGAACCTACACTGTACAGCAATGCTGGCCTTACCACTCTGGCAGGCCTGCCATTTATTTAAGGCACGCTGGTGTGAAGGACAAGAATTCATCTACGAGTGGTCAGTCATCTCCCAATCAAGGGATAACCTGGAGGCCTTCCAACTTGGCAACGTCGAAGGCCAGATAGACCAGACACAATGCCATATCGTGGAGACATATTCTAGGTCTATCCCTCACCAACTGTAATGCCTCCTAGCCATGCGGTTCTTATAAAAGACCGGGAGGTACGATGACACCGCCATCTTCAAAGCTGGAATCTTTGGATATCCAAGTCCTTCAACTGTAGAGCATAACTGCATTGCCTGTACACTCGACTCACCCCGATGCTACCTCGGAAAAGGCACTCTGGCCAGTCCTTTGGGCAATCTTCATCCGTATGTCTCAGTTGACTTGCCTCCGCATGACAATACATATTCATATGTAATATGATAGTCATCGGCTGGAAGAAGCACTCCTCCTCCCTCACCTACTGCAAAGCAACGTCCAACTAAACGTCTCACGCTATCGAATGGAACAACAGCAGATCGTGTTCCGGCTCCGGGTCATTCATGCGATCATATAATTCCATTCTCTGATAATGGCAATCCTGGCGTGTCGGTCGGAAACATCTTGAATGGTAGATGTGTGTTGGACAGTCCAGAACCTAGTTTCAAGGCGGGGCCTCACAAAGTAGCCTTGCAGGTACACTCAATGCATGTTCTAATCCGATCAAGGTCTGATATTTAATTCGCAGTGGCCTGGTTATGATGATTCGGATCCCAGACACATCACAGTCAATCCGAATACCAAACAGGAACTCGCAGTTGCGGTGTGTACTGCAATGCATAAGTTTTACTCATCTGCATCAGTGAGTAATACCCTCAATAATCGGTTTTGGGCCAGAGCTAACCGAGTCCATAGAAAATGACGCCTTCGGTCAAATCTGACCCTTGGACCCTCTGTTCACGAGTCCGATTAAAAGATATCTTGCTCACGTCCATACATTTGGACGCAGCTGGTGTGTGGCTTCCGGAATTTTATGTACTGCGGTAGTGGTATTGTTGGATTCGTTGAGTCGAATTTACGCTTGTTACACATAAGTAATAATGTTACATAATGCGGCAGGACAATGGCATATACCTGCAGGTAGTGTTGTAGTGTAGGTTAATATAAGAAGATCATGATGCACAAAGGAGTTTGGCAGGTTCGAAAATCGAGGGCTCTACTGCTACTGTAACATGCGCGGACTCGGTGGCATCTTTTACAGGCAGCGATCGGTGGGCAGGGCTAGTTTGGGTACAGCACTGGGAAAGAAGTTGGCATCACCTTCAGAGCCTCACTAGCACTCCCGAGCCCCGCACTGCACCGTACAAGATAGCGAAGTACGACGTCGCTTTGTCGCTCACTCCCGCATATGCCCTTTTTTGGTAATTTGAAATTTAACACAGGTTCACGCCACAATATGCTCACTACCCAGTGCCCACTAGTGCACTAGTCGACGTCTAGATGTACAATGGGATGCGACCTCTGTATGTTCGTTGCAACAAACGGTCCTTATGTAACCAACAGTCGTCACCAAGGCTGACTAGGTTGACACGCGGTATTTTATATGCTAATATTGTTTTAGTCTGCCTCCACCCTGCAATTGTTGGAGACAGACATCGGGATTCGGTAAGCTGTCTCGGGAAACATATTGTTTTAATCTCTCATGCTATGTTCATTGAGTCTCGTGTTTATAGCTGTTGCAACGTACGGTCTACTACCATGAACCAGCTGTTCCCGATTATTGGACCACCCGCAGTTGGTGAGCTTTGGCTTAGGCCGTCAGACTCCATGAGGCGCATCATTACTCCAAGGACTAGGTTTTGCTGACTCGGATAGGCGCCAGATATCGACAGGTCTCACGTTGCGTTGCACGTGCATCAAAGACACTTTGCCAGTCTCAAAGTCTCCTAGTGACCCAATTACGCTTGATGACGCCGCCGTTTAACGGAAGGAAATTACGTTCATTGTGTTACGATGTGTGTCGTTGAGTGGTTAGTGTTTCGCTTTATGATTCACAATTTACTGGACAACTTTGAATGGTCGCTTTGCCGCCGGACAACTAGCGCTTCATAACGCGCACTGCTTTGTCGACCGTGTCGAAGCGATGAGCAGTATATAATACGCAGGTGCTTAGGATGGGCTCCTCACAAACAACTCAAACATCTAAGATTCTCCAGCGCAGAATTTCTATCCTAGCTTTATTCACTCTAGTATGGAATACATGCAGCCAAACCAAATGATTGTGAACTCTGGTGGAGCCGGGTCTCTTGGGGTAAGCCTCCATGTTCTTTCCGTATTTCCTCTTATGCAAAAATGACATTAGTACTATATTCGGAATGCCAATCCTTCCCCTCACCCCTCGATGGTGGGCGCCGAGATGCCACTATATTGGGAGTTGAGAGATGGAAGAATAGCGAAGCGTGTTCCACGCTCGCGAGAATTCACTCCTTCTCAGCAGAGCTTCCCCGGTATCACGTTTAGCGCTGATGGTTGGTACGGTGTACGCGTGAAAGATATTCTGAAGGGGACAGTCGTCGTTGATCGTCCGACTGACGCTGTATTCGCTCATCACGGCTGGCGAGAAACTACTCTGGCGATAAAGGTGAGCATAGCCTGTCTCTGATATGATAGTTTGTGTTTACCAATTCACGTAGTGGCCCGGATACCTACCCCCCAGATCTTCGGATGCATCTCGTCGGCGCTTTAAAGTACTGGATAATAACGTACCGATGACTCGTCAAGGTTTTGCCATAGAGATTGCCAGTCAGATTCGACATCTTGACGACCATGCAAGGGTATGTGTAATCTTGAGATTGACACAAAATTACTGACTCGTCGGTTATCAGGATAAGCCTGTTGCACATGGTTGGGAAGATTGGGCGTTCAGCAAAAACAACGTTCGTGCGTCGGACGTGTATATCCTATCAGCCCATTATTACAGGAATGCTTGGATCCCTGAGCTCTACGTCATTAATATGGAATAATGTTTTCCGGTAGCCTCCTTTCCCCTGTAGCCCTATAGCACGGACAACACTAGCACCCCCTATACGATTCACGACAGTCCATTGCATGCCTTGTGCCTACCTTAAAATATATTTAGTCAGTTTAATATCTATCCTTCTTATTACGATAGCTTCGCGCGAATGCATATCTTACCCTGTTTAAGTACAAAAATGGAAATTCAACTGCGCAATGCCCTGGTTTGTGATTGAGAAGCGAAGACTGGAACCTCGTGGGGTGTGATGTTGTATGATAGTCTCCACAACTGCCCTCTAAAGAAGAGACGATCAGCCATGAGACGACTAGTGTATTGGCAATTTGGTCCTCGAGGCTACACAGCATTTCAAGATACATATAACCACCACCTTGTGCGATAGTGGAAGATGATCCATCTCTTCTACCATCCCTTCGAGATACAAAACATTAACCTACCACATGAAAAATGGGCGCGTCAGTGTCCTCCCCCATGCAAGGTCTTCGGATCATTGCTGGCATCGTTTTTAGAATCGTCGAAGAAATTCGGTCATCAGAGATCTTCGAAAATCCCACTTTTACGAACCTTGCACATGCCAGAGACTCGCGCTCCCAAAGGCAAGCTAATAGGACACCAATGGCAGAATGGCAGGAAGAAGATCGTATTGATATAGATACGGGAGGAATCAGAGGGGAAATAGATGAGTTCCCAGCTACTCGAGCTCCACCCGTCACTGGGAGAAACGTCGAAGAATTTCACTCTGCACAAACAAATGTGTGGCAGAGGCCGAGCGAAGTGGGGATACATGCTTCAGAAGAAACCCCGCGCAGGCGTCTTTATGAAACACCAGAGCGTTGCGCCGCAGTACTCCAGATGAAGACGAAGGAAGAAGGCGTCTCGCCCACGAAGTCGGCCAATAAAGGCAAGAACGTATTCGTTGTCCGGTTGCATTTTGACTCAACTCGAGGGTGCAGCCGATATTACTATAACTGAAAATACCATAAATAGGAAGGAGGACCCGCAGACCCTGGAGAAACACAGCGCGTTCCAGCTCGTGAGCATCCCCAGTGAGGAGGAGATACAATTAGCGAAGCACAGAGTCCAATACCAAGAGGGACTATTCCATTTCGCAGCGACAGGAGTTTCTGGCGCAGGAAAGTCATCGCTGATCAACGCCTTTCGAGGCCTTCGAAATAGAGACGAGGGAGCAGCACTAACGGGTGTGGTTGAGACGACCGCAAATATCGCTAGATTCCCAGACCCAAACCCCAAAAATCCATTCGTTTGGTATGATGTCCCAGGGTCCGGCACGTTGAACATACCGGATTGGCAATATTTCACTGCACAGGGACTCTATGTTTTCGACTGCATTATCATCCTTTTCGACACCCGCTTTACAATGACCGACCTTGCTATGCTGGTCAATTGTCGGCGTTTGAACATTCCTACTTATATCGTGCGGTCGAAATCAGACTCACATATCAGAAACATCATCAAGGAGTCGGGTTACGACAGCGATGAAGATGAAGACCGCTCGCGTCGCAACGCATTGTATAGCTCCGCACGCGAGCAGTACATCGCTGAAACTCGCGCCACCGTCAAGTACAACCTTCAGGAGGCGAAGTTACCCGATCAGAGGGTGTACATTGTCGCCAACAGCACTATGGTCTCCACAGTGAGAGACCAGAAACTATCGGAGAAGACGATAGACGAACTAGAGTTGATGCGAGATCTCTTTAGGGAAGCTCAGTCAAGGCGTTGTGGTAAAGGTATCGATCGCTCATAGACATACAAAGTTTAAAGTCTGGAGCCCCGTCTGTTGTCCAATTGTGACAGTTGGTATGTGCCGCGTGTACGAGAAGTTACAAAAAGAGTGACGTAGTCCAGCTGGTGTCCTGTCCATCGGTGACCGATGCATCAGTGCCAATCGGGTTTGCCAGCAGAGCATCTTATATGTGAATTCAGGTACTATTACACCCTGATTGATTGACCCACATTGGTAGTTCTGCAATCGTATCAAGCACCAGTGATGTTTATGGATCTGGCCTGATTTTCATAGCTTCATAAAAGTGGTTGAAAGAACTATGACCAATTCGACGCAAGACAGCTGCAAGGTTCTGAAAACATCAGGTACCGGCGTGGGACGCAGTGGACGACGAGAGGGCGGACGAAAGCGTTATTCACGATGAGCGCGGAGTGGACAATATGGGGTTATCATATAACACCCGGAGGAAGCGAACAATGATTGGAGGAGTACGAAATAAGTACTTATCGTCATTCCGCAGTTCATTCTTGAATATTCAACGTTCGATATCAATATGGCATCACTAGGTGAGCTAGGCTTGATCCAGACGAGCTCGGTTTGTGGCTGAAATTTTATTCGGCGTAAGTCTGCACGCCGCAAGAGACTGTGCATTCCTACAAGCTGCGGTTACTTCGGAATCGGTGTGAAGGAGCGAGCGGGTGACGGAGTTGACCAAGTATTTCGGAGTCTTTAGACACGTGGGAATTACTGACGACCTCCGAGCCTGTACTAATCGACTTACTACTTTCTTCTTGAATCTTGACTAGCGGTGATTATGTGTGGAGCATCACATCAACAGCTTCTATATCGGACCTATCAATAAAATGGACCACTCAGTCGATACAGCTCCGTCTGTCATGGTACAAGCGACCAACGTCCACCCTAGGTATATATCAAGCCCTCCGCTGTGATCGTACGCGACAAGCTCGGTACAGATCCGACAAATTGTAACCCATAGAATCGCAGAATTCTATAAGCAAGACGCGGCGAACAAACCGTGACCAAATTCGAATCAGTAGATTGTTCGAACGGGTTCGAATTTGTTCAAGATGTGATGCCTATCGTTAACTGACATATGCATAGCTCATCGATGACTCTGTAGCAGGTGCTTTAAACGTCACTTGGAAGCAGAAATGTAATTCAATCAGTATGTAAAGGATTCATCCCCTTCCTTAGGATCATCTCGCGCTTACCTTGATTTGTTAGGCCCAGCGGTTGTCGTATCCTCGTCAGCATGTAATCTGAGATACAACGTTAAAAAGTTGAAATTACTGTTACGAAGCCGATCATGCAGGACTCCTGGGCCTGAGTCAACAATGAAGGTTTGATTTGAGTGATATCAGAAGCATCACTTTCTGTGGAGAATTACTTGATGCCGTGAAAAGAACCATATTAATGGCCGGGTTGCCCACTGGGTGCCTGAGGCTAAGGGGATACTGACCGTCCTCTCGCGAATATAAGCATACTTAATCTGATGCTGACCTTCTTTCGAGGTTAGACTATCTCTATCATGCCATCGAGATTTATTCGCGAGCTCATCCCGCGTCGCGAGGCTCGTACCTCTCTTGGTGGTGTAGTCGCTGCGCTCAAAAGTCTCACCTGGGTGCAGTGGGCTCAGTTCTGGTCTGGGTCAGTGTCCTACTTCCATTGCGCTTCATACTATCATCCTCATCACATCACAATAGCTGGTTTGCTTGGGCGTGCGACGCCATTGATTACGTCGCAGTATCGCTCACAGTACCGCGCTTGTCTACGCAATTTGGAAAGTCAACGAGTGCGATCGTACGCCCTTTCCTTTCTTTTGTTATTTGCGCCACTGATGCACGACTCAAACATGATTGAAGACGACCGCCTTAACATTGACGCTCTTATTACGATCAGTCGGCGCCGTAAGTGTCACACCTGCCACTATTCTCCACTAAACTTACCATTTCCTAGGTGATATTTGGTATGATATCTGACCGGTATGGTCGCAAGTGGCCCTTGGTCGTTAATCTCCTTATCTGCTGCGTCATTGAACTGGGAACTGGCTTTGTCGACACCTTTTCACAATTCCTCGCCCTTCGTGCCCTATTCGGTATCGCTATGGGTGGAATATGGGGACTTTCATCATCCTCGGCTCTTGAGAACTTACCTGTTGAGCTTCGCGGGCTTGCAAGTGGGATTTTGCAGGAAGGCTATATTGTCGGGTACATTTTTGCAGCTGTTGTAAACCTGACCTTGGTAGCTCAATACGGATGGCGGTCGCTTTTCTGGACCGGAGCAGGCATCACTTTTTTCGCCGCAGTCGTCCGTGCTCTTGTTCCTGAAAGTCCGTTCTTCTTGCATGTCAAGGAACAAGAGAAGGAGAAAGGGACCGATACATCGCAGAGTTTCCTCAGGAAAACAAAGGAGATGCTTAAGCATCACTGGCTCTTATGCATTTATGCGGTGCTCTTGATGTCAGGTCTGACTTTCATTTACTTGTCAACAACGAACATACCAACACCTCTCTGCAGGGCTTAATTTCTTGTCTCACGGTTCACAGGCATGCTCATATACCATGTATGAACATGCACTCGATAATGTCATGTCCATCTAGGATCTATTTCCCACGTACCTCCAGATCACCAAGGGCTTCAGTGCTCACGATGCCACTGTCGCGACCATTATTAGCAACTGCGTGAGTCTTGTAAACTTATCTGCTTGTCAAATCTCAACATGCCAAACAGGGAGCTTCTGTGTGAGTTCTTGGTTGGTTCTGCATGCAGCCAAAGCCCTGAGGGTCATACAGCGGCGGTGCCATGGGTGGATGGGGGAGCCAGTACATTGGACGCCGCCTGATGATCATGTATGTGCATTCAATAAATGATATTTCCATGGCTCCACTCACCTTCATTTGAGATGCTGTGTGCTTCTCGTCGGAGGTAAGCACCGATCCTAGTAATATAAAACGAGACTTATGTTCTCTCGCAGTGTTCATTCCATTATGGGTTCTGCCCTCGTCATTCTCTGCCCTCTCTGCTGGAGGATTCTGTGTTCAAGTTGGTGTTCAGGGCGCTTGGGGCGTTGTATGTGTTCGCCTAATCTCATTGTGAACTTGACTCACAACATAATTGTAGATCCCGATTCAACTGGCCGAGATGTCACCACCAGCATTCAGGGCGACTTTCCCTGGTGTCGTTTACCAGCTCGGCAATGTAGGTCGCGTGGACACGCACAATCAATCTAGCTAACATGTTCGTGGTAGATGGTTGCGGCAGCATCAGCACAAATTGAAGCCAGTGAGTAGATAGTCACATTCCCGCTCATAAATGAAGTTCTTAACTTAATCAGCTGGCGGCGACAACTTGAAGACAACTATCATGGAGAATGGAGTCCTTACAGTGGTCCCAGACTATGCAACGGCGAGTCACTGAAATTCCCTCCCGCACGGTCTCATTCATATTCCATCAGGTGCAAGCCATCTTCATTGGTTCGGTTGCTATATTCGTAATCGTTATCGCACTTATTGTGCCCGAGTAAGTTCTGCGCATGTCCTTGGACAGACAAATGCTCACATTCCCCTAGAAAACACGGTTCTCATTTCGACGACGCCGATGACACTGACGGGGAGGAGGCTACAGATCACAAATCACAAATGTCATCTCGTGAAGTGGACGAGAAGAGCAGCGCTTAGTATTTCATTACTTATCTATCACGAGACGAGATCATTATGTCCATTTGAATGAACGGGGTTTACCCTCAAGTTAATAACCTTTCCAGCGGTGCCGCTTGCTGCCAATGGTCCTGGCAACATCAGTCCGGCAGTCAATTGTGCGGAACCTCCACGTGAGCCTTATTTTTCTGAATAGTCTCTTATTCCATGTCGTTAGTTTGCTCAGTTGTCAACATGACAATTCAATTTTCGGAGCACCGCGTGAGTATAACTGTGACAGAGCAAGCTAGGGTCTGAAAGCTACAAGATAGTCGAGAAAAAATGATAGCAGTACAGCACCATTTTTGCTGGTAGAAAGCGCAAATGGCTCGGTATGATGAGGCAAGTGACTACCAAAAGTAGACACCACAAACAAGTGCAGTATGCGCAAGACGCCCGAAAAACCAAAACAGTGACTGTAACGATGAAAAACTTACATGAACTTGAGATGCAAACTTTATGGCCTGGGCGCAGAGGGAGGAGGCAAGGTACGTCATTTGGGCTCTCCCCTTAGCATTGGCCAGGCTTGCTCAAACTCAGTCAACAGCTGCGGGGTCTGTTACCAAAGCTTGATTTGGTGAGGCACTCCTGTCGGTAGATGGTTGCCATGAGCATCATGCGCTCACGCTCAGCAATACGTGCCCTCGGAGCAGCGATCTCATCTGCTTGTGCAAGATTAGCCTGGTCTTGAGCAGGAACTGCCTAAGCTGCTGATGAATGCTCTGCTGAAGACTGCGTGGTCCGAGGCGCGCTGCCGTTTGAGATGCATGCGCGGAGGATGGCCAATTTTGCTGGCTTGCAGCATGGCGCGCGCCGAGCGCGACTGATTGCTATGTGGTCTGTTGAGAATTGAGATGATCCTGCTTGGGATGATTGCTCAGCAGAAGTAGTGTTTTCGCTGCCCATAGCAGAAGGCCGACGAATGAGCAGGATAAGTGAGTCAAGAGACTGAACCTGAACTTTCAACTAGATATCGCAGCGCCTTGGGTTGGCGGAGGAGTGATAGGAACGGCTGTAGTTCTGTTGCCTAACTTGAGACCCGGGTGCCCTTGAAATATAATTATGTAAAGAAGACTTGGTATAGGCCCAAGTGAGCTCGATGTGCGAAGGGTACGACGAACTCGACGTTGAGAACAACGCCACCGCTCAGCTGGATGTCCGGTGCCGGGATATTCCGGCAAGCTACATTACCCGGCAGAGCTGATCATCAAGTATACTAGTACTGAATCAATTCACCGGTGATTCTATAACACCGCGACTCATTAGTACATTGAAGCTTGGAAGCTTGAAGGTTGGTTACATACTGTTGAAAGGCTTCGAAGACTCAACTCACTGCATCAGATTTAAGATTTAACTTTAATGTTGCGGATGCATTATAAACTTGAAGAGAAACCTTCTAGAATCTAGTACGCGGCGAAATGGACTCATATGCCAATCCGGCTCGCGAGGTGCGTCGGATGGCTCAGGCTGCCGTATTCATCTGTCAGACGAACTGATAATAGTGCCCGTTCAGTACCGCGAGCAGACGCTGTGGTACAATGTTCTGGAATCTGCAGCGGCGGACGGACTCGGGCTGAGCTGAGGTATCTTGCTCTTCCAAGTATCACACTTGGAGCCCTCAGTCAAGACTCCACGTACGTCCCCCCAGCTGACAGCATACCCGTCCATAGAGATGTTAATAATCTCGCCGTCTGCGCACTCATTACACTGCAGCACAGTTGATTTAATCTTGACTCGCAGCTCATCGACTATGTTCACTATTGCAGACGTCCCTCTTGCCTATCAAAAAGCAGTCGCTGTCGGATTTTACATGTGAGTGAGCCAGCGCTCGATGTTTGTTGGCTCGCCATCTAGATAGAAGGGCGGCGCAAGAGAAGGGAGAGATGAAGTGATATGCGAGATGAGTAAAGCTCGCAACACTTATCAAGCTAAAGGTCTTGGTAGTTGAAAATATTTGAGTGGTAGGTCAGACTGATCATTGCCTCTTTGCAATCATCAGGATTTCGTAATTTTATACAGAACCTGCACCATTTAGGCACTACAGGAGATACTGATATTGTACAATTACTCGGCAATCCACCCGTCCTGATAATCCGGAACGGTAAAGGACATCAGCCTTCTCTCTCGTACAACATTGATCTTGCCTAGTGGAAGTCGCTTGTGCCGGATCCATGACACATACCATAACGGATTCAAGCGAAACGAACATCCACTGACGCTGAAAAAACTATAAAGACTGACAATCTTGTAGGACTTATAGGTTCCTCATCTCGACATTCACAACATGAATCCGACGACTCCTATTATGTTTGCCACTGTCACCCACACGACCACTCCTGAATCCGAGCCCTCACAATTCATTTTACCCGACCTCATCAATGATTGCCACTATCCCTTCCAACAGAACCCTCACTGTGATGCAGCGTGCCGCGCATCTGTCCGATGGCTTATGGACGTGGCGCAAATTGTAGGGCCCGAGATCAGAGAGTATATTGACGTGGACGCAAACGGACTTGCTGTTGCTTGCTATCCTGATGCAGATGCTTTCCATCTCCAAGTCTGCTCTGACTTCTTGAACTGGTTGTTCATTACAGACGACTTGATGGAGTCCGGCGTTGTCGATGTACAGGAAGTACATGAATCCTGTGTTTCTGCATTCCGCGATCCCATCAATTTTGACACAGAACGGCTTGATGCAAAGATGTGCAAATCGTACGGCTATTTTTCCATCGCATACACTCTTTCTAAAAGTTGTTATGTGGCTAGGTATTTCAGTCGCTTTAAGGAGACTGCAGGTCCCGGCTGCACAGAGCGGTTTATCTACACAAGCGAGTTGTACTTCGCTGCTGTGGCCAAGCAGGTGGATGACCGTGCCAAAGGGCACGTGTATGATCTAGAATCTTGCATCGCCTTGAGGCGAGATACAGGCGGATTGAAGCCCTGCTTTAACCTCATCGAATTCGTAGCTCGAATTGATCTTCCCGACGAAGTTGTGTCGCATCCAGTTGTGAAGGCCTTGGAGGAAGCGACCAACGATCATGTTTGTTGGCACAACGTAAGTTTGTGCCGTCATTTAACACAGGGGCGGCGCTGACAGTACCGCCGACAGGATATGTTGTCATACAACAAGGAGCAATCTTGCGGTCACGCACCCTGGGAGAACATAGTTCCCGCGATCATGCACGAACGAGGACTGGACCTGCAAGGCGCCATGGACTACGCTGGTCAGATGTGCAAAGATGCCATCCAGCGCTTCGACTCCAACCGTGCTATCCTCCCCTCGTGGGGCGAAGAGGTTGACAGGCAGGTGGCTGTCTATATCAAAGGATTGCAGCACTGGATGATCGGCTCACTTCGCTGGCATTTTGATTGCGCTCGCTATGCTGTCCCGCCGGACCGAATCATCAAGCTCCTTCCCAAAAGACCCTACAAGTGTGGAGCTTAACACCTAGTGCATGGCTTCTGGAGGTGAGATCTGGTTCACTTCTTTCACGCACTGCGCTAATTCTTACGCCTAGAATGTTAGTACATGATTCACGTCTCACGCAGACCTGAAAGTTTTGAGTTGCATAATTATGTGACATTCCGCCTTCCTTGCTTTGTCCTTCGTAGTGTCAAGTTCTCATTCGGCTCCCTGCGCGTAACACTTCCTGTCCGTTTTCGTGTCACTAAGATATGTACATATAGAATAGTCTTGTATCCTTCTACAAATTGAAGATGCTCTTCGTGCCAGAGGCCCAGGACCGATTTGAAGACTAGCCTACTCACAAGTAGCTGGGAGAATAATGTATCGCTTACTTGGCGCCTTGTACTGTAGCAAAAAGTGTGATACACGAGTGACTTTAAGCTGCAGGTCCTGGTGATACATCACACCACTTGACTTTACAGTCCTCTTGATCATAGCAAGCAGCAACATCGACAGGGACGTCTGGATCCTACGGAGGATAAGCTGGAATTCTGGCTACAGGGTTGGCGCAATATTGCTTGAGGCCCATTTGTAGGTCGAGTGTCGGAGTGTAACGCGACGGAGGGCATCTCTGAGATGGCCGGTCCGGACCAAGTATGGCACCTCCAAGCGGAGTGTGAATGTTTCTGTGCCCGTCACTGCTTCTCACGCTTGCTCACTATGTGCAATAGCACCAAGGACTTACTTCCATAGACGTTGGGAGTCTTTTTGTTGCCATGTAATAGCAACATAGTAAGCTCATTTACACATTTCTATGTTGATCTTCGCTGGTTCTTGCGATGTGCTGGCCTTCTTAAGGATGACATCATCCAGCCTCAGCCGTATACAGCATCATGGCTGCCCGCCCTCCTCAATAACCAAAGATAAGCGGGCAGGGAGAGGGGCGGGTAAGGCGATGGGTGAGCAAGGAGGGTGGCGGGCAGAACATGAACATGCAGCATTCCAGCGAGGTGTTAGCCGGCGGCAGGCGCGTTGGCGGGATTGATTCCCATGGCCGTTCACAGACTGGCAAAATCTCTGCAGAAAGTGCGGGATTTGGCCAGTCTGCGTGAGGTCTATACAGACAAGTCACAGACTCATCATCTTCTCCCCGCCACGTTGCCCGCCGTGCCCACAGACAACATATCATCGACTGCAGCTCCACAGCTGCCAAATATTCCAGGTGCCATTCTGCAGATGTCATCAACCGGACTCGTCGTTGATTGCACCTACTGGTGCGTGACACAAGGGTGGCTGAACACTGTCCGGTTTTCACTGGGGGTGAGTAGCCACTGACGGGGGTAGCTGATGGGATCAGTGTCGCAGTGGCCGACGTAGATCGTGGCGGGAGTGATGATGTCAGAACAGATAACCCGGAACCTGCCGGCAAAACACACCCAGACGTGTTCCCCAGACTCTGCTCAGACGTGTCCCCCAGACTTTGAGGCGGAGTCTGCGCAGACTTAACAGAGACCGGCCATTTCCTACATGCCCTCAATCTCTGACACCCTGAGAACGGACCCGTCTGGCGGTGGGCGACGTCGAGAGATGACATTCAAGAAGCAGCGAGCCAAATTTAAGGAGGGGCGATCCGGTCCGGTGAAAGCGCCAGTGCATATATACCTGCTCCCTCACCTTTTCATGGTTTCCCGACAACAAGTCCCGTGTCGCAGTTCTGTTTGCGCATAGTGCCGTCCACTGAACTATTCACGATGTGGATGTTGTCATCCAAGAAAATAAAAGCCCGAATCTCTTGTTCATGTTCTTCAAATTCATGCTTCGGTGTTGATCCTTTGGCTTGCGCTGCGGTTGAAGCTTCCTTGCGGGTCCACCAAGGCGAGTTCTCTATGTCCTGCAAGTGGAAGACATGGATTCCGCAAGGCAGCGCCAATCGTCCATTTACAGATTCACGCCGCAACACAGCGGTTTGATCTTTGCAAACAATGGTCCCTAGTATTATGTTTCTGGTTGTCCTAGCATGGTGAATCGTGCTTCGATTCATATACTCCGAAGGCAATAATACATCTACCAGTAAGTATTACAGCTTCTCGCGTCTATCTGTGGTTTACCTCTGGCTCATGGCGCTTATTTCGGACTATGGAACGGGGCTTCCAAAATACCACTAGTCAGGCGCATCTTGAGTCCCTTCTCCGGAAACACCATAGTCAACACCTGCTGGAGTTCGAATGACTTGAAAGTCAAAACCGTGACACATTGTGTGGCGCGATCCGCAGTCATCCTGGCAACACTGCGTTTTCGCACTGATGGACGGCGTATTGGTTAGGCCATCTGTGGTCCATGCGACTTCAGCGAATATTCTCATACCATAATATTAACGATTATGTGTACCCTGGACCCTGGTTAGAGTCTAGCTCGTCCTGCACAGCACGAATTCGAAAAAAAATTCAGAGCGCTAGTTCTGAGAAATATTCCGATGGTTGAATGCTGCCAGTGCGAACCCTTGTCTTCCTCTAGTATTCATGTAAGATAGTGTTCACCTGGGTTTACTCATGCTCCTGATCGTTCGAAGCCTGAATTGATTAATCTTGGAGAGTCTCGACATGCGGTGAGCACCAATATTGAATAAAAGGCCAGTTCTTCGTCTGACATGACTTTCACTTTGATTCATCGAATCACATCACCATCATGGCTTTCGGGGAGTCCCTAGCCAGACTATATGAAGGAAGATTGGGCTGTTCTCCTTCCCACAGTCTAGCTAGGGGAGACTCGTTCTTTCTCGATTATAGGGTGTCTAGCCGGGCCTTGATGCATTCCGAATGTTGTCACTAGTAGATCCTGGCATCGCAAGTTGATCGTATCATATTGCTACGCAATTGTCAAGAAAGAAGAATGGGTTCCGTCACATCCGTGGTCTATATCAAGTCTATGTAGGCCATGGGCAATGCCCAGTAGAGGTGAGGACATGACCTAGGGCAAGCAGTGGTTCAATTACTACAGCCCTGATCAAGAATCGAATTTCAAAAACTTAAGGCATCGTGCATATGCATGACCTGGCAGGTTGCATGCGGTGCGGTGCGGCCGCATAGGTTATCCACGTTGCCGAACTGAAGCACAACAGTGTTGAGCCCGAGACATGTCGCATACTTACCGCCTACTATTTCAGGATCAGGTACCTGCATGCAGCAACCAGAACTACCAGTCGCTCAGAGCCTCCGTAAGCTTCTTTCTGATAAACACTTCCTAGATCTGAGACTCGTCTAGATTCTGGCAATGTATAGTCACTATAGTGTGACTCATCGGATTTCGAGTGAACTTAATATCGATCGGTCACTACGAGGGCAGCCCTGGGCATAGCCGGGCTGTATCAACAATAGGTAACATGATTTATGTCTGAAAAGAGATTTTTTGTAAATTCCAGCTATGCAGTTATATTTACAGTAAATTTGTTTTTCGCTAAAGTAGATTTGCACATGCAGGACCGCAGGTTACTGCAAATTCATTGAGAAAGGTTTAATGCAGAGCTACCACGCTCATCCTCGATAATTTTTTTGTAAGAAGGGTGTATTATTGTTAGTTGGACGTTTCTAGATCAGTGTAGCAATGTCAACAAGGCTGCAGCCAACGTGCAAGCACCAGGCGTATCCAAAGCTAGGCAGGACCGAGATATCATAGACTAGGGAATGTGTTTTACCGTTCATACGTACTTCCCAAAGAAAGGTATTAGTGATTGCGCGAGGGTATAACTGAAGACCAGCTTCGGCCCAACGACAAGGATCTACATTCACAAGTCATTAGCACGAAGTTGAACTAGGATAAAGACTAATCACTTTTGGGGTCAAGCCCTTGAAGAACGCTGTAGGGCCTTCATTTCGGATAAGGTCCCTCACGACCGTTAGGCCAGGCACCTTCTGCTCGAAGTTTGCATTTTGGATACGAGTCTTGACCGTGTCTAGGGGTGCTGCAATTGTGATGGACGCGACAGCTCCTGCAATAGATGCGATGAAGTTCTGGGTCCACGTGGCTTTGGAATAGTCAGTGACACCAAGCGCATACTCCTTCGTCACCGCCGAAGCGCCGAAGAGCTGAAACAGAGGTTCAGCACGATGGATCTGGCCACCGTAGTAGACTTACCGCAAAGGAACCTGGCGCATTTCGGGCCATGGTCCAACCCCATCCACGGTATAGGGTGGTGCCTTCCTCCATGAATATCCGAAGGACTCCTCGTCCACGGAACGCCTCGGGGTTGACTTGTCGTTTTATCTTCAAGGCATCTAGAGGAAGTAGAACCTGACAGAACGTCACTACCCAGTCAGAAAGCTAGGGCGAAAAATGACCCACAACTTCACCAATACCAGTCAAGCTGCGCGGAACAATCAGCACATTGCATTTACCACGTGAAAATACATATTTACCTGCCAGCAGTTGCCTGCATCATCATCTTGCCCTTCCTCTCGCCAAATACGCTCGTGAACTCGTTCTTGTAATTTCGCGTGATGATCTCATTGAACCATGGTTGTCCACCGAACTTGTATATCCGTTGCGAAATTTTGTACCCTGCTGCATACCCAAGACCGGGGAATAGAGACAGAAGCTTTTTAGGCAACGAAGCCGTGGCGTAGTCGCGGAACACGATCGGGGAAAGCGTTGAGAAGGATACCTGGATGTCAAAAGGTGGTCAACAAATTGCAACAAACGAGTTTTACAATAATAACGTACTTTGGCTTTATTGCTCATAAGCCGTTTTGCTACTGTGTCAACTGGATGAAATACCAGCAACTCAGCGACACCTAGTGGCCATGATACAGTAAGTTACTTCGTTATTAGCATTACGGACCGAAACCGAAGTACAAACCAGATGCACCAGACCCCAGAACCCGGGCAGTCCCTGACTCTTTGCTTTTCCCAGAAGTTGGAGGAGACATTATAATATTTAGCGAGGGTCTGGTAGACGAGAAGGGAGATCGTAGAAGTGCGCTAGTACTACTACTGTACGACCCGTCACCTGCTTAAACTTGTACCGCGCCATATATGTTTAGACTTATTTGTCCACTGATAACAAATGGCGAAATATGGTACAATAGCACTGGATTTATGGGCCAAATTGACCTAAATTTGAACGTCATAGAGAGTCTGGACTCTGGACTCTGAACAGTCCCAGACTCGGACCCGACGGCCTACCGAAGTCTAAGCTTCTACTGTCACCGTGTCCCACATTCCGTCAATGGGTTCTCATCGGAATGAAGGGCCTGGGTACATGCTGGTCTCGTGATCTCTTGACGACCTATATGGTCAATTCTCAGAACACGATTTTGGAATCACTCGCGTCGTAAGCCTTTTGTTTCTCAGCTCTACATTACCACCATGTTCAGCAAGAGAAGGGCTTTCAGCACCCTCTGTTTCGCGCTCGCAGCTGGCGCAACAACCCAAACGTTCCTTGGTTTAGACACTCCCAACTATGGAACTTCAAGGCAGCTCATGAAGTCGTTCACACAGTCTTTCACAGCGCCTTACGACGAAGGGTTGTTCATGCCTGTCGAGCAGCTCGGTGCACTCTCAGAGGCACAATTTACCACCCTCGGCCACCCTTTATTCCCGAACCATAGTGTTCGGATTAAAAAGTCTTCTGATTTCTGTGATGGAACTGTGAAGTGAGTATAGTATAGTCTGCAGATGTTTAGGACTGATACGATAACGCGTCTAAACCTCAGTGCTTACACGGGGTACATCGATATCCAGGCCAGGCATCTATTCTTTTACTTTTTCGAGAGTAGGAATGATCCTGCCAAAGACGATGTGATCTTTTGGACCAATGGTGGTGAGTTTTACTGTAGACAGAGTTCTGTTGCGATTCATACAACGCGTTTGACAGGTCCCGGGTGTTCCTCCAGCCTTGGTGTCTACGTGGAACTAGGACCTTGTCGAGTGGTAAACGACACTAGCACGGTGTTCCATCCCGAGTCCTGGAACTCTAATGCGAATATCTTCTTCGTGGATCAGCCAATTGGTGTTGGTTTCTCGTACGCAGACTATGGAGAGACTGTGGTAGGTCGAATCCCCATCGCATGAAACTACACTAGTAACCATCTGGCAAGAGCACTACTGAGGAAGCTTCGAAAGATATCGCTGCATTTGTCGCGATTTTCTTCGAAAACTTCACTCAGTTCAAAGGACGTGCGTTTCACATGGCTGGAGAGTCTTATGGAGTACGTATGGTTCATACTGTTCCGGCGTGAAGAAAGATTAATCGGGAAACTGAAGGGACGTTACGTCCCAGTCTTCGCTGCTGCAGTCTACGATCAGAATGCATTGTTGACTGCGGCTGGTGTTACGCCAATCAACCTTCAGTCTATCATGATCGGTAACTATCCGCACCAAAAACAATTTCATCAACTGATCTTATCCCACGTGCAGGCAACGGTTTGACCGACTTTTACACAATGACCGCGGCCTATGTAGAAATGCAATGCACTGGCGCATCGGTCTCCCCTGTGCAGAGCATCTCGTATGTGAATTCCGACATCAACATTTATTGACTGACGCATCTTCCAGTGCCTGTAATCGTATGAAACAAGCGGTTCGATGCCTTCATACAGATGACATCGATGGAAGCTGACCTACTTTCTATAGCTCCCTCGATGCCAAAAGTGGTTGACAGATTCATGCATCAACCAATTCGATTTAATGAACTGTGAAGCGGCTTCAAACTTCTGTGATACTGAGATATCAGATCCTTTTTTCTCGACCGGTAGGTTTAATGATTTCCCCCGTCTACATACACATATTCATATTACGGTAGGCATGAATCCCTACGATCTCAGCAAGGCCTGTGATGGACCTATCGCGGAGACGTTATGTTACCCCATTACGCTGTGAGCCGACAGTCTTTTCGTGCAATCAGCCTAGCTAACTTTAGGCTAGGTCTATGGCAAACTTCCTTGACCAACCATCCGTGCGTCAGAAACTCGGCGTGGATCCCGCTGTGACAGGAAACTATAGCTCCTGCAGTGATCCCGTTGGACAGGCTTTCTCGTTGACTATGGATGAGTACCACCCAACCTACCCTCACGTTGCCGCACTTCTTGAGCGCGGCGTGCGCGCATTGATATATGTGGGATCATATGACTGGATCTGCAACTGGCTTGGTAACCAGGCGTGGACGCTCAACATGGAGTGGAGCGGCAAAGAAGCGTTTGGGCAGCAACCCCTCGAGTCTTGGCTGGTTGATGGAAAAGTCGCTGGAAAGACTAGGAGTGCGAACGGACTCACGTTTGCTACTGTGGATGGTGCAGGCCATATGGTCAGTGTCAAGCTCATACTCAACTTCATTGCAATGCTGACTCAAAGTGACAGGTCCCGCTCGACAAACCCAAAGAAGCACTCACCATGGTACAACGTTGGTTGGCTGGGAGTGGCTTATAGGTATTCACACAGACACCTATTTATATCCGTGGTTCCCCTTAAAACCTGAAAGCACATACATGTTAAGCTATAACGCCCGATGCTACGAACACAATTCTGACCGTGCATCTAACAAAGACGTATACGAATCAGTGAGGAATCGGAGCAAGTGCATGAGAGTGTCTGACGACGATAAACAGTGATCATGATGTTGGTCATGGTTTCAGATGCTTACTTGTCTTCGGATGGAGCTCGACGATCGCAGTTTAATTTCGAAAATGCCGAGTCACAATTTGAATCGCGTTTTTTTTTTAGTTGTCTTGCGGGATTTGTACTTAAACAGTCTGACTTTCACTGACGTGGGCGGCTTGTGCACTCAGTACCACGTCAGATCCGACTGACCGCATTGTTCTACAATCTAGCCACGGATAAGATGCACCGGAAGCGATCTGAAAAGATGACCCCTGTCACGGTACAAAAAATGATCAGGACTGACAAGTAGCGCGCGTTCTTCAATCGATGATATGATCTAAAGGACGCGGTAGCGGTATTACTCCAGAGTTTGAAGAACGTGTAGGTTGCTCGATGTCATGATATTTACTGATTGGCCGGGGACGATTACGCGGAGCATCATATACTATTGAGGCACTCGCAGAACAAACATGACACTCAATCTGGATGATATAAAATTATATTTGAATCGTGTGGCGTAATGTACATAAGCGAGAAAAATTATCAAGCACCTGCAAGATAGGCGTGATCAGCAATCAAAGTAAATAGATGAGATGAGATAAGAGGAAAAAGGTAAAGTCTCAGAACAAAATCCTCCGGTCATGCCTGCTTGTCGAGCAGGTCGTATTCATTAAAATCAGTATATTTTTTAAAATCATAGACAGCTTGCATGTGCGCAGTATAAAGGACAAAAATGAAAGACTCACGTTGTGTAGGAATCAAAATTACAGAAAGACGGATATGAATTTGGATGTCCCAGAGAAAAATCGACATGCCACGGCCTCAAGATGGCACCGCGACACTTCCTATAGTGGGTTCGTTCTCGAAGGTAAACAAAGACTCGTAGAGTCCATGGCACTGTGTCGACAGTGGAAATTCTGCAAAACGACCAGCGTGGCAAGCCTTCTTGGGTGAACACAAAGAAATGACATTGTTTATATAGAGTATTTCAAGCGGAGCCCGAAATTAAACGAAACCCGTTTTTTCTCCGACTCAGGGGCCTGAGTCGCCTGACTGACATACTCCCGGACGCCATGCCAATTACACTTGAAGGGAGCTGCCATTGCGGTACTGTGCGATTTACAGTGAAAAGCAGCACCCCTGTCCCATATCAGGTGAGCGTACCCCACAACTTAAACCTCTACCATCTTTCGTGACTTGTGGACATTGAAAGCTATGTGTATGTTCCATTTGCCGCAAAGTAGGTGGTGTTGGCGGTTCGATCAATCTTGGTGCACATTCAAAAACCTTGATCATCACCAAAGGTAAAGAATGCATCGGGTACGTAGTTCAGTCATGTAACTTCCCGTGCCTCCTTGCTGAGTACGAGAATAAGAGTGTATAAGGCTGTGATGGACAGGGATACTCCAAAAGAACATATCGAAATGTCTGAGCGCAATTTCTGCATGAAATGCTCTTCTATGCTATGGCTTTATGACGAAACTTGGTGGGCGCTTGAGTGATATCTGTGTATCGAATTTTTCTCAAGGTATTTCGACATAAAGGCCTGAATTTTTGCATCCATTTGCATCAGTTATCGACTCGCCGGAACTGGAGGCACCTGATGAGCTTGTAAGTGTTATTAGCACTCAAGTGCGGTCTCTCTGATGCATGAATTTCAAAGGTTGTTCTTAAGCTGGATTCAAAGCCTACCTATGTGCGCCTTCCAGAGGGAAGGAAGAATGTGTTCAAGGATTATCCCAGTGATTCCATTGAGAGCTGGCACAAGAAGCACAAGAAGTACGTGGAATGAAATACTAACTTTGTGAAAGAGTGGAATTATGTGTGATCAACCCTGGAAAGGAGACTACTGACGAATTGGCCGGACAACTGGACTTAAGTAGCACTTGCGTTCCGCGTATTGTAAACCATCAGCCGCAGAGCTCTAGTAGAGTCGTGATTTATGAATGAATTTTTTATTGACCACATAAGCTCAGGTACTTAAGGCACGCGTTATTTCTCTTCAATTTATTCATCTTCGTCCTGACAGCGTACAGGATCTGTAAAGTCAACAGTTTGCTGCGGTTATCTTTGGTCATCAGGAAAAATATTACTGATATCATATTTTGCGATGGTAAATCTTTCGCCGCATCTATTTGGACTGGACGGATCCTTTCCTCAATCAGTCGATGTAGAATTTCACCCGTGGCGTACTTCCTCCATTGTATGCTCAGTCCCTCAGCTTATGATTTCTAGACACCATACATGATGCACCACAAGATCCTCGCTGTTGTTGCAGCTTTCAAATTGACAGTGTCTATGCCAGCTGTCCTTACACCTGCTATACAAGATCTTGCTGCCCTGGCTATACATGCCAGAGCACGAGTAGTTGTTATCTGACCCCATGGCTTATCGGCATGGTAGACCGCATTCATTTATCTGTATTGATGAGCGAACCACTGAGCTACAGTGAGTCGTGTTTTCGTTCTCGCCTTGGTGCAGTCGCGGTGTGGTTGATGACACGATTCGAACATGTAAGCAGTTCTGCTCGGCTGTCACCGTGAACAAATTTCACCCTGTTCGAGCCAAGTTCGAGCATTCATGAAGGCATCAAATTAGAGGAACATCTCAAACACTTGACTGCATAAAACGTGACTGAAGTACTCATGACGCGCTATCGTCGTCTCGTTGCAAGTGAATCTCCGGAGGGAGTCTGTATAACTTGAATCAATGTAATCCCGGGCCTTGGCCTCTCAGATCTCAACGCTAGCTCCCAAATTTTGTTGACGGTTATTGTTGTGCCATTCTCCGTAATAGGCCAACCGCACATGTCCTCTCAGATGACTTTTCGTTGCTCTATAATCTTCTATGCTTTCGAAAATCTGACACCCAATCATCTTCCTAACACATCGTTCGCTCGAACGACCCCGAGCTCGAATGCAGCGCTACGCACATATATAACAAATGATAGATTACTAACTGTACATTCCATATCGTATGCCACAGTGTCTCTGGCATCTCCGCCAAATAGTTGACCGGGACGAGGCTATCGTAATGAAGAGCTATGAAGATCGAATTAATTGGCTGTGAGGAATGGAAAACACTGGAGACTCACTCCTTGTAGCAGTCCTGCCAGTGTGTGCCATGTGCCATGCGACTTAAATCAAGCTCAACACCTCTGGGTATCGCAAATGTGGTCCGAGGATTATATCTGAGTGCCTTTTGAGAAGCGGGTGGTACCCAGAATAAGAGCCGACGATTGGGTCCCATTATCCATCCATCTTCTCGGAGCACAAATGTGTGGTCGTCATAGGAGGTGCCCGTGAGTAGCTCAGCGGTGTCGCGCAGTGAATGAGTAAGATTTGATGAGTAGGAAATGAAGGCATCGTTTGCAGTGTTAGATGTGGGGATGGCCGCTGTTGGATCTGGAATGTAACTGCCGTGCGGGGGAAATGCTGAACAGTCTTCTTCGGCATGCTTTTGCAGCGACTTTCCAATCACAGCGTACCACACTCGGACACTTCCATCCCACGAAGAAGAAATGATGCGAGTCTCATCCCGCGAGACAAAGACTGAGTTGACCCCCGCAGTGTGCCCCCGCAAGGGCTGACCGACTGGCTGCCCTGTTGCTACATCCCACAGCCGGATAGTCTTATCTTCTGAACCAGTTACAATGCGACTTCCACCTGGTGAGAATGAGACCGACCAAACCATGTCAGTGTGTCCCTCCAAGAGCTCTCCAATAGGCTTCCCAGCTACTGCATCCCACAGCCGGACTGTCATATCGTCCGAACCAGAAACGATGCGAGTCCCGTCGGGAGAGAATGAGACCGAGCGAACATCACTAGTGTGCCCAAGGAAGGGCTCACCCACTAACTGCCCCGTCCCTGCGTTCCACAAGCGGACAGTCTCATCCCTAGAACCAGTCACGATGCGAGTTCCGTCCGGCGAGAATGAAACTGACCAAACCAAATCAGTGTGCCCCTCCAAGGGCTCACCAACTGGCTTCCCCGTTCCTGCATCCCACAACCGGACTGTCTTATCATCCGAACCAGAAACGATGCGAGTCCCATCCAGAGAGAATGAGACCGAGTTAACCTCACCAGTGTGCCCGCGGAAAGGTTCACCCACTAACTGTCCCGTCCCTGCGTCCCACAACCGGACAGTACAATCTTGCGAACCAGTCGCGATGCGAGTCCCATCCGGAGAGAATGAGACTGAGCGGACATAACCAGCGTGCCCCAACAAGGGCTCTCCAGCTGGACAACTTGTCGCTGCATCAAACAGCTGAACAGTGCCATCATTCGAACCAGTGGCGAAGCGGGTCCCATCCGGCGATAGCGAGACCGAGATAATGAAAGTGGAATTGGTGTGCCCTCGCAAAGACTCACCAGCTGGCTTCCCTGTAGATGCATCCCACAGTCGGACAGTGAAATCCACAGAACCGGTCGCGATGCGAGTCCCATCCGGAGAGAACGAGACTGAGTAGATAGAATAAGTGTGCCCTAGTAAGGGCTCACCCACTGGCTTCCCTGTTGCTGAATCCCACAACCGGACAGTATGATCGTCCGAACCTGTCACAATGCGAGTTCCGTCTGGCGAGAACGAAACTGACCTCACCCAATCAGTGTGCCCCTCCATGGGCTCATGGACAGGCTTCCCCGTGGCCACATCCCACAGCCGGACAGTCAGATCCCTTGAACCAGAGACGATGCGAGTCCCATCCGGAGAGAACAAAACTGACATGATCTCACCAGTGTGCCCCAGCAAGGGCTCACCGACAGGCTCCCCCGTTCCTGCATTCCACAGCCAGAGAGATTGATCGAACGAACCAGAAACGATGTGTTTCCCATCCGGAGAGAATGAGACTGATGTGACCAATTTAGTGTGCCCTTTCAAGGGCTCACCAACCGGCTGCCGCGTTGCTGCATCCCATAGCCGGAGAGTCTTATCGTATGAACCTGAAACGATGCGAGTTCCGTTCGGCGAGAACGCAACTGAGTTTACCGACCAAGTATGCCCTGATAAGGGTTCACCGATGGCTTGCCACGTTGCTACATCCCACAACCGGACGGTGTTATCGACCGAGCCAGACGCGATGCGTGTCCCATCCGGCGAGAATGAAACTGAAGTAACTGAGTCGGTGTGCCCGAGTAAGGGCTGGCCTACTGGCTGCCCCGTTGCTGCATCCCATAACCGCACAGTGCAATCACTCGATCCAGTCGCAATGCGAGTCCCATCTGGCGAGAACGAGACTGAGTTAACATAACCAGTGTGTCCGCTGATCACAGTCAGAACAGCCGTCCAGTTGGTATCACGTCCAGATGCTACGCGAAGAGAGTTTGGAAACCGTGCAGAAAATGTTCTGGATAGTGCAGAGTTGAGGGGAGAGAATGGAAGTGCTGATACATAGAGATGAGGTGTGCTGTGCAAGATCATGCCGCCGAAGACCTGAATGAATCTCTGCACGTCCATTGCAGCGGACGAGACATCTTCGTATCCGGTGCGACCCTGTAATTGCGATTGCGCATTGATGAGTATGTTATCCGACGCTCAATAACCGTGTGCTCACCTTCAACCACTTGGCAATGAGCGGAAGGGCGGGGACTACGCCGCTGAGCGCATTGATGAAGCAGAGTACTTCGAGCCAGAAGAACAGTCGCTCATGGTCGAAGAATGATTTTATTTCTTTGGCGAGTTCTGGATCGAAGTCAGCTGCCTGTACATGTGTGGGCCAGAATCGGCAGGTATAGGATAGATGTTGGGGAATGCATTTTTTGACTCGTTCTGGCAGATCAGAATCTTCAGAGTTAGGGAGATAGGATGACTTGAAATCGCAGATATTGAAGGAGAGTTCATCTTTCATCACTCCAAGTGATGCGAAAGCAAGGTCTCGTTGAACGTTCGGTACGTCGACGAAGAACTCTCCACTGTGTGATTGGTCTGTCAGGAAGTCGCGAAAGGATGCATGAAGAGGTCGGATTGGGGTGGATGAGCTGGTGGTGCCGCTAAGGAGGGATCCCATATGTTCCACTATGACCTCCACTTTGTAACGCTCGCTTTCATCTGGAAAATGGCTTCGCACGGTATTCAGGGAATTCAATGAGAGGGGTTCGGCTGTGCCAAGAATTTGTCCCATCACGGAACGAAACATCGCTAACTGTGTTTGCTGAGACTTGGGATCTGTGTGTCTATCCTTTGGTATGATCCGCTTCAAAATTAAGTCATACATATCGTACAACAAGTGCCCCCGTTCGACGCCATCGCGGGACACGACGACATTGAAGAACTGAACAGAAGATGAGCCGAGAGGAGGTGCTTCGATGTATTTGCAAGCAAGACGTGCCCACTCGAAAAGACCGTCAGCTTTCTTGGCGAGGGCTGTAAACTCTTTGCTCCCAAAATCCGAAAGCCCTTCTAATTTCTCCGATATGTAAGTGCAGATATCGCGTTCTGTAACTTCTAGTGGAATATCGTCCATAGAAATCCTTCGAATGTGCTGAGCACCTGCAAACGAATTCTGAACGTCGCGAAGCGGGCGGGAGGTGACTATGATCCGGAAGTTCTTTGGGAGTTTCGTGATATGTGTGATGGTTGGGTCTCGAAGTTTACCGGAAAGAATGCGAAGAAGGTCGCTACGCGTCTCCACTGCCTCGCCGCTTTCGTCCAGTGCGTCGATAACGATCACGACGGGCCCTGCCGGTGACTCAGAAAGCTTCCCTAACGGTTCTATAAGAAGCTTCTGCCACTGCTGTACGACATCCGGTGTAGTCTTGAGCGCAGTTTGGTTCTTGACTGCATGCGCCAACGCTCGTCTCATCTCCGGATGACGGTCAGCCAGGTCTCGCGCGATAGTGGAGAAAACCTTCTTGTGGCGATCCTCCGTGTTTCGGTCAAAGCAGTAACAAGCACCGAGTCCGCCAACCCCGATGAACGAGCTGGCGATCGTGTGAGCAATGGCCGATTTACCCGTTCCGGCAGGTCCGGATAGCCATAGCACGCGTGGAACATCGTCTCCGCTGTCGTTGATCCAACCCATGATGTCGGAGAGAATGTCTGTGCGCGTCTCTCCCAGGCATCGCTTCCTAGTATCTAGTCCTGCGGCCTCCGCATAAGCCATCCCACTGAATTCCAGTATTTCGCCTGTTGAAGTATGAAAGGATGTCGAGTCAGAAGAAAATAAAATACTTACTTGTATCGTGAATATAGGTGGCCACATCGCGAGTGACTTGGTCGCGGAAGTTTTGCATGAGCGCATCCAACACATCGTTATACTGTCGTATCGTATCGTTTGTTTCCGAGACGATGTTCTTTCCGAGTCTCTCCCCTGTGATAAGAATGAAAATCTGCCAAGGGTAACGACTTGTTGGAGACTCACAAAAGCTTTTCTTCTCTGAATAATCCCTGATGAAATTGGCGCATTCTAGGGTCTGCTGAGAGATCTGTCCCAAGACGTCCCTCATCGACGAAATCTTGAGAAGCGCGTCGTCTTGCGTTATGAAGCCATACACTTGACCCAACTTCTTGTAGAGGTCAAGCACTGCTTCGTCACGATTCGCTTGAGCAAGGATTATCTGCGTGCAGAACAAGTGAGCAGGAAATCCGAATAACGGTAAGAAAAACGTACTTTGGATGCGCAAGAAAGCACGCCCAACGCCATCTTTGCATACGGATGCACCTGCAGAACGTTATTAGTCTAGTTCTAAAGAGGAAGGGAGAGAACATACCTCTGCTATCGTCCCGATCACAGTGTCGAATATCCTGAGGGGTTGAAGATAAGTGGTCCCAAAGCTGTCTATGCTGTCGAGCGCTGCCGGTCCCTTTTTGCCTGCAGATAATACGGGCCTCGCATATCCCCCAATTTGTTTCATCTGATCTGCACCATGACCAGCATCCTGAAGTGCCTTGTTCACAGATTGGGGATCGGCGCCTTGTTGCACAACAGTAGAAGCATCCTGAACCCGGTACAGCCAGTAGAAGTTAGACAGAGAGCACTCAGAGCAGACATCGGAATGTCACCTACCTGAACGGCGTCGCGGATGCGTGAATCGTTGAACTTTGAGCGCTTGTGTAAGACATCAGCCTTATCCCCGGACTGAGTATTGATTTCGACTTACGGAAATCTTTTTGACAACGCCATTCTTAACCTTGCCCAGCAAGCGACAAATTTTGCCACGGGGTCGGCCCTGGAGAAAGGATGGGTCGTCATTGAGTTTCAACTTCATGAACATGAACTACTTACCCGGGGCTCAGCAGTATGTGTTTTGTTAGGTGTCTCGATATCTGGATGAGGAACTGACATGGACTCGGGGTTCCCCAATTGAATTGGGTTGTCCATGGTGAATAGTTGATCAAAGTAGTGTAAGACAAGAAGTTGGAGAAAGGGTGGGCGCTAGCCTCGAAGGCAATGTTTGCTGCTATGTTGACTTCAGGCGCTAAGCATTGAGTGGGCGCCACGGAACTCTGCCAGGAAATGAAAGGAAGAATAAATCGAAGATTTGTTGATCGGGCTATATATACTCGAATACCGTACCAATCGACTGGAAAGTTGAAGGAAGGAAGATGATCTCAGGTCCTTGATACGAGTCAGCCAGTCTTTCACGCCTAGAAATTGTACGACCGTTCAGTCCTCAGATAAAATGTATCCATACGACGTTCAATTCTTCCACCATGCCCGATGGTCCGATGCGAGAAGCGGACTGTAGTGCACAGACTTTTCGACCTGGCAATGGTGGCATACTTTCGATGGCCCAACTTTTGAATTTTGAATTTCAACTACTAATTTGTCAAGTCACGTGGTGCGACGCGTCCCACCTGGCACGTGAGCTTGATACTACGCGTTTCTATTCCCAGGGTTGAACAACTTACGTCTGTTGTACCGATCTGCAAATACTTACTTCGCACCTTTATTGAAGACGACGACCACCGCGAGATACGTGTCAACGATGGCATCTACACCTGCCCCCAGCAAGCTCACACGATCAGTACCTTTCACGCCTAAACGTCCGCTTTCCTTTGCATCCAGCAGTGAACTCCCCTCTGCGATTAAGACTAGTAGCGTTCTTGGTTCGACAGCAAAGAAATTTAAGGCAGCTCTATCTTCTGAGTCCCGACTGCGGACCACTGCTGCAGCCAAGTCGTCTCTTGCAGCCGTGCCTGCAACTCCAGCCAAGAAGTCCTTCGAAGGAACTCGCCCTCGCACCCCTGGAACGCCTAGGAGTCAGACTCCAACCTCCCATGCTACCACGAGTGATATGGATGTTAGTCGGATTGATCCAGAAGATGCACTAGTCGATTTCCAGACCGTCGAGCCCGGTGATGTTTCCGCAGACATCGATGAGGCCACTATCCTTGGACCCAATTACGGAAAAGAAGACAAGGTTCTTGTATCTATAAGGTGATTTTGCTCCTCTGGCTTATTCTTGACACACTGATATCATTCCAATATACAGAATCCGCCCTACCACCTCTGCGCATGCCGCATGGGATCATAGCGCACAACGCACCATAAAGCTTTTCCCTCAATACGCAAAGTCAACTGCCACCACACCACCAGAGTTTAATTTTGACGAAGTCATCACTGGTTCCGAGAATAGGCCGGTCTACAATGCTGTTGCTCGCGGCCATGTCTGCGCTGCCATGGATGGCTACAATTCTATTATTTTCGCTTATGGCCAAACAGCCAGCGGGAAAACATTCACTCTTGTGAGACGCGCCTTTGCATCCACTTTCGAATTTTCTCATAGTTTCATTTAGTCTGGAACCGAAGATCAACCGGGCATAATACCGTGTGCAATGAAGGATGTGTTTGGTTACATCCGCCGCACACCCACTCGTGAATATCTTCTTCGGTGTTCTTATCTCGAAATTTACAATGAAACGATATATGACCTACTCGCGCCACCTTCAATGTCTGCCGCTCAGCCCGTTCAAATTCAGGGTTCGGGTATTCTAGTACCACTTCGAGAAGAAGTCGTGACAAGCTTGAAGAGCGTCAAAGAAGTCCTTGAGCGAGGAGAAAGGAACAGAAGAACGGCTAGCACAGACTGGAATGAGCGGAGTAGTCGCAGCCACAGCGTATTCCGACTTGTAGTGGAGAGCAGAGAAAGGGGAGAGAAAAGGAGCGAGACACCAAGCGGCCGTCAAACTCCCGGCACGCGCCCACCGACACCTGGCGGTCCTCGATTACAGACCATCGGAGGAAGAAGCGTGCAGACTTCGGTGCTGGTGGGTTTCATTTCTCTTTTCGGTCTCAGTGGGGTCATTGAATATTTGGAAATCATCATCCAGAGCCTGATTGATCTTGCTGGTTCCGAAAAAGCTACTTCGGATAAAGAGAGAACCAGGGAGGGAAAGTACATCAACACCAGCTTGTTGACACTTGGGAGCGTCATTGGCACTCTTGCAGAGAACGCTGCGAAGAATAAAAAGTCAGAGGCGTCATCCTCTGCTATACTTGGAATAATTGAACTGTCTTTCTCAGTGACCACGTACCTTATCGTAACTCCAAGTTAACACGGCTGCTTCAGCCTTCACTATCAGGAGATGCTCGAATCTCTGTCATATGCACCATCAATCCCGATGCAACTGCCGTGGCAGAAAGCACGAGTACGCTTTTATTTGCTCAGAGGATTAAACGAGTGCAGGTTCGTCGTATCCTTCCTGTGTATTGCTCCCAGGATGTTGATTTCCTGTACTCCTAGCTTAATGCGAAGAAGAAAGAGATTGTCGATACTGATGCTTTGATAGAACGATACAGGAAAGAGATTGAGGAGCTCAAGAATAAACTTTCAGAACGAGAAGCAGACGCGCCTGCTCGAACTCGCAGGCTCTCAGCACGCGAGGTAATATCGGCCTCCCGCTACATAATTCTCAGACTGATTTTTGACACAGCAAATCGATGAATCAAAAGCGATGAAGGATCTTAATTCTAGAATCCAGCAGCTTACGAAGCTCATTTTGACATCTCAAACGGTTGATGAAAGTAAAGGAGACGAATCACGTCCCGCCAGCCCATCCAAAGTTGATTTCGATATGTCACCATACCAGGTTTGTACGCTCGATAATGTTAGACCGTCCTATTTAGTTGAATATTGGCGATTCATGACAGCTCCAACAAGAACTTCTCGCGACTCGCCTTCAACTCGAGTCACAGTCGAGTCAAATCCTTTCCCTAGAAGCCGCTCTCCTTTCTCGCCCAGAACTTCCACCGGATGCTTCAGAGACCGAAAAAGACAAGCTCATTGCTGAGCAAGCGAAGACGATCCGTGAGCTTGAAATCGTAGTGTGTGGGTATGAGGACAATCTTGGGGAGCCTCTGAGAGCCGTCAGAGAGGATGTTGAGAAGGAGTGGGTTGGTAAGCTTGAAGAAGAGGTAAAAAAGCGAGAAGAAAAGGAGGCTTGGGCAGCCGAACTTGTCAGGCAGCTGGATAAAGAAAAGAAGGTCAGTTTATGCATGTTGATATGTTTTCTTTTATGGTGCTAAGAACCGAGTACAGCTAAGGATAAAGCTTGAGGAGGAACGTCGTGCTCTTGCATCTTTCGTCAGCAAATTCGATTCGCTGGGCCTTGGCTTTAGCAGCGCACTGCCTTCAAAACTCAAGCCTGCAAAACCAACGCCGGGAGGTGCATCAGCGACATTCGCTGAGCGTCAACAAAGTCGAGCCGCAAATGTGGCGCCTGCAATCATCGAAGATGCAGAATGCTCTCCCGCCCGCGTTGATTTTAGCAGTTTGAGGGCGCAGCCAAGTCTTTTGGATCAAATGCCCGAGGAGGATTGGTGTATCATGGACGATGTAAGTTTCGAGATGGAGTCTGTAAGGCATAAGTCCGCAGTGACGAGGTCGGAGAATCCAGACAAGAATGTTTTGTCAAGCAAGGAGAACATACCATTGTAACTTTTATTAACCATCTTCTCCGGATCACTTGTACATCTCATCTTGTTTTATATAATATGTTTTCACTTCCATTTCTGTAGCACTGGCAATTCATGGATAACTGGGTTATTCTTGCCCCGTTTTTTTATCAAGGGGTTCTCTCTCCTGTATCTGACGCTGAAATTTCTCAGAACCTTTTCTGTATAGTATTTTACTTGATCTATGGAGAATATATTATATTAGACGAGGAAGTTCTCCTTAGATCCCTCCCCTGATGAAGTCTGCATGTGCAACATGAGTTACTGTGAAAGTCTCACTCGTCCACAGATGAGTAGACGTGAAAAAGAATCATTGAACAAAGCCATTTATTCCATTGCCTTTCGATCTGTGGCCTAAATGTATACATCGAAACTTAATTGCATCGACAGACGGAAGAGTCGCGTGACAGTCAATTGGCTATATAAATACAGAGATGCAGAATCATGAGTAATGAGAAAGGAATTTATGAGATGCAAGCAGGACCCGGAAAAAGAAAAGAGATCTATGCACAAACAAAATCTAACGTGGTATGGAGCAAGTGAAATAAAAAATGCAGGGTATCCTCTATAGCCTTTCCACAAACTGACACGCATCCTTGAGCTGCTGTGATGTTTGTTCGATCTATAAAATCGAGTGTTAATGGATTGTGTTTCGTGATGGTATCAACCGCTTACGTTTTCGGGAGTGAAAGGTGCGAAATGGTCACCGGGAATCGCCCAAGTCTTTACAGGGGACTGTGTGAGAGCTTCCCATTCGCCAACGACGGCAGTTTCGCTTCCACGGTATTGCAACCAGTGAGGAACGTCCAAACCCGCGGGAGCATACCCCTCAGACGAGCGAAGGAAGGCTACCGGAATGTCAAGTTTTTCGAGAGATGGTTTGTAGACAGAAAGGAGTCGCGTGCTTTCTTTGAATTGTTCCCCAATGAGACTTATGGTTGCTGAGTCAATTCCTTGGGAGTGCGAACTCGTGACGTGGTCTATCACAGATGATGAAAGGGGCACGTGTTTGCCAGGACAAGGAACGTCGATGAGGACGATGCCGCGGACGCGGACGCCATTCCGAATGAGCCTCTTAGCGGCTTCGAAGGCCACAACGCCACCAAATGACCATCCTGTATTGCGCCGTCAGTGATATCCTGGTGAAAAACAATAATGACCGCTTACCGCCAATGATGATCTGCTTTGTTTTCTCAGCCAGAACGGCGTTGGTGTAGGATTCTGCTATCTGCTCAACACTCTCCCATTTTCCACCGGTAATAAGACTGGGGTTGGAGAGACCATAGACATCCCGCTGCATCGGCGTCAAACGGCTATAATGATTGATCAAGCCACTACCATCGTGGATCAGAAGCAGCGGGGCAGCGCTTTCGTCTTTGCCGGATTGGAGTCGTGACATGCGAGCATCAAACGATGCGGGTTGCAATGTTCTCGCCGACGATCTTCCCGAGGACTTCTTCGGAGAAGAGGATTTATCGAGAAAAGCATTCAAGGATGCGATTGAGGAGTGAGATTCGAATGCATCGTGTGGGAGGTCGATATTGAGGTCGGTTTTGAGCGCATGCAGAGCCTCTAATGAACTGAGGGAGTCAAGGCCGAGCGATTTGAAGTCGGAGTCATCTTCTACATCGGAAACCGGAAGGCCAAGCACCTCCGCGATAATACCTCTCATGCGGATGCTTCTGTCACCACCAGACACTGTTTCTGTCGTCTCAGCTGCTTGCGGTTGGGATCTTTCCACAGACTTCTGGGAGGATCTTTCTACGGATTTCTCAGAGGGGCTGGATTTATCGAGAAAAGAGCTCAAGGATGCGATTGAGGAAAACGGCTCGAATGCATCGTGAGGAAGGTCGATATTGGCTTCGGTTTTGAGAGCGTGCAGAGCCTCTAATGAACTGAGGGAGTCGAGGCCGAGGGATTTGAAGTCAGAGTCATCTTCTATATCGGAAACCGGAAGGCCAAGTACCCCTGCGATGACATCTCTGATGCGGGCGCGTCTGTCATCACCGGACACTGTTACTGTCGATGCAACGGATCTAGCAGGCGATGCCTGGGATTTTACCGACGACTTCTTGGGGGAAGGTGATTTATCGAGGAGAGCGGTCAAGGATGCGATCGTGGAATGGGACTCGAATGCGTCGTGAGGAAGGTCAGCGTTAAGCTCGGTCTTGAGCGCGTGTAGAGCTTCTAATGAACTGAGGGAGTCAAGGCCGAGCGATTTGAAGTCGGAATGATCTTGTATATCGCCACTAGGAAGGCCGAGAACCTGCGCAATGATATCTTTGACGCGGACGCTAACGTCATCCTCAGACACTAGAGTTTCCGGCGAAGATGGCCTGCTCGAATCACTTGTCTGCACATCGCTGGTTGAGTCGGTCCGATTGCGTGACTGCGCAGGGACAGCGTCTGCTGCCATCTTCAAAGCTAGAGCAAGACCTTTCATGCGCACACGCTTGAATTGGATACCTCTCATAAGCGCAACAACACGGCGAGGCTCTTGGTCTTGGACAGCAAAAGCCTCAGCGACAAAGACATTCTCAAAGGACGTCCACGACCCGCGGCAATGGAAAGTGTATGTTTGCTGGTGATCAATGAACTCGGACAGCATCTGGAATGATCCGACGTCGCTGCAGATATAAGCATCACCAACAGCGCCTTGCGTATTCGCTAGGAATCCAACAGAGTGGAGGAGGGTGTCGGCAAAGACGGGATGAGCGGCAAAGGAGTGTCGTGGGGCATCTGGAAGCTTGACCTGCGCTACACCATCCATTCCATTCGCGCTGGCAGTCAGAGACTGGATGGTGTGGTACTTTGCGGAGTATTCGACAACACGGGGGAAGACGACTTCGTATAGGGTTCGGGTGTTGTACACCTCTGCTTGACCTTCCTTCCGTGAACCAACCTCCGAAACACTAAGTTTGGGCATGAGGCTGAATTCGTTGTCGAGATTAGCACCGATCTCCTTGGTGGATTGGAAGCGTATCTCTCCGTGGACGTGAGCCGATTCATCCGAAGAAGACTGCAGTCTGGATGTCACAGTGAAAGAACCAGTACCATCCTCCTGAATGGTGACGTGCGTACGAACCACGCGGTTGACTTGGGGATGGTAGACAAGCGGTTTCGCAAAAGTGACGTTCTTGAGGACAGCGAAGCTCTTCCCGAAATCGAAGTTGCGGTGGCGGCGTGAAAGATCTGCACCAGAAATGACTTGTTCAAGGTAGATTGATGCCGGGCATAGGTAGTGCCCTGCAACCTTGTGTCCTTCGATGAACGGACCGAGAACTTCAATGGGAGTGTCGAAACTGGCCGAGTTGCCGTTCTCGTGCGATGGGTACTGCACCCACCATCCAAGCATGGTGTATTCAGATATCATATCAGCTTTCGGAATGGTCGGTTGTGGAGGCGCGCTTCGTGTTGGTGCTGGGGTTCGTGCAGGTGCTGCGCTTCGTACTGGTGCAGGTGCAGGTGCTATGGCCTTTTGCGGCGCTGCGCTTCGTGCTGGTGCCACGGCTTTAGCTGACGCAGTAGGTTCGTAGGAAGGTTCTTTGTATGGCACCCAAATCTTGTTCCTCTCAAGCGGGTATGGTGGCAGATCAGCGCAGTTCGCTGGGGACAGCTCCGAGAAGACATTCCGCCAGTTCAAGGGAGCACTTGTTCTGTAGAGCTGGGACAGGCTGGATGTGAGAGTAGCGTTGTCGTTCTTGCTCAACGAAGGCAATAGCGCCGCTTCGGTGGGAGCAGATGCACAAGCGCGTATCATCAACAAGCATGACGCTTGGGGTCCCATCTCGATCCAGGCATCTACCTTTGGAAGCGAGGGGTGCTTGCACAGGACATCAATAGTTGGGGCGAAAAGGACGGGCTGGCGGAAATGCGAGGAGAAATAGGTTGCGTCGAAGGTAGAACTGTCTCCTGCGGGAACAAGTCGGCCAAGAACGGTGGAACCGACGGACACCTTTGGTGAAGACAAGGGTACGGTGCGTGCCAACTGGGTAAGCTCATCCAGAACTGGGTCCATTGCTTTGCTGTGATATCCATAAGGAACGTCCAACAGACGGGCTTTGGATCCTGTATTCGCCAACTCCTTTGTCAGAGCTTGCAGCTGAGGCAGTGCGCCAGAAACGACACAGGCACGATCACTGTTGACGCAAGCGACAGAGAGATCCGGGTATGAACCAGATTTCAGAACGGTATTGATCTGCTGCTCCCCGAGCCTGACAGCCAACATGCCTGTTGCACCTGGCACACAACCGCGCCATGTGAGGCGAGCGCGTGATGCGACCAAAAACAAGGCTGCCTCGAGCGAGAGGACCTCGGCAATGACCAGAGCAGCGTATTCACCGAGACTGGTAAGATAATATTAGACATCGACCAGTCATGTATGGGAATAAATTCTCACCTGTGCCCAACAACTGTGGCAGGCGTCAAACCCCAATGTATCCACACAGTCGCCAACGCGACTTCTAGCGCCATCGTAGAAGTTTGAGATGCTTCGAACTCTTCCATTTCATCCGACCCACTATCCGCGGCCCCTCCGATGATGCTTGGAAGGATACCCGCAAAGCCTTTAGACACGAGGTAACGGTGACATCTGTCGATGCAGCGCTGGAAGACCGGAGAGCTCGAATAGAGGAGCTTCCCCATGCCACGATAATAGCTGCCTTGTCCAGAGAACACAAAGACGACTTGACCGAACTCTCCCTCGACATGAGACACCTCAGCGCTCGCAAGAGCCTGGACGAGCTGATCCTTGCCCCCCACATCAATTGAAATTCTGAAAGGGTACAGCTGTCGTCTTGCGGTGGCGGTATATGCGATGTCGCTGATGGGGATCCAGCGATTTCTGGCGTCGTGAAGCCAGTCGAAGTAGCGGAGGCGGAGAGTTTCGAGAACCTCGCGAGTCTTGGCAGAGATACCAAAGACGTAAGATGTACCACTCGCTGGGGCTTTTGCTTGCTTTTTATATTCTTCCACTATGAGTGCTCCGTTTGAACCTGATGCTCCGAAGTTGTTGAGCAGCGCCATGCGGGGCGTCGATCCGCGCACCCATGGTGTGGGGACCGTGTCGATGACTGTATGATCCTGTGTTAGCGGCGTGATACGTGGGTTCAATATCTTGAGGGAGATTTGAGCGGGAATCGTCTCGTGTTGGAACATGAGCAAAAGTTTGGCAAGTCCAGCGGCGCCAGAAGCAGCTTCCAAATGACCGATGTTGGCTTTGATCGAAGTGACATGAAGGGGGTTTGCGCTATCGCGAGCACGGCAAAGAACAGCACGGATACTCTGGAGTTCAGCGAAATCTCCAGCCTGGGTACCAGTACCGTGCGCTTCTACGACACTGATGCGCGATGCATCGATGCCGGAGTTCTTCAAGAGCCTGTTCATGAGAGAAACCTGGGAAGGTACGTGCGGGTGTGTGATTGAATGTGCCAGCCCACTCTGATTGAGATCAATGGCGCGGATGACACCGAGAATGTCGTCGTTCTCTGCAACTGCGTCTGAAAGACGCTTGAGGACGAAGAGAGAGCATCCCTCTGATCGAGAGTAGCCGTCGGCCGATGCATCAAAAGATTTGCACTGGCCGGTCGGGCTGAGGAAATGCCCATGATCTAAGCCGATAAACATCTGGCAGGGGATAATCCGTTGAGGGATTGATATGCAGAACCCAAAAGTCTAGCTTACATCTGGACTCGACATAACATTAACTCCGCCTGCAATTGCAGCACTGCAGTCCCCATTCACAAGTGAACGGCAGGCTTGATGGATGGCAACGATTGACGACGAACAAGCAGTATCAAGCGTCATGGAAGGGCCGCCAAGCTGCATCGCGTACGATATGCGGCCACTAAGGAAAGCCTTGAGGGTTCCTTGAATATGTGTCAGAATAAGTAATGCATAGAGAAGAAAAAAGGTTGCATACCTGTGCTGTAATGCACGTCAATATCCTCCCGTAAATTGTCTGCATAATCATGGGTAGCAGTACCGATGAAACAACCAACGTGATCGCGCTGGAAAGACGGGGTAGCATCCGCAACATAACCAGCACTCTCAAGGGCATCGTGAGCGGTGTGCAGAAGCAGTCTTTGCTGTGGATCCATGCTCTTCGCTTCTCTGGGCGATACCTTGAAGAATTTGTAGTCGAACTCGTCAGGACAATCTATGAAATTTGCGGTATGAGCCTTCATCCCCCGGCCGCTTTTAGCGCTAGCGGACGTGTAGCGCTCTAATTCGAACCGGTCTGCTGGAATCTGCAATAGGAAAAGTTTAATGTGCGAAACACCGTGAGACACAAAAATAACATGCCTCAGAAATGGTATTAATTCCTCGCTCGAGAAGTTCCCAAAGCTCGTTTGCATTTCTTGCACCACCAGGCAAGCGAAGCGCCATTCCAACAATTGCGATCGGCTCTTGTTTGAAGTTCCCCGTCGGACCACCGGTGCTGCTGGAATCAGAAACAGCCGCGTCCGTGAAAGTAGCTTTCTTGGTCGAGAGAGTTTTCTCCAGCATTCGGAGAAGACCAGAGCTAGGGCCGAAGTTTAATACTTGTGGGGGAACATTGGCCGGTACCGCACTACTGAGCCCCTGTACCACGGACAGCCAGTCTGAAGGAGACACGATTATCATGTCAAGGACTGCGTCCACAAGAGAGGAGTGCTCAGAACTCGGCAACACAGGCTGCCCAGATACGGTCGAAAATACAGGATATTTGAGGTCGGAGAAATCAGGGAAGTGGATGGAATGTTTCCCGACATCAGCCAAGACTTGGGCGTGGACATTGTGGAGGACGTGCGCATGGTATAAAGCATCTACAGTTGTTGGATGAATGGTGCAAGATTTGGAAATTGAGATTGAGGACGAGAAACGTTGTAGGATATCAGGGCGACCCGAAACGGTGACGTGTTGTGTATCTAAAATGGCCGTCAGGTGGAGGGAAGAATTGCAATCGTTCTGATAGTCCTCGTTCAGCTTTTTTTTAATATCACCGATGTGCAACAGTATCTCACCTTGGCTTCGAAATCAGAGATAAAGCCCAAGACATCGGCTTTACTCAAGCCGACACAAACGATGGTCCAAGGGAGTCCTGTGTCAGGGAAGCCTACAGCAGATTGAAGCTCCTTGTTTCTATACTGCATAGACCGGACGCCGATCCAAAATGCTAGGCGGAACGCCTCTACTGCATGCGACATGAAGGTAAGGATACTGTTGGAGGCTCCTACCACGCATGCAGTGATGATACCAGACGAGAAGCCGGTCACCCCAAGACTGTGATCGGCGTTATCTGCAAAAGTACTACGGCCATTAGGTTCCGTTGGGGAACCCGAGAAATGAGCGAGATATCTCAGAGCTTGGAAGAGAAAGAGGGAGGTGCTGGAAATGACGGAATTGTTCAGGTAAAGGCTCGAAGATGATAGAAGGGAGGTGGCGTCCTGGAAATCGTCCAGGGAAATGCGAGTTTCGTTGAGCTCATCAGCTGTTAGCTTCAACACCTCTGCGTGGAAGGCCTCGTGACATGAAGCCAAAAGTAATTGGCCAGATGGTGAGCGAATGTCACGGAGGGCCTGCTGAAGAGCCAAAGCTAGGGCAGCGGGTGAAGACCCTTGACCAGGAAACAAAGGTACGACCACAGTTGGGGAAGTTTGGATTGACATTGTAAAAAGGGGTTGGAGGGATATGGTATACCTTTGTAAGAAGGAAGCGGGTCAATAAAATAGGAAGATGGGTTGAATGAGGCTAATCACCTTTGCAAAGTAGAACAAGGGTGCTCGACGAATTGTAGGGATGAAACGCACTATGTCTGCCTGTTAAATAGTAGAGGGTACAGTGTTAGGTACAGGCTGAGTTGCCGGGGTAGTCGCAGGACCTAAAGTTTAAAATAGAGTGGGTAGGTCAAATGGTGCAAAGTTTGAGTATGAAAGGCTTGGGAAAGGACATCCGAGTGAGTGGATTGAGAAGAAACAGCTGCTATATTCACATTGGACGAAGAGGAAGGGGACCAACCTGTGATGACCTCCGCGGTCTCTCCCATTCCTTGACAGAATGTCCTATTCCGAAGATGCGTTACATAATTAGTAACTCTGAAACGCCGTGCTACTAGAGATGTCTTGTTTGAATCTAGCAGGTACTATGTGGCGTATTTACTATCACCAGCTGCAGAGCATCAGTTTGACCTTGATCGACATGACGTGAGTAGGCTATACAGCGCTCCAAGATGCAAGGGTAGTAAGTTTGTGACAAGGGCGTTTGAAGTGTGACCAGGGACTTGTCCGTGTTAACGGTTAGAAGAATGGGCTGAGGAAGTTGGACAGGCTTCGGATGGTTCTGAATGACGATCAAGTGACCGAGGGAATTTTCCGGTGACTAAGGGCGCGATTATAGACGCAACTTAATAAGAATTTGATAAGGATCGACAGTTTCTGTCATGAGACATATCGTTAATTTGGTTCCTGAAGAAGGGTCATCGCTTGCTCGTACCTCACCGCCTTCATTTTATTCAATATTATAAAAGAAATACGATACAAAAACCTATCGAAGAGGGACTTGGGCGAGCTGAAAAATAAGTTGATAAAGGCTCGGCGTGCAAGTTTGTATGAGATGAGATTAGATGAGATGAGATGAGATGACAGCGTGGGTCCATAATCAGGAAATTCTCCGACTTGTTGTTTTGGCATTTTAACGGACAGCGTGAGTGAAGATGACAACTGAATTTTCTATAGTTACTATCTGGGCTGTGAGACCGATATTATAAACTCTTAACCTCAGCATACGGGTCTAAATGACAGCGTGTGTCTGGTCTTTTCGATATAGAATCACTACTCCACAAGTGAGCACCGGAGTCGTGGGAAATATATACCTCTCCTATCTGGCAATGAGTTACCGATAAATGTGGTGTCACGCGCACGGTCACTAAGTCGACATGTTTATTTCTCTGCAGCTGATTGCAAAATTATGCGCAAACCCAAAAGTTGAACGTGCGGTCCGAATTAGGACCCCGTAAACATTAAGCTTCACATACCCGGAGCATACCACCACGGCGGCCACCCACACAGAGTCTCCCTAGATTTAAAAGTTCGCATACTTGTCTTGGATCGATGCGCACATTCTGTCGCAAGCATCTGCCATTTACTCGATGTCGCTACAGCGGGAATTACGAGCACGGCGGCCCTGGTGCGTATCTGTACTTGCACTTCTTGGCACCCTGCATACTGACAAGCTACATTACAGCTACAATCAAGGGTATCTCTACTTGCGCCCTCGAGAATGACGCGTGACGTGTCATCTTCATGAACCATTCGGACCCGGAAATGTTGATATTCGGTGTTGAAACTACGAAAGATGAAAGGACATTGATAATCTCCTCGATTCGGAAACTGATGTTCGAAAATTGAATCAAGGTTCGCTTCATTTACAGCTCAGGACCAGTCAAAGTGTATCGTTTCTTCTCAGAGACCCCTTTGACTTCACTTCCCCGACTTTGGCTCTGCTGTTGCTTTCTGTCGAGTGATTGATGATTTACACCTCACACTGTCAGAGGTATTTCTGGGTAACTCATATCCTGGTCTCATGTGCTTACGGGGTCCTACCTAGGACATTTCCGAGACGCTGTTCATAATTTTGCAATCAGCTCTAATTTTTATTTAGATATTGGCCACGATATAATGATATTGCACCCGTGTAGTCTAACAGCGAGTGGCAGTCTGTTGAGCGCTCCAGCATCCGTGTTTTAGCATACTGTGTAATTTGTGTGCGTCCGCATCATTAGGGAGACGTCGTTTCACTTGCGAGCTCTCAGTATCAGTCCATATTAAAGTTCATGTGACTGTGCCCGCTTTTCGAAACTCAAATTTAAAAGGATCTAGCCAATTAGGCTAGCGTGCTCTTGAATTCTTCGATAAGACATTCCCCATGATGTGAAAACGGTCAGCAGACTCCATACGAAGATTGTTGCAATGCTCTACTTTAAATAACTTTCTCCGATTTCTTATGGCGGAGTCTGCGCTTTCAGATAACCAATCTACTGCTACAGGAAGCTCGGTAACGAAACAGTTGCGACCAAGACCGTTGAATTCAGATGAAACAGACAGAGTCGGATCATCCATCCCTGGATGAAAACAGACTCTGGTCAAACTTAGTACCAGCTTCTTGAGAAGAATTCCGTATGTCGACGTCGACCGGAGCCTTGGCCAGGCTAACTTGAGAGCAATATCAATGGCTACATATGGCTAGTATCAGCGCGATTTGACCTTTTTCAAGGCTAGAAATAGTGCAAGCACCTGCTGTCTCCGATGAATGGAAGCATGTTCTCTTTCCTGTATGGTAACTCACGATAACTGGACCAATGTCCTCTGTCGTGGTCCAAAAAAAATGAGTATGGTGCGTATTTTAGTAGTCGAATCTACAGATATACTTTGAATAGCACCCGGCTGTCCTCGGACTGCGAGTGCATATATGTGCCATTGGACAGATAATCACGCACATGCACATGGATCGTTGTCCATAGCGTTTTCAAGCTCAGCACGCCCTCGCCACCAACGGCGATATCTACTCCACCTCCACATATCCAACAAAACTCGTTTCATTTACCAACCAGAAAAAGTCAGATCATTCCGCGCCGGAAGCTGTCACAGGATATGCATACTATTTGTTATTGGCACCCCGCATCTTCAGGTGCGCACCCCTTTGGATCATTCGATATCTGAGACTCCGATGTCCACTTTTAATTGATTAGCCCGGGCTCCTCGGGGTTGATCTGGTACTCCACAGGTCCCCGTCTGTCCCCGTGCGGTCTATCTCCGTTCGTAACTGGCTTGTCTCGATTTTAACATTCAGGGATACTGACGCTGACGCTGACATTGTCAATCTGTACGCCAGGGCTGGGAACCTTGATCTCGGAGCGATTGAGGGCTATCTATGCATTAAGCTTTCAGCTGCAGGGAGATAACCGCAAAGGCACATTGCGCCAGTACGATCCCCAGCTATATTCGATATCATTAGTTGGAGTCTGGAGACAGAGCAAAGAACCGATTGGCAATGTGTGGATCCGTGCGCAGTGCGCACGATCATCGCGGGCGAATTGCGGCTGTACAAGTTAGTCTCGACTCTCGAGTTACTAGAACGACTATCTTCCTTCGTCTATAAAGGGTCTAGTAATTACAATTGGGTGCCTTGCCTTGAATTTTGAAACGTGCCTCATCGAGCCTTCCCACCCAGTAGTATGCTCAGTTTCTTGATCAAGGCGATTCTTTTACCGCCTCGAGTTAGCTTCCGCTTCTACTATACTTACAATGAATTAGAACGATCAGTTTACACTGCGCGCTGATCACTCTTACGTTCATCACATCATTACCGTGCAGCCCGAATTCTTAGTAGAACATTTACTCCCGGCTCCGTGCTTATCTTCAAGGCCGCTGACTTCCCATTCGGGAGTTTGTATCTGCCGTAATCCTTGGAATTCAACATGAGTAAACAATGTTGCACAAAAGTAATTAAATAATAATTTGAATTATGGAACGAGACAACTGACAGCCAAGCCAAGAAGCTAAATCAAACTGACCAGAAATCGTAACAAATCGAGAGTACGCTCCACATACTGGACAAACTTGGCATTTCCCCTTGCCCGTTATCGACTGGCTTGTCTGATCCTACGCAGATTAGCGAGCTCACTGAGGAGTTTCGCTCGCTCGTTTAAAAGTGCAACCGTGCGTTCTGTGGGAGAACAATAATCTGTCCTCCCCATGTGTGTCGCCCCAAAGAGGGAGGGCGATGTCCCAAAGTCCTGGTCCATGTCCATAGAGAAGTTGTCGACCCGGGTCCGTGCCGGAGGTGCACTAGCAGGAATGCGCATCGACGTCATGGGCATGCGAGGCGTAGAATTCCCACTTGATACGGGATAAAGACCAGAACTCCGCCACCGACTCTTGGGCTTGACAGGCGTGCTCGTATTACACTTGTTCGCTGCAAAAGCTTTCATTTCAAGTTCAGAATCGACAACGCCAATCCAGCCTTTCAGACGGATGGGCTGAGGCGTAGGAGTTGGGGGCTGTTCTCCTGAGGAGGTCGATTGGGTAGAGCAGTCAGGATCTAAGCCTTCCATCGAATCATCGATATTGGATGCATAAGAAGCATCGCGCTCGAGGAAATATGATGGGTCGTCGAGCTCGTGAATACAATGTGGCTGGTGGTATATACCACTGTCGTGGAGTGGCTGCGTCTCTGTACGATCTGAGAGTTCAGAATCTGCCATGCTCGTGTCAGACTCCATATGTGAAGCGTTATGCATGGATAGATCGGTCTGCGCGCTCATGGTGGCAGTCGACCGCGTGGAGGGAGAAGCAACACGTGGATGTCGCGGGATGTCTGTGATATGCGACAATTCCATGTTATAGGAAGGTTCTGGACGCAACAGCGTCGAAGTCGTGAGATCTATCTCGCCCTCGCTATCATCACCGGCCAATTCCTCGACGATCCCTCGTTTCCTCCCAAGCCAGCAAAGCAGCTCACCGACGAAAACTGTCTCTTCCCAACATCCATCTGCTAGTCTCCGTGGATCAAGGTCTGCGAGGCCGATGTCCTCGTCTGCTGGAAGGACGTCGCACTCGAGTACGCCGAGAAAAACCTTCATCGCTTCTACTTTTGCAAGAGATGAGCGAGAGGCGCGTATTGAAGATGGGATAGGGAGGCGGGACTCGAGGACAGACTCTAGGATTGCAAGGAGTAGAGAAGGCGCTAAATCCGTCGGGGAGGTGAGCACGAACGGGAGGGATAGGCCGGCGAGAAGCGCATTCAAAGTCGGTACGAGGGTTGGTGGAGAAAATGATTGCGAGAATTCTGCAAAGGAAAGTTCAGACATCAAGCAGGTGCATGCACAGAGCGAGTGGCTTGGAACCGAATAGACAGAGTATTAATTACTCCACGCGGGTTGTTGCTTTGGTGCGAGTGGTTGACTCTAGTGTAAAGTTTGCGTCAGAAAACTTGCAGGTGGAGTCGACCATAACCATTTCGAGAAGGTCGTTGACTTTCAGCCTGCTAACCGACACAAAACTAACATAATAGAACCGGCGATAACTCCAATATGGCAAGCCTAGCTCGGCAGAGACCCGAACCACGCTTTCAACTGCACTCGTTTGATTAGACCGGTCCACAAATGAAAGCTCTACTGGCCTATGATTCATATATCTCAACGTCAACGATGGGTCCCTCACTCGTACATTTCGGCGTCATATACACAATCGCAAAGTCATCTGACTCCATCATGATCTTTCTGATAACAACCTTGTCTTCGTCCTCAGGCTGACAGCCAGGGTGGTTGTGGCTGAGTTGAATTTCCTTTTGCCAAGTTGGATCCGACACTCTGTCCAGCTGCTGAATCACGAAGGTGATCAACGTCTTTCTGAAAGTGTGTGGAAGCTTTTGATGAACGATACATCTCGAATGTGTATAAGATGCGACTAACTTTGACCAGTTTTGCTGTGGAATGTATCGGAGAACCAGGACAAATCACAAATAAAAGGAAACGGCAACAGGTTCGATAGGTAAAAAATGCGGATATGATGGTATTTTCACTGATGAGTGTGCAGGAAGAAGGGTATAACAACGTTAATAAAAGTATGCTATAGCAGATTTTGTCACTGAGCAGTACCCTGTGCCATGATAATCCACTGCTCAAGCATTGACATCGATGGGGGTGCAGCCAAGGTTGACGAGACCATTCTAGAAAGGTACGTTAGTTGCATCCTAAGTTCGCAGATGCGGTACTTACGTACGAGTTGTCCTCGCAGCAAAGTGGCTGCTGTTGAGCATAACAGCCTTCGGAAGTGCCGACGACCTTGACGCCAGAGCAGGTGAGGCCTACAACAGCGTCCGCCACCACTGGAACGTCGACAAGGCCGAGGCCGTAGAAGGTTTCCTGTGCGGCGTATAAATCATACTACAAATCTTTGGTCAGAATTTCGTCGCACGTCTTGTATGATTCGGAACTCACGCTGACGCTGCTGTCGCAGCATTGGAGTGTTGCACTGGCCCTCCCACTGAGTATCGTTCTCGACCAGCCTCCTATAATCAAAATGATTGCTAGCATCCTCACTCTCCTTTCGTTCACCCTCCTCGCTGTTGCTACTAGCAGTGACAGCAGCAGCAGCGATACTACCCTGCTCACCGTGATCACTACCTTGACGCAATTTAGATGGTCCTTGCATTTCCTGAGCAACCTTAGGCTGCTCGTCCTTTCTCGGTTTCCCATCGGGCATGTCTTCGTGTGCCTTGCAAGAAGCTACCAGTGGTGCTTCTTCCTTCCGTACACACTGGACCGACGTCAGCCGCAAGACCTGCAAACACGGAAGAATATCTGGCCCATCCGTTGCCCCTTTTCACACCAATCATGAGACCAGGACATTGCTAGCTAAGTAGAATGATCTAAAAACATTTGTTCTGTTTCTGCTCATGAGACCGCGGTGATTTATGACATGATAGCACGACAACAATATTTTTACTTCAGCGTAAACCGCATATTTTGTCTCGTCCAGTGCGTGAGCAAGTCGCAACAAATACGCGATCCATAAATGAATGCTACGACCCGGAACGATCGAAAATATTTAGGATGTACCAGCTGTAAGCTTTGCTCATGAAATCTTTGGCTCTTCCTTCGTCAAGATTTGAGTATGTTGGTTTACAATGGCATCAACGTTCGTGAGTCGACAATTACCAAATCGACTATAACCAGCAAAAGCTTGACTCGGAAGTAAGTTGTTATACAAGCCTGTCAAGCCTTTCAGGGTAGTTAAACTGAACGTGTCAATGCCGAGAGTCATTCACACATCGGGGTGAACGATATTTAAAAGAGGTTTATATGTTGTACAAAATGTGAAGACAATATTTAATATTTAAACTAACATAAAGATGGGTGCACGACTTCAAATTTTGGTGGTGTTTTGTGTGTAATCCAAAATATCAAATATTCACAACCATATTCCCACAGACAATACGTCAACAAACATAAGAAATATAGTCAGATTTTTCATGTCTGCTTCAACTTAAAGTTCAATTTCCATGTAAAACTTTGGAGAAAACTTGAAGTTTTACAGATGACATGACATTAAAACTCGATTTAAATGTCAAGCTTTGGCAAAACTTCAAGTTTTCTCCAAAGTTTTATGTAAGAATCAAACTTTAAATTGAAGCAGACATGGAAAATCTGATTATATTTATTATATTTGTTGACATATTGTCTGTGGGAATATGGTTGTGAATATTTGATATTTTGGATGACACACAAAACACCACCAAAATTTGAAGTCGTGCACCCATCTTTATGTTAGTTTAAATATCAAATATTGTTTTCACATTTTGTACAACATATAAACCTCTTTTAAATATCGTTCACCCCGATGTGTCAGCCTGAAGCTGCGACGGGCCGATGAGTCACGCGATGCGTACCGTTGCCCAGACGTATCAGGTTGTTTTTGGAATTTTCAATTTTAGTGTGAGATACTTTTACGCCGTTTTACCGTCACGTGACGTCCGGATTCAGCCGGATTTCTGGAACCCCTCTGCTTTTGGGCAGGCAAGTCTTTGTGTGCTGCTTTTGCATTCTTTCTCATTGCCGGCCAATGCAATCTATGTTTCGAGTTCCTTTTGATGAACAATTTGCCAAACAAATCAAATTATCTTGTTGAGTCCCACCAGCTGCATGTGAATCCACGACAAACAAACAAATCTATGAGGAGGACAGTGCTAGTGCTAAGAGACAGAACTTCGAAGCTAGTTTGTGTGTGTGCGTGTGTGGGGGTGGTGAAATGTCTGTGAGTCTTGGATGGTTGTGCTATGGATCAGTGTGTGTGTGCGTGGATGGACGAGGCTTCCTCTATCAACTTGGGAAGACTGAATGCAGGTTGTGATTGTTAGTGCTGCTGTGGTCTGGTTCGGTCCGGTTCACAGAGGGTCGAGCGAGAACCAAGAACTGGACCTAGGTCTGGTTCTACCAGACTCGACGAACCTCAAACTGGACCTTGGCAAATGGTTCAGAATGGTCAGGTCTGGTCATTTTCAAGTTTGAATGTGAACCGAACCAAATTTATTTACAATGAGCAAAAAAAAACATAGGTAGGACTTGTTGTGGTGCCGCAGTCGATGGTCTCAATATCAAGAAGTAGGAGGGCATGAAAGATGGGGCATGGCATGAGAGAACAGGTGGGAGAGAGTTAGCACGAGAGAACAGGCACAAGAGGACAGGTACAAGAGAGCAAGCATGAGAAAATGGGTGCAAGATAATTGAAGATGAAGAAGTTACTCACCTAACACCTCAAACTCAGTGGTTTTGGTTGCCTTTGTCTTTGTTGGCACATTGATTTTAGGGGTGGAGGCAGTGGTTTCGTGAGAGTGGGACAATGGGCTTGCAGGAGGAGTTGCAAAATGAGATGTGTGGTCTGATTCGTCAGTTTGAACAGTGCATATCATGACTTACCTTGTCAATGGGCCTCTGCATTTGATGGAAACAAGTAAATCTTGAAGCTTGAGAATCCCTGAGGCCAAAGTGGATCATCAAAGGAAGTGTCAAAGCACACTTCAACAAGCTTCTTTCGGTTCACGGTTCAGAACAGTTTGGGACCGGTCCGAACCAAAGTTGAACTGTTCGCCCAATGCCAGAACCGAGAGCCATATTATGGTCCGGTTCTGGCTGACACCTGGACCGTGGACCAAATCACAGGAGAACTGGACCAAAAGTCCGGTTCGAACCATGGTTCAGGACTGGACCACAGCAGCACTAGTGATTGTCACCACGAGGCAGATGCTACAGGAAAGATGCATACTAGTAGTATGGACAGAGGACAACTTGACAAGCACCGCAAATTTGGTGAGAAGTGAATACAGCACTATAGAGCCTGTACGCATGTAGGCAGACACTCATATGTTGATCATTAACTAAAATCCAAAGTTGTTTAGAATTTGTTACAGTGTCACAGGGCTGTCACAACCATACATGCATCAATTTCACCTGGCCCAAGAGCTGACACACTTAAACACCTATCTCTACTTGTAGGTTTCTTAGACAGGGTCACACAGCTGAGATGAGAGCTAGAACAAATATGTAATCTCAGCATCCGGGAGGAAGACTCCAGGTGCTATAAGTACCTAGAACAAATATGTACTAAGTCTTTGTTAGTAGCTGGTACGTTATACGAAGGTAATAGCACTTACATCTCAGTATCTGGGAGGAAGACTGAGATGCCTAATTCTACGAGAGACTGTTTTTATGTGCAGGTAGAGCACGAATGAATGAAAATTAATCTGAGACCTTTTGATATGATGTTCGGCCGATGATGAGCAAATGTCTGAGAAATGATGCACTCGCACCTAATCCAATGTGTCCGACATGCCTCTCAACACTACTCTCGTGCTGTCCATCTCACTTTATGATCATCCTTGGGAGCTGAAAAAAACATGCTGTCGAAGGCCTGTTTGCAGTACAGTACAGCAGGAAAGACTTACAACAGTCTTTATCTTGGTTTCACCTGCTAGGATTTGTTGAATGGCTTGTTGTCATCTGAATCGTCTGAGTTGAAGAAGACCAAGAGAGCCAATGGCAAGGCATGAGATGTCAAATAGAGAGTGCGAGCACAAGGGGAGAAGGGGCAGGCACAAGGGAGAGCTGACATCGGGCCCAAAGCTGCACATGTATCAAGTTTCATTCTAATATAGCGAGAAAAACACTCACAGTATAAAGTCTAGTGCCCACACAGACGAGCGTCTCAGTTCTGTTTCCAGAGACTGAGACATGAGTACCTATACCATACCTTATCGTAAACATATGCTGACACGACATAGTCTTACCTATCAGGTACATGTTTCATTAATAAAGAGTTCTGTTTCCAGAGACTGAGACTCTTACCTATCAGACTCCTTATGACCCTCTCGCTCGTTATAAATGCCTTTATGGCATGTATAATATCTGTCCTCAAAGTTCTTGTCTTCACTATTATTGACCTGCATCCTTGGAACGACAGATGACTTAATAGTAGATCTAGAATAATAAACTAATGTTTGGTTAGAAAGAATGCAAAGCGGCATGCAAAGACTTGCCTGCCCAAAAGCAGAAGGGTTCCAGAAATCCGGCCGAATCCGGACGTCACGTGACGGTAAAACGGCGTAAAAGTATCTCACACTAAAATTGAAAATTCCAAAAACAACCTGATACGTCTGGGCAACGGTAGATGCGGCCCGCACTCGGGAAACCAAAAATGTGAAGGTCCAAAAAAAAAACCAACGAGCAGAAACCAAAGATAACATCGATGACCAGTCGAGGATAGTACTACGGCCATCGGAAAAGAAACGAGTGCTCGGCTTGTTGAAGTTGTGCTTCAAGAACAGTTGTACTACTTAATACTGACCCGCGCGGGAACATTCGTGGTAGACTCCAAGTCGTTGAGTCATCGTCACCAATTGTCTAATTAGATCTTCAAACTGTATTTCTAGTAGTATCGATGGTTCCGCGGCTGCGCGCTCTAACTCAACGCACGCTTACCCTTCTTACCCTATCTACCGCAACAGCAGCAGGCGCTGGATACCTCTACCTCAATTCCGGTCCTGCCTACCCACAAACAACACACGAGTCTCGACGCCCACCACCATCATGGTCTCCTCCTCCCCGTGCAACCATGATCGATGCTTTAAAACGAAGTACTGATCTAAAGAGGGGAGAAGACGACGATGCCCAGTTTGATATATTGGTCGTAGGAGGAGGTGCAACTGGTGCCGGTGTCGCTGTTGATGCTGCAAGTCGCGGTCTACGAGTCGCCTTGGTCGAGAGAGAAGATTTCGCTAGCGGTAAGTCTATTCGCTTCCTTTCATACAACCTCACCACATACGTTTATCACAAGGTACGTCCTCCAAGTCAACGAAGCTTGTCCATGGCGGCGTGCGCTACCTCCAGAAAGCCGTACTCGAACTTGACTACGAGCAGTACAAGCTCGTTCGCGAGGCTCTGCGCGAAAGGAGGGTCTTTCTACAGACTGCCCCTTATTTGAGTCATATGCTTCCTATTATGCTTCCCATTTATAAGTGCGTCATTATCTTCAATCTCTCGTTCTCAACCCAAATCCAACTTCCCCATCTATTCACCCCTCCAGTGATCATTTTCACTGACGGATAATCAGGTACTGGCAGGTCCCGTACTACTGGTCCGGGTGCAAGTTCTATGACCTCCTTGCTGGCAAGGAAAACATGGAATCCTCGTACCTCATGTCCAAGGGCAAGGCCCTCGAACAGTTTCCCATGCTCAAGAGTGATGGACTCGTCGGTGCTGTGGTCTACTACGACGGTACGTCCCATTTCTATTCCACCCCATTTTCATTCTCACCGCCCTTAGGCCAACACAACGACTCCCGCATGAACCTTGCCCTCATCCTCACAGCTATTAAAGCAGGTGCAACCGTTGCCAACTACTGCGGGGTTACCTCCCTCCACAAAGACCCTACCACAGGGCTTATCACAGGTGCACGCGTCAAGGACTACATCGCCGGAGGCGAATTCGACGTTAGAGCCAAGGCGCGTTCTGCCATTCCACCCTAGATAATAACTAACAGCCCAACAGATAATCATCAACGCCACAGGCCCATACAGCGACTCACTCCTCTCCCTCTCCTCTCCCACACACAAACCCATCGTGCGCGCAAGCTCAGGCGTACACATTGCCCTTCCTTCTTACTACGCCCCTAAAGGCATGGGTCTTCTAGATCCTGCAACAAGCGACGGCCGCGTCGTCTTCTTCCTTCCGTGGGAAGGCGGCGTCGTAGCAGGCACCACTGACGAGCCCTACGATATGCGTGCGCATATCAAACCCCAAGATGAAAAAGACGCGTATCTAAGCGGTGATAACATTCTTCCCCGGGAGTCTGAAGTCCAGTGGGTCATGGATGAGGTGCGTGGGTATCTGAGTGGGGACATCAAGGTGCGCCGCGGGGATGTGCTTTCAGCGTGGTCGGGACTGCGTCCGCTTATTTCATCTGGCGCGGTGGGCAGTACGGAGGGGTTGGTTAGAAGTCATGTAGTCAAGATTGATGAGGGTGGAATGGTGACCATCGCCGGTGGGAAGTGGACTACCTATCGCGCGATGGCGGAAGAGGCAGTCGATGAAGCGATTAAAGTGTGTCCCGGGCTGAGGGCAAAAGCTCGGAAGTGTCAGACTCAGGAGCTAAGACTTGTTGGAAGCGAAGGGTGGGATCGCAACATGTTCATCGGGCTGATTCAACGCGTGAGTATCAGCCCTTTGCCTTCCAATACTACTACTCTTACTGACATGCACTGCAGTACGGCCTCCACCCAGAAGTCGCACAACACCTCTCCTCATCATACGGTTCACAAGCATGGACGCTCCTCTCCTCAACGGCCCAGACGGCTGCTTTAGACCCACACCGCGCTCTCTCCGCCCCGTATCCCTTCACACACTCCGAAATCACATACGCGCTTACGCATGAATACGCACAAAAACCACTCGATGTGCTCCTACGGCGCACACGCCTAGGTTTTGTCGACGCACGCGCAGCACTCGGTGCACTACCAGAAGTTGTACAGGTCATGGGCGATACCCTGGGATGGGATACAAGACGGAGGAGGGAAGAAACGAGGAAGGCAGAGGAGGTGCTGCGCGGGATGGGTGCGGGTGGACGGATCGAAGTGGGTACAGCTTCGTCGGGAGAAAGCTGGTTACGCATAGGAGAGGTACAGCGACGTGTGTGTGCACTGTTTGGATTCTGTCCTGCGCTTTTACACCCGTCTTCAACGGGTGCGGCGACGTATCCGCGCGCGTTGTTTCAGCCGGGGGAGATTGAGGTGCTGAGGGAGGTGTTTGGGCGGTATGCGCGCGTGTCTGGCGATTCTGGTTCTGGCCCCGATTCTAAGCCTGCTTTTGGTCTGGGGGCGCAGGATCAATTGAGGATGCCTATATCGATGATACGAGAAGCCGTGCAGTCTGTAGCGGGGCTTGGGTATGCTTACGAGGGTGTGCGGGAGTCGGACTTCCGATACGTCCTAAGGGAGGTGGGGCTTTCTGATTCGTCCGAGGGAAAGGGGAGAGATGTAGATTTTGAGGAATTTGTCGAGGTTCGTTTTTATTCCATCTTCCACTTCATCTTCGTTGTGTCAATCCGTGCCATCTCGTGCTCATGCTCACAAACCTTGATTCTGCAGATCTGTGGAGATTTGAAAGACGTTTCGATCGCACCTGCTGTGAGCAAGAAGGGTGTCCAGAGGAGGAGGATACCCGTTGAGAAGAGTGGTGGGGGTGTTTGAGGTTCAGTTTACTATGTTTTACAGTTTCAAACAGTTCTTACTTAGGTCGATAGGTTTTGTACAAATAGAGCTTTCTGTAGTATTACCCATAATAGACGGAACGGAAGCAATTCGCATCTTTGGTGAATCAACATCATGATCTGACATGTCATATAAGTACACTCTACATGTACAGAGCTCTCCTACACGCTGAATATATAGCGCAGTCATTCTGGATCTTGATTGTTGGGCTTCGCTACTCTTAGTGTCAAGTGCTTCTACTCGCTTACAACCTGCATCTGTCATAACTTCCTACTCATATCTGGTTGCGTCGGCGCCATCGCGAAGAGATCAGACCACGAAATGGAGACTCAAGCAGAGTTCCTGTCTCTTGCTGAAGAACTCTGGTTCTACGTTCGAGCTTCCTTAAGCATGCGGCTCGCAGGATTTTTTGCAGCACGCAACGCAGAATGCACTCGACCGCTAGCAGGCCTAAGGTCGTTTACGTCTAGAGGCACATCAGCTTATTATTTGGATAAATCGTCGACCTTGTTTACAAAATATAGGACTCGGACGTCGCTCGGCATACTGAAGTACAAGCGAAAATCTTAATGACCGGTGGAATAAGATAAGTTTGTGCTACTTTCGGATCTGATTCTTCTGAAGCTATGATCATCACAGGATTCGCATCTTTATCATCGATGAGTGCTAGGTTCAAGCGGCACCGTGGACGTCGTTTGTAACAACATCTATGAATCGTAGCCGCCTACTATGTTCTAACTTCTTTGGTAATCCGAGGGACAACGTTACATAAAATATTAATATCTGACACACTGTACCGGCTACCTGCTTAGCTAATCCGGGAAAATAATAACCTACGGAGCCTAAATCCGTGTTGCACTTGAAATTCACATCCATCAAAAGACGTGTCTACCTTCCCCCCATGTCAGCTCGAAGGCATGGATCTCCGGCATTCTTGTTCATTCAAAAGTGAAACCAGTGCCCCACCAAACAGTCAACAAATTACCACGAAACCTGCAAACGAAAGTGTATCTCCCACAATCCCCACTGGAGTCCCTCCGCTTTTTTGAATATACCATTCATATGCACCACACCAAGGCCACTCTTGAGCGCATTTGCAGCCCAATTAGTTGTGCCTTCTGGCTATAAGGTGTGTGAAGCACGAGTCCAAGACCGTGCTGATACATACGAGGTATGTACGAATACATGTGTTCCGTGGGATATGATCAGAGCAGGCGGGGGCGCCGCTTTGTCGAAGAATTTGTCACTTGTCATTACTAGTGACTAGGATCCGGAGGCCACTGCGCTAGTGTGGGTCTTCAACCAGCAAGGTGTATGCTTCCCCAGCCGTTGAAAATGTGCCAACGCCTTTCATGCTTGCGGTAATCTAAAATTCCGGCTATATAACTTCATGTGGAACTCCCAACTTCCTGGCAGAATCTGACGCTGACTAGTATGTGAATTGACTAGCGAGGGGGGCCTATGCATAAGGTGTGACAACACGTGCACAGCATCTCGGCGTCCTTGATAGCTTGGGCGCCCGGTCAACTGGTCTTCTTGGGAAGCTTGTTTAGTGTGTCAGTATGCCGGCTTCTTGGCAGCTGTAATTGGTATGTGAATCCTCATTGCCTGGAATCTGTAACTGCAAGGTGTGCGGTCATGGCAACTCAAGTTACCGGTCTATTGACCCGTGAAAGCTGTCAGTCCTTAAGCGAGGTGAAATTTCTGCTGAACAATGAATCAGCACCTCCGCTTACTACTCCATCCACCCAAGTACTTATCATGGCCCCCGCATCTTTCAAGACGCCCTTGGCCAAAACGGCTGACTTTGTCATGATGAAGGGAATGAATCTCCCATAACCCACTGCCTATCGCTATTCTCGCGTAACGTCACTTCGTTATCGAAACCTTGATCCAGAGATGCCCAATCTCCACCGCACTCCGGACCTCGGGAGTTCCCAAGGTGGTTGTTATCTCTTTGAGCGAGTTTGGCGGAAAGACTCGGTGCTCACGGTGTCATGATAGGTGTGCTTCGTCAAAATGTGCATCTCAGAGACGTACATGGGATGGGCTTTGAGTAGTACCGTTGCCCAGACGTATCAGGTTGTTTTTGGAATTTTCAATTTTAGTGTGAGATACTTTTACGCCGTTTTACCGTCACGTGACGTCCGGATTCAGCCGGATTTCTGGAACCCCTCTGCTTTTGGGCAGGCAAGTCTTTGTGTGCTGCTTTTGCATTCTTTCTCATTGCCGGCCAATGCAATCTATGTTTCGAGTTCCTTTTGATGAACAATTTGCCAAACAAATCAAATTATCTTGTTGAGTCCCACCAGCTGCATGTGAATCCACGACAAACAAACAAATCTATGAGGAGGACAGTGCTAGTGCTAAGAGACAGAACTTCGAAGCTAGTTTGTGTGTGTGCGTGTGTGGGGGTGGTGAAATGTCTGTGAGTCTTAGATGGTTGTGCTATGGATCAGTGTGTGTGTGCGTGGATGGACAAGGCTTCCTCTATCAACTTGGGAAGACTGAATGCAGGTTGTGATTGTTAGTGCTGCTGTGGTCTGGTTCGGTCCGGTTCACAGAGGGTCGAGCGAGAACCAAGAACTGGACCTAGGTCTGGTTCTACCAGACTCGACGAACCTCAAACTGGACCTTGGCAAATGGTTCAGAATGGTCAGGTCTGGTCATTTTCAAGTTTGAATGTGAACCGAACCAAATTTATTTACAATGAGCAAAAAAAAACATAGGTAGGACTTGTTGTGGTGCCGCAGTCGATGGTCTCAATATCAAGAAGTAGGAGGGCATGAAAGATGGGGCATGGCATGAGAGAACAGGTGGGAGAGAGTTAGCACGAGAGAACAGGCACAAGAGGACAGGTACAAGAGAGCAAGCATGAGAAAATGGGTGCAAGATAATTGAAGATGAAGAAGTTACTCACCTAACACCTCAAACTCAGTGGTTTTGGTTGCCTTTGTCTTTGTTGGCACATTGATTTTAGGGGTGGAGGCAGTGGTTTCGTGAGAGTGGGACAATGGGCTTGCAGGAGGAGTTGCAAAATGAGATGTGTGGTCTGATTCGTCAGTTTGAACAGTGCATATCATGACTTACCTTGTCAATGGGCCTCTGCATTTGATGGAAACAAGTAAATCTTGAAGCTTGAGAATCCCTGAGGCCAAAGTGGATCATCAAAGGAAGTGTCAAACCACACTTCAACAAGCTTCTTTCGGTTCATGGTTCAGAACAGTTTGGGACCAGTCCGAACCAAAGTTGAACTGTTCGCCCAATGCCAGAACCGAGAGCCATATTATGGTCCGGTTCTGGCTGACACCTGGACCGTGGACCAAATCACAGGAGAACTGGACCAAAAGTCCGGTTCGAACCATGGTTCAGGACTGGACCACAGCAGCACTAGTGATTGTCACCACGAGGCAGATGCTACAGGAAAGATGCATACTAGTAGTATGGACAGAGGACAACTTGACAAGCACCGCAAATTTGGTGAGAAGTGAATACAGCACTATAGAGCCTGTACGCATGTAGGCAGACACTCATATGTTGATCATTAACTAAAATCCAAAGTTGTTTAGAATTTGTTACAGTGTCACAGGGCTGTCACAACCATACATGCATCAATTTCACCTGGCCCAAGAGCTGACACACTTAAACACCTATCTCTACTTGTAGGTTTCTTAGACAGGGTCACACAGCTGAGATGAGAGCTAGAACAAATATGTAATCTCAGCATCCGGGAGGAAGACTCCAGGTGCTATAAGTACCTAGAACAAATATGTACTAAGTCTTTGTTAGTAGCTGGTACGTTATACGAAGGTAATAGCACTTACATCTCAGTATCTGGGAGGAAGACTGAGATGCCTAATTCTACGAGAGACTGTTTTTATGTGCAGGTAGAGCACGAATGAATGAAAATTAATCTGAGACCTTTTGATATGATGTTCGGCCGATGATGAGCAAATGTCTGAGAAATGATGCACTCGCACCTAATCCAATGTGTCCGACATGCCTCTCAACACTACTCTCGTGCTGTCCATCTCACTTTATGATCATCCTTGGGAGCTGAAAAAAACATGCTGTCGAAGGCCTGTTTGCAGTACAGTACAGCAGGAAAGACTTACAACAGTCTTTATCTTGGTTTCACCTGCTAGGATTTGTTGAATGGCTTGTTGTCATCTGAATCGTCTGAGTTGAAGAAGACCAAGAGAGCCAATGGCAAGGCATGAGATGTCAAATAGAGAGTGCGAGCACAAGGGGAGAAGGGGCAGGCACAAGGGAGAGCTGACATCGGGCCCAAAGCTGCACATGTATCAAGTTTCATTCTAATATAGCGAGAAAAACACTCACAGTATAAAGTCTAGTGCCCACACAGACGAGCGTCTCAGTTCTGTTTCCAGAGACTGAGACATGAGTACCTATACCATACCTTATCATAAACATATGCTGACACGACGTAGTCTTACCTATCAGGTACATGTTTCATTAATAAAGAGTTCTGTTTCCAGAGACTGAGACTCTTACCTATCAGACTCCTCGTGACCCTCTCGCTCGTTATAAATGCCTTTATGGCATGTATAATATCTGTCCTCAAAGTTCTTGTCTTCACTATTATTGACCTGCATCCTTGGAACGACAGATGACTTAATAGTAGATCTAGAATAATAAACTAATGTTTGGTTAGAAAGAATGCAAAGCAGCATGCAAAGACTTGCCTGCCCAAAAGCAGAGGGGTTCCAGAAATCCGGCCGAATCCGGACGTCACGTGACGGTAAAACGGCGTAAAAGTATCTCACACTAAAATTGAAAATTCCAAAAACAACCTGATACGTCTGGGCAACGGTAAGTAGTAGGTTTTCTCTAGGATTCGTCAATGAGAGCACCAATATTAGATCGTTCAAGACATACACGGTGTACATATTCGAACCGTCGCTCTTTTTGGGCGGTGCTCCAGGACCATCGAGAACGATTGGAATTTCAGGATCATACGAACCTAGCGGAAGAGGTGAGGAAGTCATATTTGCACTCAAAACGAGCATGCTGACCTGGCTTTGACATATCTGGAGACCATTAGCTTCCAGGCAGTTGAGAGGGGGTATCAAATAGAATGAGTTGCTCATTGTTTATCGTCAACTTATTGTGTCCACCTTATCAAGCGTGACAATGTGAGGTGAGCAGAATGACTCCTGCCAAGTCTGGACGGCACAACTGCTGATAGATGCAATATCTATAGCCGTAAGTCCATGATTTTTCTGAATCACTGATATGTAAACACTCGTCATATGACCACATAGTTATTTGCTTTCATCTCCATAGTGAAAAAAGCAGCTGGTGCGTGGTTATCCAGATGCAAACAATAAGTTATCGACGCTGCATGATTCAAGCATTCGAAACCACAAGAGCGTTGGTGCATCAGTTGTAGCCTCAACTGCGAGAGGAGTGATGTACATTGTCTTTGTTTTGCGTTCCAGTGTCCACGCATTATATCTGTGTTCTTCTCCGTCTCTATTAAGAACAAAAGTACGCACAAGATAGTACTGAAGGACACCTTAACGACCTGGGGACCTGGAGCAAATATGGAAATGCGGGATTGTTCCTGCAAATATTAACTGTTTCCAGAGGTTTCGATCATCTTTGCTATCGGGATCGACGGATGGTTCGTCTCTTTATTTGCCTTCGTCCTTTCCTGCGCAGTGCTTATCGTTCACGGAATACTGACAGCGTACCAGAGTCAAAACAGGACTTACATCATCATCCTGTTTATCTTCCTTGTCGTCTTCTCTTGCTCTGGTCGTCCCTTGTGGTATTGTTTGTTTGGGATTTTTGGTCGCGGACCCAAGTGGTGTCACAGGTGAATATTATTCTTTGAAAATCTTGCGTACGTGCTTGTGCCTTCAAACAGATAAGCTGCAATACGCCAACAGATTTTGCCGGCTGAGGTCTAATGGTGTGGAACTATTAAGAATCGAGATAGATCCACTCTGGCGAGGCGAGCATGAGCATGCCCATTGTCCGTCACGTATTGAATCCGGTAAGTTCCGCTCGTGCTTTCCCCATTCCCGGGCCCATATTAGTGAAGGGCTTTCGTCGAACTCAAACGTGTTCCATCCCCTGAAACCTCTGCCGACCCTACCGGTTTTCAAGTTCTTCAGTGCAGGATCCCAAGCTACTAGGGTTCAGCGTTACCGACTTTCAATGGCAGTTGCTCGGTTACATGTGTTGCTATTTCCTTCTTAATGCTTTTGATTTGGCTGATGAATGAATTACAGGCGAAGGTGTGTTTGTACTAGTACGGCATGTATCTCGACATCAACTGTAGTTCAGAAATATGTCGTATGTTCGCAACTTGAATAACATGGGGGTGACTGAGCAAACAGTGTTACCATGACCACCTCCTGACCTATCGTTGTGATGCACTTTTGATAAGGCTCTGACTCTGAGCGCCCCTTCAAGACCCAGTGGACCCAGTGGAGCCAGCCACGATTAGTATGTCTGTCTATTTGGCCTGTGTAACTTACATAATAAGCCACGTCTACTCCGCTAATACTTATACCCATCTTAATTTGATGCGTGTACACGTCGACACTCGAAAGGAAACCTATGGTCAATTCAATGGACGAAATAGTCGAAGTCAGACTCTGATAGGATTCACTCTGGAACGATTATCTTCATTGATCCCAACTTGGCAACGGCTAGCATCTGAAAATACGAATATTCAGCAGTTCCGTACCTGTCAATGAACCTTCTTCAAGTGCTGGCGATATGCATGCGGTTTGACGCGGTGCTGGCATCAGTTGCAGATATGCATCCATTTGGAGGCACATCCACGCAACAAGAATTTCAAAGAACAATATAAAACCCAGCCGTCTTCTTTCGTCTTCAGAACTACCTAATCACATACACGAGTCACAAACATTGCGTTTCTCCTCTGCAATTGTCCTCGCTGTCATGGTTGCTTTAGCATCATCAATCTCTGCCATACCCACTACCGGTGACCCAACTAGCGCACACAAATGTATGGTTGCACTTCTGACTCACAATGCGACAATATCAATCCAGTATGCATATGGCATGAATGCGTATATTTTACAGCCATCTAGCCCCGCTTTCAACAACGCTCGACAAGATCTAGACAGGCATGCAATATGATACCCAGTGAAAACTGGACTTTTTGAAGTCTACTAACTTGAAGGTAGCGATTCTACCTACCTCACATGATTGTGACTGACTGTGGCGCCGTGCAGGATAAGTATGTAAGCATATTGCCAATGAATTCGGCATTGAGCCAACTGCTGTAAGCCGCTGATGGTTGTGCTTCTAACGCTGGGTCAGTTGGGATGCGTTGCATGATGTGCCGGGCGAATTTGGAGGTCTGTTTAGCAAGAGTGATTGAGCTGTTGACAGGATGACAAGAACAAGAGGAAGAATAACGTCTTTTGAGGACGACTGAGACGAGAAAGATGCGTCGTCGGGCAAAGGTTCGTACTGCTTCCGACACTTGCGCAAAGACCTAATCTTCTCTCGTACCTCGTTACAATAGAGTCTCAAACCATCTCAAATAACTGGATACGAGTCTAGTTGGAAATGCGAATGAATATCCAGCAATTCCACACCTGCCAAGACCTTCTTCAAGTGCTGGCGATATCCATGGGGTTTCACGGTGCTGGCATTAGTTGTAGATATGCATCCACTTGGAGGCACATCCACGCAACAAGAATTCAAAGAAAGATATAAAACCCAGCCGTCTTCCTCCTAATTACCTGATCACATACACACGAGTCACAAACAATGCGTTTCTCCTCTGCAATTGTCCTCGCTGTCAATATTGTTACTTTAGCATCATCAATCTCTGCCATACCCACTACCGGTCACGAAGCTAGCGCAAACAAATGTTTCAAAATGTGCACTTCTGACTCACAATGCGGCAATCCAGCATGCGGTTGGAATGAATGCGTGAGCATCAATATTTTCCCGGACTTGATGACATGACTCACCTGCATGGCAGGTTTTTTTGTTTTTCTGCGCAGTGAGTCGTATTTTTGCTTTTACGTCGGCGGAGTATGGCTGTTGACACTGGCGCGCGAGTTACTAGTGATTTGTAGAGTTGATCAAGTAGGGAGTTGTGTGAAGGACCTAGGTGTGTCTTCATTCAACGCCGATACTTATAGATATAATTGTACGACCTGTAGGCCCATATCCGTCACGGCGATCCAGCAGGAGAAAAGTCACTATGCGCCGTAGACTGATCTGTACGGCAAACTTTGCGTTTGCTGTCGTGGAGCGGTCTTAGTAGCGGTAACGAGAATGAAAGGAAATGTTTGCTTTATTAAAGCAGATAGTTTTTTGGGTGGAAGCCCCGAAGGGGCAGCCCGGCCCCGATGACGGCCTCAACCTGCGCGAGAGAGAGCCGAGGTGAGCTGCGATTCCCAGATGTTAAGAGTGAGAGCGACGCAGCGAAGTGAACTCGGATCCCACTCTATCCGCTGATGTGAACATCGAATCCCACTACCCCCATGCATCATGCATCATGATTGAAATGAGGACATCTCGATGCCAGAATATCCACACTTCCTACCATTCGAACATCCAAATCCTATCTGCGCCAGCACAGTCATCGTTCCCATGCACCACGATATATCATATCAAATTTAATGATGGAATCAAATCGCGTACCACTAATGCTCGCTGTACTTCACGTCCTCGTTGTGTGCAACCACGTTCCGCCCAACGCTCAGGATATCTCTAACATAGATCAGCATCAATAGCCGGCGGCTCGGTGTGTCCACCCCGTTATGATGTGCCGCGTATTTTCAATGCATTTGGGTGCCCTCCTTTTCCCCACCTGCAAGTGGCTCTTCCATTTTATTCCACGACACTATCAGCCGTACGACCTGCACTTTCCATGTCGTAGTCCGAGTCGGTATCAGTGAGCACTATCAGAAATACAACGGTTAAACTATTGTATCCCACGTATCACGTTTGGTTTTCATCCTTATCGCTTGAGTTGGACAAAAAACCAACAATGTCTGCCAAGATCTCTCGCTCTCTCGCACAGTTCTGCATCCCAGAACCGATCTTTTTGCTCACAATCAACTATATACTGCATTGTTCCGTGTGCGCTTATTTTCAAAAGTGAATGAGGTGAAAGAGAGTTCAAATATAGTGTACAAATGTCTGATTTTGTAGTGGAATGACATGAGTGTGCTAATAAAAAGTAATGACAGAAGGTGTCGCCGCTTGTCTTAAATAAATACCACGACGCATCCTCAACCAAATTTCTCCTCCCTCCAGGCCACTCGACAAGTCCCTACACAGTACTGCTAGTTGATATCTGTATACGCTCCTGGAAGACAATTGAATTCATACTAGTTTCTGCGTCTGAGTTCACCATGAGTTTGGCGTGATATTCTCGAACGCTAAGGATGAGGCGTGGCCCCAACACAAATATCTGCACGACCAATAACACATTAAAAGCACCATCGAGTGCTATCTGAGCTGCCAAAGAATATGATTCCTACAGAAATGATGAGTAGTAGTTATGAGCAGATATTAGCGAAAGGTCAGCGAACCACAAATGATGGAGAGAGCTCAAAGAGCTGGACGAAAGAGACGCCAATAAAGCTAACATATGCGAAACTTGAGCAGAAAAGATGGCCACATTCACATTACAAGCTCACCTTGCAAAATAAAGCACGTGATATTTTATTAGCACTCTGAAACAGTCCCCGATGGTTGATCCTATCGATTGATCGAGTCGTCGCAGGTCACGGAAGTGTTTTACAGCAATCCAGACTGAAAGACACAGTGCCAGAACCTCCCAAGCAGTGTAGAGTGTCCAATACGTTAAAAACAGAGGCTGGACGACATCCCCTTCATATTGATACTCGCACATGTACGTGCCAGAGAGTATCAACTCCTCTGGTGTTCGTCCAATTAGCTGTGTTCGTCAAATCAACCAGTAAGGCTTACCCCCTACAATATGCTCGAGTATTATTGCCCCGATTACTGCGCAGGTAATGACAACAGTCAGAAAGATAATGACAAGGAAGACGAGCATCGTTCTAGATCCCTGATACATGGCATGCAAGCGAGTAATAATGATGACTTGCATCATGTTTCAGTCGAGTCAATATCATAGAGGTATCGCAGTTAGGGGACTCACTGCCCAACATGGCATATATGACCACATCTGTTCCATTCTGTGCGTGGTATGTGATATTGCCTGAAATGCCAAATTAGTAAACATCCTTGTACTAGTATCAAAAGCTCCGACTCACACCTATCGAATCATTATGTAGAGCCGAGTTCAATGGTCAGAATCTCACTCACCCCTAGAAATGAGTGTATTCATTGGATAGTAGGAATGAGATGATTATAGAATACTCACTGTATCTGTCACGGAGACCAACGGCATATTTTCTGTGTGCCACCGGTCAGAAGAGCCGAACACAGCACATATGAGACATACCCAGAATACTGGTACTAATTGTCAGAGATGAACTATTAGCATAGTGTCGATTTTTTTGGCCTCGACACATACACAGAATATGGTATTCCAATATAATGTATCTATAACATTGGGGTGTCAGACAATTTTCCAACCACCCTATAGAACAACATGAGGTACGCACAACCAAATACAGCACAGTCATGAGAGACCAACGTTGCGTCTATTGCGGATTCATTGTATTCTCCCTGTTTTGCTTTTGATACCATTGGGACTCTTGTCACTCACCCAGATCAGTTCAATCTATGACACCTTTCTTAGCGAGTTAGCTGCTATGGCAACAATGTCGACCTACCTCTTGTCCCAATGTTAGTACTGGAAATATCATGAGAATATCAGCGGTTTTCAAACACTATCCCGCTCACCCCAATCGTACACCATCACGATGCCGGCAGCAACTGCGAAACTGCAAGTCAATGTCAGAACTAGACATCTCGATGCTACGAACCGATCCAATAGCTGAAAATAATATTTGAATTGATTACGGGCCACCAGCTAGGATCATTTGAGACAACGGTCATATTTGAGGGATGGGTGTGAGGGAGTGGGGGATGTTAGTGGTGTATAACGATACTGCTAGATATACCGCCGTTCAGCGCTTAAGCTATCGCCAAAATCCGCATGATGGAGATGGATATTTGGTCCCGCCTCAAGAGTCGGATTGGGTAAAGTAGTAAGTATTGCGGTGCGAAACCAAGCAAAAAGAAGCCCTCGGGCCTCGATAACCAAAGTTAGTAGATTTGATTTGAAAGCCAGTATTCCGCAGGCCACTAAGATCTAATAAACCGCAGTCATCGTTGATGGCATGATGTCGGTAACTGTGTACTATTTGTGCTGCAAACTTACGAAAATAAAGTTCCTTATGCTTCTTTCGGTTGAAATCGATACTCTGCACGAACGACACATTACGCACTGCGCATCGCAACATTAATTCGTGTGTTTATGCGAGAAGTATGGGTTGGGAAAGACCACACTCAGTATCAAAGTTGACATGGTATCAACAACTTCAGCAGGCTAGTACGGAGGAGGAGAGGGCGAGAACTTGAATACATGCTGCTGAAGCACCAAGTACATACATATGGTATTTGATAGTTTCAATTTTGCCTCATATACTGACTAGGTTCATATCATAGACAACACTATCCAGGATCTCTCCCTTCCAGAACAGCAAGGTGATCAAAGTGTAGCTTCTGGCTCCTCCCTGCCTCCCAGTTCTCGCCGCGCAGCCACAATAGAGGCACTTGCCAAACGAGCGCGCGAGACCAAAGACACGAGACGTGTTGGACGCCGAAAAAGGGCTCAAACTACCTCGATGGACCAGTCGCAGCCGAGTCAACAGAACCACCACTCGGATGATATGAACATCACAATGGGTGAGGATTCTGACAATCTGGTATGTCTGTCCAGCGAACACGTCAAACTATGCACCAATAATTATCAGATAGATGATGTACCTATGCCTTCCAACAATTTTGCTGACCCAAATGAGCCTTCTGACGATTTTGCTGATCGGAACGAGCCTCCCGTCCCTGATAGTAATCCACATCTACCTCCTGACGATTTCGCTGATCAGAACGAGCCTCGTCCCAGATAATAATCAACATCTGCCTCCTGAACATTTCGCTGATCAGAACAAGCCTCCCATCCCAGATAATTATTCACACATACCTCCTGACCATTTCGTTGATCAGAACGAGCCCCCTGTCCCTAATAATGCTCCTGAAGGTGATGGGCACCAACAGGAGTATCAGTTCATCTTACACCGCCAACCACGACCAAATATCGATGTGGAGGCGCTTGCGCAGATGGCGCACACAATAACTGCCACTATGGGCCCGCGCCGCCGGAACCGATGGGAATTGTGTGGCTGAATGGTTACCCCTTGAAGTCAATGTGCTGACCATCATGCTTCGAACGTTCTTTGGAGTTCTGCCAAAGAGTGGGACGCCCATTCCCTTCTCACACCACTTCTCAGTGTACCTCACCGTTTCTTTCACAACGACCTAAATCTACAACCACTCGTCATGACGGAAGATCATAGGCCAGATATCGATCCTTCTTCAGGAACTCTTAGATCCAATCAGGTAAATGTTACTGAAAGCTCGGTACGTGGTCTCTTAAAATCTATCGTCGTCTTTACACATTATTCGTCCAGGACCAACCTCGTAGAGGATCTGCTCAGTTCCTGCGGAAATTGAAGAATGGGCTAACCAAAAAGCTTCCTGTGCGTAGACATGAATACTATTTGTTCTCAATACGGCTAAGATTGTACAGAAACGCTCCAAGCGAACACGCAACCGCACCACTGCGACGTTGCATCTCCATCCTTCCAACGAAAACAAGCATCCCACCGCATCTGAGATTCCAAGTGACTCCGTGAACAAAGGGCTGTCGGAAGAGCCTGCTCCGCAGGTATTTCTATCAAATACCCTGATTGTCTTGTCTAATTTTGACGGTACCACAGGTTCAGGCTGCTTCTTCTGGCGAGGAAGGAAGACCTGGTCTCCAATTAGTTGACACCGAACTTCAGCGTGCCCGCGATGGTACACCACACATGCGATCACTCGGAAAACATGTGACTTCTATGGCATCCGCCGTCGACAATGGCCCAGCGGATCTTACTGCTGCAGATGATTTTGAGACGACGTATCTCCAACCCCTCAAGATTATCGATGCTGTGCTTGAGAAGATCGCAGACGTATGGGCCATTCTTGTTGATTGGAATCGGACTAATCAAGTTGTATAGGTACATCCATACGCAAAGATGGCGCTGGGTGTGCTATCTGCTGCATCCAAGGTATGTTTGGTTTCTCCCGCAATTCAGTTTCCTGCTCAGAAGTTCTAATTCTATGAAGATCATAATCGCGCAGGCACAGCGCGACCATTCTATTCTTAGTCTTCTCAAGAAATTGGCTGAAGTTTACCGCTTCATGACTCAAGATGACAGTCTTGAAAAAATTGAATCGATGCGCGGTATCGTTGAAAAGATCGTTCACCAGACTCTCGAGTGTGCCCGTTTCATCAGGGACTACTCGGAGACAAAGAGCTTTTGTGAGTCACCAAGCTATCGTACCTTGTACATGAATCTCATACTATATCATAGGGAAGAGACTTGGGAAAAATGTTATCTCGGAAACTGATGACACGATCAAACAGTACAGCGACGCTTTGGACGGCCTTATGCAACAATTCCGGGACCAAGTCGATCGGGACGTGGCCGTTTTCGTCCAACGTACGGGTAAGGATTCTGATACGCCTCTGTCTTTACATTCACTGACACCGTTTTAGGCGATACCCTGGATCTCGGGGATATCGCTTATGCGAAGGGCGCAGGACTAGATACCATGAAACAGTGCTTACCAGGGACGCGCATGGAGATTCTTTCCCAGATTACGGACTGGATCAACGGCAGCGGAGATGCTGCTAAACGTGTGCTGTGGCTATCTGGCCCTGCGGGCAAGGGCAAATCAGCCATCGCCCACACGGTCGCCAACTGGTTCAAGGAATCGGGAGGCCTTGGTTCATGTTTTTGTTTCGATCGGCGCAGAGAAGCGGATCGTCGCCATGAAAAGATTTTCTCCACCATCGCGCGCGATCTCGCTGACCGTGATTCGGGGATGAAGCGAGCGTTAGCGGATGCGGTCAAGGATGCACACTCGCTCAAGAATACGACGGACATCATCCAGCAGTGGCGCGACCTTTTCATGAAACCGCTAAAGAAGTTCTCGGCGTCAAGCGTAGGGCCTGTCTTGATCGTGATCGAAGCACTAGATGAGAGCGGTGGAAAGAAGACGCGGAGCAACATCCTCCGCACACTTGCCGGTAGACTTCAGGACGAAGGACTTCCCCAAATCACGGAACTTCCATCTAACTTTCGGATTCTCGTCACCTCTCGCCCGCTTCATGATATCGAAGATGCATTCCACGGGGCTCAGCATATTCTACGGTTGTCCATGGACGAGATTCCAGCAGCAGTGGCAGAGCGCGACATCCAGGCGTTCGTATCTGAGGAGCTGAAGGGGCTACCAGATTTTGGCGACAAAGAGTTTACAAATCTAGCTGCGAAAGCCGATGGATCTTTCGAGTGGGCGCGTCTTGCTTGCGAATACATCAAAGACGCGCCTCCAGGCGTACGCCAAATGCGTCGCTTCAATGCTCTCGTCAACCGCAGGGCCGGAAAGCAGAAGAACCTGTTGTACGATATGTATCTGGTCATTTTGAAAGAGATCATGAGAAGGGATCAATATGACGAGGACGAGGACGAAGCACTGGCAGGGTTTCGTTCTGTGATGGGACAGATACTTGGCACAGCTTTTTTTTTTACTAAGCAGAACAGTTAACGTTCAGGCACCGAGGTAACAACTCATGTTTTATAGTTGCACTTATGTCCTCATTAAGCAACACCTTTGATTTGCGTGTCTTCGTTTTCCCTTCTCACGTTTGCTCGCTTTCATTTTTCTTAGTAGAGAACCCGACGTACTTGCCCCATTTTCCGTCGATTAGTATCAGTTAGCGCACGCAATGTCTAACACGTCAAGTTCTAGGCTGCCTGCCGGTGTTTAACGTTTAACTTCGGGGGTCAACATTGCCCAGTGACACTGTAGATAGTAGTTTCAATGAAAATCACTGCAAAATGCGCTGATGCTGAATGTTTCCTCTAGAGTAAGTTCCACTGAAATTGCATGCAGTTAATCTCATTGGAGCGCTGATTCTGAATTTCAGTGGAAAATTCACTGAATCAGGATTCAGCACCAAGGAGTTCCGAACTAGCACTAAGTTTATGAAATCATACTCAGGCATTTGTGCAGGTACTGACTCTGACACTCCCGGTTGTCTCTTGATTCGGTTTCAAGTCACCGGCCAGAGGGTTACTCTAGTGCAACAGAAAAGAGGGAGAGATGCCGTTACTAGTAATATTAATTATGGTCATCCTGGGATCTCCCTTCCTCAAACCAACACATGAATTGCGGTAAGAAAGTATGCCATCATGATCCAGGATTCGAGGACACTGTCACGGTGGACAAGTATATATGGCAGTTAAAGCAATGAGACAACTATATGGTTTCGACAGGCGAAACAGTAAGCATCAAAGCTTCCACTGACGATGTGCATACTGTCGGTATACACGACGATCAAATCTCGTTGGCCTGCAGCCTCACAAGGAGATTAGAGACAACTGAAAACGATTTCTCATTTCTAAAAGTTGTAGGTGAATATAGTGTACTAATGTCTGCTTTTGTAGTGGAATGACATGGGTGTGTTAATAAATAGCAACAACCGAAGGTCACCGCTTGTGATCACTAAATACCACGACGCATCGGCCACTCAGTAAGTATGTCCCTACACAGTACTGCTAGTTGATATCTGTACATGCTCCTGGAAGGCAATTGAATTTATGCTATTTTCTGTGTCGAAGCTGGCCACAAGTTTGGCGTGATGTTCTCGAATGCTAAGGATGAGCCGTTGTCCCAACACAAACACCTGCACGACCGATAAAATTTGAACAGCACCATTGAGTATCGATGTCTACAGAGATGATGAGCAGCGGATACAAGCAGATATCAGCGAAAGGTCAACGCACCAGGTCTGATTGAGAGAGACTAGCAAGCTGAAACAAAGAGACACCAACAAAGCTAACATGTGCGGAACTTAAGCAGAGAATATGGCCTTCACATTACAAGCTCACCTCGCAAAATAAAGCATGTGAGCTTTTATCAGCACTTTGAAACAGTCCTCGGCGGTCGATCCTGTCGATGGGCCGAGTCGCCGCAGGTCACGGAAGTATTTCACAGCAATCCAGACCGAAAGACATAGTGCGAGAACCTCCCAAACAATGTAGAGTATCCAATACGCTACAAACAGAAGCTGTATGTCTCCTTCATATTCATACTCGCACATGTACGTGCCAGAGAGTATCAACTCCTCTAGCATTCGTTCAATGAGTTGCGTTCTTCAAGTCAAACAATAAAGCTTACCCCCTGCAACATGCTCGAGTGCTATTGCCACGAGGACTCCGCAGGTAATGGTTACAGTCAGAAAGATAATGACAAGGAAGATGAGCATCATTCTAGATCCCTGATACATGACATGCAAGCGAGTAATCATGATGGCTTGCATCGTGTTTCAGTCGAGTCAATATCACAGAGGTATTGAGGCTAGCGAACTCACCGCCCAACATAGCGTACAGGACCACAGCCATTCCATTCTGTATGCAGTAGGTAATATTGCCTGAAACGCCCAGTTAGTGAACACCCTCGTACTGGTATCAAAAGCTCCAACTCACACCTATTGAGTCATTATGTTGAGCCAAGTTCAATGGTTGGAATCTCACTCACCCCTAGAAATGAGTGTATTCATTTGGATGGGAATGAGATGGTTGCGTAATGCTCACTACATCTGTCAGCGAGACAAATGGCGCAAATGCTGTGTACTACTGGTCAGAAGAATCGAACACAGTGTATATGAGACATACTCAAAATATTGGCACTAATTGTCATAGATGAGCTATTAGCATAGTGTCGGTGTTTGGCCTGGACATACACAAAATATAATGTTCCAAAATAGCGTATCTAGAACATTGGAAAGTCAGCACGATTTGCCAAGCACCCTATAGGACAACATGAGGTACGAACAGCCAAATACAGCACAGTCATGAGAGACCAGCGTTGCATCTGTCGCAAATTCATTGCATTCTCCTGCTTTTCTTCTGATACGGAACTCTTGTTACTCACCCAGATCAGTTCAATCTATGATATCTTTCTTAGCGAGTTGGCTGCCCCGACGATAACATCGACCTACCTCTCGTCCTAGTGTTAGTACTGGAAATATCGTAAGAATATCAGCGGTTTTCGAACACTGTCCCAGGCCCGCTCACCCCAATCGTATACCATCACGACACCGGCAGCAACTGCAAAACTGCAAGTCAGTGTTAGAAACTAGACATCTTCAAGCGACAAACCTATCCAATAGCTATAGAAGATATTTGAGTTGATTGTTGGCCACCAACTAGAATCGTTTGAAACTGTGGTCATATTTGAGGGATAGGTGTGAACGAGTGGGGGATGTTAGTGGTGTATAGCGATACTTTTATGCTAGATATAGCACCGTTCGACGCTTTCACTGCCAAAAACTATATTGCGGTGAGAAACCAAGCAAAAAGAGGAAGGTATATCAAAGTTTTGCAAACCAGTACTTATTGCGCATGACACTAAGATAGGCCGCAGTCATCGGTGGTATTAACGCAGTATTTTGGTTGCAAGCTTGGAGAGTACTACGTCATCGATCTAACACAGGTCAAAGCGTGGAAGTAGTACGCTCACTTCGGCCTTGCTGGCTGAGCCGGATGTGCAACAGCCCTCCAGTCACTCTCATGGAACGAGGGTCATAACACCAGAAAAGTCAAACAAACCATGACACAGAGTGGGTCGAACACACACTAGTCTGCGTACTGTTCCATACTCAATGGCTGATCTACTCCCAGCCTTCCCTCACACCACCCTAGTCCACGGAACACCCGTGAACAATACGTACCTCTGCGCAAGTACTGACCCTGCGATGTTCGCTAGCTGAGGAATGTGGAATGCGCGATCTGTGGTGGGACGGACTGGAAGTCAACCCACGGAAAATAGACACAAAAAACACGTCAACAAGATGGTCCACAGATGGGTGAATAACGCACACTCAGAGCTACTCTTGCGCATGTTGATTTCCATGATTTTCAATGTAGGCTTCCTTGCCATCCTTCGGGATCCTCGCTGTCCTCATTCTGTTGCTCATTTGCTGTCAGTAGATCAGAAATTCGCAGATGGTACCTAGAGCTTAACTTACCAATAGCTTGTCACTGAAATAATAGCGATCCAAGGACACTTGCGGCTCTCCATATGCAACATTATGTTTTGTAAACTTCCAGTATCCTGTGGTCGCCTCTGCCAGTGGATGTTGCGGTTGTGGGACAACTTCATGGTGCCATTCTCGTACTACGACGAGTTCTGTGAGGAGCACAGAGGAGTGCATATTTACCTGTGCTAATGTTGACGTGGGCGTGCACGGATTGTTGGCAAGTAATGTCTGGATATGGCCATGTGGTGGTAGTTCGGTTTTGCGTGCACTGCAGCACTTGTTTTGAGTTAAGAACCAGCAGTAAGACACGTCCACTCACGGCATTGCAGCCTGTAGAAGGCCTCACGTATTAGCCTCCATGCGAAAAAAGTCGAGCCCCTTTGAGAGACGTCAGAAGATGCGCTATCCTCTGCCTCTGTTATCCTGGTAAGTGCGTAAATAAACCTTGCGACCTGCTTATGCGATCACATTCAATGGATACCAAGACTGATGGATGAAGCTTGAAGATTCTGCCCGACTTTATGCAAGTGCTAGCCGCCCTACTTTTCATTAGCTTCTCCGGCTAGTCGACGTTCTCTTCTCCGCTTAACATCCCAATTATAAACTCTAGCAGTGTTGACTTCCATCACCGTCAGTTGCTCTCGCAGAAACTCCAAGTCTTCGATCGTAGCCTTCAAGCTTGCCTCTGCAAGATCCAATTTGGATCGCAGGAGCGACACAGCCTCTGACAATTTGTACGATAGCATTACATTCGCCTTATACGAATCAGATACCATCGGAAAACTCGCAATGGACAACTAAACTCACCCCTAGCCATAGATAGACGGTGTCGATGTCCTCAAGTTCTGCTTCCGCAAAGAGCGTGTCATTTAATTCGAACGTTGTAGTAAGCGGCTTTTCGGGATTGTCAGAGTTTTCCTCATCACTGAGATCATCCTCCAGATCGTTGTTCTTGTCCTTGCCTTCCTACATGATCGTCGCATAATGTTGCTGCATGTGTTCGCAGTGATGGACTCACTCTTTTTTCTTGCAGGAACTCCACCATATGCAACGTCTTTCTGATGTCAGGGATCTTGTCCTCCAGACCTTTTCGTCGTTGTGTCAGGTTGGCATCCATATATCGGTACTTCCTGGACTTCCTTAGGTTTAAGATCATCACAGTGTATAAATTAACTCAAACATACGCGATAGCATCCTGGAAATTCTTTAGGGGAGTCTCGACCGCACCATCTGGGCCTCCCAGATATTCTTCGACATTTGCCTACATTATTAAGCATAAGAAGAAAACATTTAATTTGAGATACTTTTGTAGATACCCACGATGAATGGAGCTTTTGGAATACCCCGTGGATTTTTCTCCTCTTGAAATACCGACTTGGCAGACATGGTCGTATGTCTTGAACACCCCGCTTCCAATCATGAATGCGTGACGTCCGGTCGGAGTTAGAATTGGAGTTTACAGGATAGACAGCAAAATTTGATTCATTTGACTCCCAAAACGCCGAAGGTAGCGCCGCGAGCTTTGATTAAAATTTAGACAAGCGGCCGCGAACACATGGAGACCCCTTGGTGCGCGAATGCAAACACTTGACGGTATTATTCATTCGTTTGAGCCTTGATTCATCGCCGTGCTTTGGTGTTGCTACAGGTAAGTATATCATAGATTCATGTATCCAACACTCCATGTCACTGAGGGCTGACCTGCGCCCACACAGGATGGACCTACACTGGAATTCCGGAGCCAAGACAGCGACTACGGTCGGACTGCAACAGTCAAGCTTCTCGAACGAAAGAATATTAACATCAACACCCATAGGAAACACCTAACGATATCTGTGCATTTGAAGCGCTCGGAGAAGAATACAGCTCATTGGACGAACACCAGAGGAGCTGATACTGTCTGGCACGTATATATGCTATTATGGAATTGAGTGGGACGAACAGCTCTTGATTGCAATGTTTTGGATGCTCAACATTGCTTGGGAGGTCCTCGCACTGTGCCCTTCGGTCTGGGTTGCTGCGAAACACTTCCGTGACCTGCAACGACTCGGCCCATCACCAGGATCGACCATCGGGGACTCTTTCAGAGTGCTGATACATCCTCACGTTCTTTATTTTGCAAGGTGAGCTTGTCATGTGAACAGGGCAGTATTTTTTCCGCTCAAGTTCCGCACATGTTACCTTTGTTGGTGCCTTCTGCTTCCATCTTACTGTTCTCTCTCCAGAAATCTCGGTGCGCTGACCTGTTGCTGATATCTGCGTGCAACCACTGCTCATCATTTCTGTAGAATTCAATTCCTATTGGAGCTCAGATGCTCGGAGGTGCTCTTCAAATTTTCCCGGTCGTGCAGATGTTTGTGCTGGGACCACGCCTCATTCTTAGCATTCGAGAATACCACGCTGAACTCGTGGCATACTCCGATGCAGAAACCAGCATGAATTCGATTGTTTTCCAGGAGCGTATACATGTATCGACTAGCAGTACTGTATAAGGGAATGCTTGTCGAGTGGTCTGCAGGGAGGAGAAATTTGGAGGAGGATCCGTCGTGGTATTTATTTTAACATATGGTATTTCGAGGTATATTCGAAAGGTCTAGGCAAAGCTATTTCTTGTTGTATCACTACTGGAACAAGGTACGCGCGCTTGAACCAAGTGGTAAGCTAAAATTATATGGAACGTAACCTGGTCCTTGATGACCGATGTTAAATACTACAACCAGAATCAGTAAAAGTGCCTTGACAGCGACTGTCTTCCTTCTATATGGTCTGGCTAGGGGAGACTACTTGACAGCTGATTCTGCGCGTTGGTGTCCCACTGTCTGGACATATAGATGCTGCGAATCGTGAAGCCAGATAGCTGATAACTCATCGGTGCTCGGGTGCGATTTCCTCCATGCGATGTGCCACGGAGAATGAAGCAAATCATGACAAGGATATGGGGTCTGCCGAGAGTGATGAGTGGAGAACCTGAGGCAAAGGAGAGATATGGGTAGTCAGAGAGTCGGCCGAAGGCCTCGATGAAAGTAGTACTCGTAGTGGTCAGAACTAATGAGAGTGATAACGGTTGGCAAGAAAAGGAAAGTTACGATTCAGAACAATAACAGTTCTCAACCATATGCATTACGGATCTCTGTCGTCTTATCGTATATGTACCTTATGTCTCATTGGTGGACCTAAGTGATCGCCATCGGGCAGCTTCTCATCCAAACTTGTGCCGTCAGTGCACGGGTTTATTGGTTAATCATACTACGTATTCGGCGAGGACGATTTGGAAGGAGAGACGCATCATTTATGAGATGTGATATGGATGGAATCTCAGAGATAAATACGAAGGGGGACGGTAGGAAGACAGTTTGCTTTTTATATCCTGAATACTATTCTGTGCAGACGAAAATTTGGATGTCGATGCCCGTACCCGCCCGTGTAATACACCCAAGCCAACCCGTAACCCGTAGCACGCTACCCGCAGGTTCCACCCGGGAGGGTACCCGGGCACCCTCTACCCATGTCAGGCCCTACAGACCCCAACAGTGATATTTTTTTCAGAAGTAAGGATTTCTGCAACAAACTACTTACTACGTGTGGTGTCATTAATCACGTTGCACCAATGAGAAAGCAAAAGCATGACTCACTGTAGCTCATTCGATCTCCGAACACACATACATGTACTCTCCTATCTATCACGCCCGAGCCAGTGAGTCCACAAATCCTGGATGAACCTACTCATGCTCACCTCGTCACGCCCTGGGAGCGGTATTGGCACGCATTTATAGCCACGGCAGCAATCGTGGTTCGTGGTGCAAAGGCCGCCAGCAGTGTGGCATTCGCTGTCAGCGCTATCAGCCATGGACGCTGTCAAAGCAGCAACAACGGCAAGGACGACTCGGAAGGAGAGACGCATTATTTGTGATATGCGATTGTGAAAATAGATCGGTAAAAAGACAGGTTGCTTTTACTGGCCCTGATTTTATTTTTCATGATAGACATTGACAGTTCGTGCAAAAACCTCCGAAATAAAATGCAAATAAATGAACAAGCAACAGATCGGCGGCATTTGCCGTGCCAGCTGTGAAGCAACTTCACACACTTACGTGTGGTTCCGTCAACCACCGCAAAAACACAACTCACTGTACTAGTTCATCCGATCTCACAAGCATGTATATGCGTACTCTAGCGGCTGCCATGCTGGTGAGTCAATAAATTCTGGGTGAAACTACTCGTACTTACATTTACTTAGGCTGATTGATCAGTTGCATCGTGCAGTCATAGTAGCCGGAGAATCATTCGGAGTTAAGCTGCAAATTATGATTCAGCCTTGTAATCTGAATAACGGCACGCGATGAGGTTTTCAGTGATGACTAAATCGTCGTGCTCGAAGCAATGTAGTAGCACTAGTGCACCTGATTTACTGTCGAAAAATGTACAAATCTGTCCGAGGCGCAGAGTTTGCGACTCCCGGAACAACGTCACTGGCTCCTAGTCTTTGAATCGAACGGGGTTAACAACATATTTTCCGATCTTCGTGTCCAATTAGTACACTTCAAGTTGTATCCGCCTGATGCGCCGAATGTGAATATGCAGTGAACATAGTTGTCACGGTCACGTTTCGATCGGGCTCACCTTCAAGCACTTTACCTTGTTTGCAATGGTGCGTTGGTGTACACTGCACTACTACATAGAAGGTGCATTTGGGAGGAGCTTTTGAGATCGACATTCACATCTATAGTAGATGCACGACGTCTAGGGGACGTGGAGATCAGGTACTATTGGTGCCACCCGAAGTACACGTGGCAGTACATAGACTCGGAGGTTCAAGGAATCGCTCTCACAGGTTTCTACTGCGGCTTCCTTGCTCAGATTTATACGTGCGTGCGCATTGCGATTCAAACTTATTAACTGGATTTTGTGCTGATGAAAGGCGGATAACTTGACAGTATTTGTCGTCTTGGCGCACTTGCGCTCTTCGGCTCCATTTACCCGACAGTCCTCGTGTAACTTAATCATTGTGTTAATTTATAGCATGGCAGATAATGTAGAACAGTGTCGAGCAGCTTTGAAGAGATGCCCCCACGGTCATTCTGATCGATCACAGTCTCTCAACAATCTTGCCATCTGCCTTCGAGACAGATTTATGCAGCAGGGCATCCCGTCTGACATTGACGAGTCCATCGAGCTCCACCGGGCTGCACTATTCCTTCATCCCTCCGGTCATTCTGATCGGCCAAAGTCTCTCCACAATCTTGCCGTTAGCCTTCAAGACAGATTCACTAAGCAGGGCAGTCCCGTCCGACCTTGATGAATGCATTGAGCTAAATCAGGCCGCGCTACTCCTTCGTCCCCTTGGTCATTTCGATCGATCACACTCTCTCAACAATCTTGCCAATAGCTTTCAAGCCAGATTCACTCATAGGGGCGTCCTGTGTGACCTTGATAAATCCATTGAGCTTCATCGGGCTGCACTACTCCTTCGTCCACCCGGACATTCTGATCGATCACACACTCTTAACAATCTTGCCGCCAGCCTCCAAGATAGATTCAATCAGCGGGGTATCCTGTCTGATCTTGATGAGTGCATCGAGCTAAATCGGGCTGCACTACTCCTTCGTCCTCCCGGTCATTCTAGTCGTTCACACAGTCTCAACAATCTTGCCAACAGCCTCGGGAATAGATTCAATCAGCGGGGCGTCCCGTCCGACCTCGATGATTGCATTGAGCTCCATCGAACTGCACTACTCCTTCGTCCCCTTAATCATCCTGATCGATCACACACCCTCAACAATCTTGCCAACGGCCTCGGGAACAGATTCAATCAGCGGGGCGTCCCGTCTGACCTTGATGAGTGCATTGAGCTCCACCGAGCTGCACTACTCCTTCGTCCCCTGGGTCATCCTGATCGATCACACTCTCTCCACAATCTCGCCGTCAGCCTTCAAGATAGATTCACTCAGCACGGCGTTCCGTCCGACCTTGATGAGTGCATCGAGCTAAATCGGGTTGCACTGCTCCTTCGTCCCCCCGGCCATTCTGGTCGATCACACACTCTCAACAATCTTGCAAACAGCCTTGGGAACAGATTCAGTCAGCGAGGCGTCCTGTCTGACCTTGATGAATGCATCGAGCTCCATCGGGCTGCACTACTCCTTCGTCCGCCTGGTCACCCTAATCGATCACACTCTCTCCACAATCTTGCCAACAGCCTTGGGAATATATTCAATCAGCGGGGCATCTCATCCGACCTTGATGAGTGCATCGAGCTAAATCAAGCTGCACTACTCCTTCGCCCCCTTGGTCATCCTGATCGATCACATACCCTCAACAATCTTGCCAACTAGCCTTGGGAACAGATTCAGTCATGGGGGTGTCCTGTCGGACCTTGATGAGTGCATCGAGCTCCATCGAGCTGTACTACTCCTTCGTCCCCTCGGTCATCCTGATCGATCACACTCTCTCCACAATCTCGCTGTCAGCTTTCGAGACAGATTCACTCGGCGGGGCATTCCATCTGATATTGACGAGTCTATTGAGCTCCACCGAGCCGCACTACTCCTTCGTTCCTCCGGTCATTCTGATCGACCAAAGTCTCTCAACAATCTCGCCAGCAGCCTTCGAGACAGATTCACGCAGCGGGGCGTCCCATCTGACCTTGATGAGTCAATCGAGTTAGATCGGGCTGCGCTACTCCTTTGTAGCCCAGATCATTCTAATTGATCGTGGTCTCCACAATCTCGCCGAAAGCCTTTGAGAGATTCGCGTGGCAAGGCATTCCTTCTGACCCATCGAGGCTGCACTACACCTTCCTCCTCCCGGCCATTCTCTTCAGTCATCGTCTCTCAGAGGCCTTGCAAACAGCCTTCGAGACAGATTCCAGCAGCAGGGCGTCCCGTCTGACTTTGATGAAATATTTAGCCTATTCTCCCACATATCTCATGTAGTCTCTTGTACGGATCTAAGTTATGGGCCACTTCTGCTAACTTGAAGGAGACGAACCATGGCTCTATATTGGAAACTGCATTAACATTCCTAGATTGGCTTGTCACTTTTTTGTTGCCTGCGTCACGTCATTTTGATGTGATGATGATGACCACGGCTTTGTTTGCTGTGGATGCTTTATCGTACAGCATTCGTGATGCGCACTGACCAAAAAAAACTGTTATAGAACTAGTGGAGCAAGGCCGTGCGGTATTCTGGACCCAGTTGGCCCGCACAATCCTCGATAAACTTTCTATGACTCAAAACACCGGCGCAACCTTGGCAGAAGGGTTCTTATTTATCATTTACCTGAAAGAATGATACTTCAAATTCGCATCTTGTATCCTCTTACTTCAATATGTCTATCTATCCCTCGAGTCATGGCCTAGCGGCTTCTATTTCACACTATCCCCAGGTCAGGGTTTATCGACGTTAATTCGTTTTCCAGGTATATATAAACAGCAAGTACATAACGTGATAGCAAGTTGCAGGATGACCACCCATCGGTCAGTAATGAGAAGCAGGCATGCATAACATTTCACAGTTTTGCATTCACTTTCACCTGTTTTTCATAGCCTTCAACCAACACCCGTCTCAACACCTTCCCAGTTGGCAACTTCGGAATCTATCCAAATGCTCGATCAGCTCATCCCAAAAAAAAGAGGAAAAAACATACCGTCTCCACAATCTCAATGCCCCCTCTCAACCACTTGAACCGACTTAGGCGCTCCTGCACCCATGCATTGAGTCGTCTCACAACCTCTTTCTCACCCAACGCTACGCCCGCGGGGGATAACACGATCCATGCACGTGGTATGCGTTCGTCCGAGGTACGCCCACCCGAAACACCCGCGACGCTCACGTCAGTGACGAGCTTGTCGGGCTGCGCCAAGATCGTGCCCTCGATTTCGACGGGAGAAACTTGCACCCCTGAGATCTTGAGCGTGTCCTGTAAGGACCAGGTTCAGTACAATACGAAACGAGCTATGTTTATGGAGTGCAGCTTACCTTGGTGCGGTCTTCGAAACTGCAAACAGGACAGGTCGACTTTAGTATAAGTGGGTATATCGTACTCGTTGAATCAACCTACAAAAGCACCTCGTCCTCATCTATCCGTATCCGGTCGCCCGTGCGCACCCATCCATCGACAAACGTTTCCCGAGTGGCCTTGTCGTTTCCTTTGTATCCCAGCGTCACAGCACCTCCGCGAACGAAAAGTTCGCCCGCCTCGTTCGGGCCCACCAAGGACCCATCGGGACGGACAATGCGGGCTTCGATACCGGGGCCGAGTATTCCGGCAGAACCGGGCTTGTTTTTGGCGCGTCCATCGAGCATCCCAGGGATGGGCTTCATGGCGATAGCCATCGTCTATCTCAGACAATGACGTCAGCGAGCTGGAGGGAGCAGATGGGGAGATCACTTACGAATTCGGACATGCCATAACCTTTTGAAGATTGACAGTAGCACCAGGGATTTGCACACAATACGTGGAGAACGCACCTTCAGTAACTCTTGGTATGTCTGTGAAACGGGCGCGAGCCTGGTCGGCGAGCTGGGGCGGGAGGTATGCGCCGCCGCTTCCGATTGACTTAACCGAGGTCATGTCAGTGGTTTTAAAGCGTGGATGGTGGACGAGCTGGTGTACAAGGGAAGGAACGAGGACTAGGGTCGTGATATGGTATCTACATGCTCAAAATGAGTACCAGAAGTAATACAGGACATGCTAAATGCTCTTGCCATTCACTTACTTAGGGATGATGTCAAAGAATGTATTGATGTCCCATTTCGGGAGTATGACAGTCGTGCCGGGATTGAAGAAGTTGAAGAAAGTGGTCATGTAAAGGCCGATAGAGTGATAGAGCGGAAGGACAGCGAATGTTACTTGTAGCCCATCAGGGGTGTTCCATATTGGTGGCTAGTAGGGGTGTCAGGGAGACCACAAAAGTAGCGCCGGAAAACATACATCCTGAATTTTACCCATTTCCATACCGGTTACCATTGTTGAGAGGGTGACAGCAGTGATATTTCCATGGGATACCATGACGGCTGTACAATATAGTCAGACGGTGTGTTCATGTTTCTGCGATTCGAAAACGAGACCAGTGGTAAAAGGAGACACATACCTTTAGGAGGACCGCTTGTTCCACTGGAATAGACCAGGTAGGCCAGAGTGTCCTTGGTAGCATGACAGACTGGCAGACGTGGAATACCATTCTTTCGAGCAGAAGAGATGAGTTGATCATAGCTTGTATGGCCTGCGTTCTCTCCTTGTAGGAGGTGAATCCGATCTGCTGGGAGACCTGAAGTCAATGCGAGTTGCAGTAACGAGGAACTGGTAAAGATCCTAGTCGCCTGCGCGAGCGAATTGGCGTGTTTGAACTCGTGCGGCGTTGAAGAGGATGGGAGCAACGCAAAGGGGACAGTGATAGCCAGTAGGGAATGCAGCAAGGTTGCATAGTCCTGCAAATATTACCTTGTTAATCCATAGTCTCGACTGAACAATGGGACGCAACGCACTAGGCAGTTCTCGCTCAAAACGCCTACGAGATCTCCATTTTCTGGACGAAGACCCAGACCACCTTGCGTCACATCAGCGCCCAGTGCAGTAGCACCATCGCGGACACGTTCGACAAACTCCCTGAACGAACGCCGCTGGCCAGTAGCTGCATTCACGAACAATGTGTAATCTGGCCACTCCTGCTGGTCAGGCCGGTTCAATATCAGGTGGTGAACATTAGATTCTGGGACCTTTGGCAGGTCGGGGAAAAGCGACTTGTGGTACATCTTTCGACAGCCGATGGGGATACGCGAGCTTCAGCGGTGTACTGCGGCTGAGAATATTAAAGGTTCTATGATTGGGCTGGCTTTTTATACGATGGCATGATGAAGCCGAACTTGTACGTTTGTGGTTAGAAGTTGTCCGGGTTACAAGCGCCGCCATCAAGCCAGAATGGATGTCAACAGATTTACTCAGTGTGGACCAAACATTGATGCCAGAAGTGAGGCAAGGCGGTTACATGTTACAACTGAGCCGACCAACCGGCGACTCGATGAAATCAATCACGTTCAAGCTCAATGAATTGCAGTCCGGAGTGCAAGTGCACATGATCACACTCATCTTCACATGTGTGTTCTGGATGTTTGATGTCGCAGTTGAAAGTACCTACTAGTGCCTTTTATTTGAAATTTGACATCTACAAAAGTACCTTCACAGTCTCGCCTTCGCCTTCCCTTCCCTTACGTACTCATCCACCAGCAACCGCCTCAACACTTTTCCAGTTGGCGACTTTGGAATCTACCAAAGCATTCAATTAACCCAGAAGGAGAAGAAAAGAAAAGCAAACAACGCCCACCGTCGTCACACACGCGATTCCTCCCCTCAACCACTTATACCGACTTAGCCGCCCCTGCACCCATGCATCAAGCCGTGCCATAACCTCTTTCTCACCAAGCGCCACGCCTGCCGAGGAAAGCACGATCCATGCTCGCGGAATGTGTTCGTCCGAGGTACGCCCGCCTGAAACGCCTGCGACAGTTACATCGATGATCAGCTTGTCTGGCTGCGCCAGAAGCGTGTCCTCGATTTCAACAGGGGAAACTTGCACCCCCGAAATTTTGAGTGTATCCTGCGACAGCTCAGTACAACGCCAATAGTGACATGCAGTGGGTGCAAGCTCGCCTTGGTGCGGTCCTCAAAGCTACAAAAGAGTATATTAGTGTCATATGGTAATGAGCGTGCCGGTCGTTGTCAAATTGACTCACAAGAGCACTCCGTCCTCATCAATCCGCATTTGGTCGCCCGTACGCAGCCACCCATCGACGAATGTCTCCCGTGTGGCCTTGTCATTTCCCTTGTATCCAAGGACCATGGCAGCCCCACGTACATATAGTTCACCTGCCTCGTTTGGGCCCGCGAGAGACCCATCAGGACGGAGAATGCGAGCGTGGATACCAGAGAGTAGAATTCCGACGGAGCCAGGTTTGCTCTTTGCCTGTCCATCGAGCATGCCGGGAAGGGGTTTCACAGCCACTGACATCTATCCTCAAATAGTGGGGTTGAAGCTTGTAACGAGTAATGGATGATCACTTACGAATTCGGACAAACCATAACCTGTGTAAGCGGGTAGTAAGATGATCCACAAGGGACTGGGGAACGCACCTTCGGAAACTCTTGTCATGACTGGCAAGCGGGCGCAAAGCTGGGCGGCGAGGTGAGGTGGAAGATGTGCAGCGCTACTGTTTATGCCTTGAATCGAGCTCAAATCGGCAGTTTCGAAGCGGGGATGGTGCACGACCTGGTGTACAAGTGATGGGACGAGGCCCACGGTCGTGATATGGTATCTGTCACGAAGGATAAATATTAGTACAACAATCGCTATGAACTGCACTTACTTCGAAATACTGTCGAAAAATAAATTAACGTCCCACTTCGGTAGCATGACTGTCGTAGAGCGACCGAGGAAGTTCCAAAAACTGGTCATGTAGAGGCCATACGAGTGGTGGACAGGAAGGACACAGAGGCGGACTTCAAGCCCATCAGGGTCATCCAGTGCCGTTGGCTAGTGAAAGGTTGAGATAACAAGAAAGTATCGTCCGATGAATATATACCTCTTGGATTTTAACCGATTCCATACCGAATACCATTATTCCTAGGGTGGCATGGATGATATTCCCATGCGATACCATCAGGGCTGTATGACGAAGTCAGAAATGCTATGTATGATATGCCCATGCTTCTGCGAAAAAAAGATACATGCCTTTAGGCGGACCACTCGTCCCGCTGGAAAAGATTAGACAGGCCAGAGTATCCTTGCTAGCATGACGGACCGGCAGTCGTGGAATGTTATTCTTGTGAGCAGAGGAAACGAGCTGGTCATAACTTGTGTAACCTTTACATTCCCCTTCTAAGATGTAGATCCTATCTTCAGGGAGACCCGAGGTTAAGGCGAGTGGCAGCAATGAGGGACTGGTAAAAATCCTAGTTGCCTGCGCGAGCGAATTGACGTGCTCAAACTCGTAAGGTGTAGAGTACGATGAGAACAGTGCGAATGGAACTGTGATAACTAGCAGCGAATGCACCAACGCGATATAATCCTGACAAGACGAGCTGATTTCATTTATAAGCTCAGTGCAGAAAAATGCAACACACTAAGCAGTTCTCGCTCAGAATGCCTACAAGCTCTCCATTCTCTGGACGAAGACCTAGGCCACCTTGCATCACATCAGTGCCCAGTGCAGTAGCACCATCACGGACACGCTCGACAAACTCCCTGAACGAACGCCGCTGGCCAGTAGCCACATTCACGAATAATGTATAATCTGGCCAATCTTGCTGCTCAGGCCGGTCGAAGAAAAAGTGGTGAAGGTTTGATTCTGGGACCTTTGGCGGGTCAGGGAAGAGTGACTTGTAGTACATACTTGACCACTGATAAGTATAGCACGAAGCTTCAGCAGCGCCACGACTCCCCTCTTGAGGATAAGAAAAAGACCTATGATTGGCCTAGCCATTGGATTTGTACGGTAGATGTGCGGAACTGTGTATGGTAGCCGGTATCACGAAAGTCAGGGATCTAGCCACCTCCAGGCCTCGTAATAGACTCTGGGGTCAAAGCTGGCGGTTGCATCCGAGCGGAGTTGCAATATTGATGCGCTCATCACAAACACTCCGCTGGCTTCATTTCATCAGCAGGTGATTTCTGACTCGGCCCGGATATAGTTACCGGGCCCTACTTAATTATTACGATTTTATTTTGTCATTTATTTATCCCCGTCGCAGGCCTGTTTGAGTTTGGTAATATTAATGTTACAATGGAGTTACGCGGTAACTAGTGAAAACCAGATTCACGTGTATACCTGCATCATGCTGCCATGCCCATATCGTCCAATGATGCGATCTATCTAATAAAACAACTTGAGCCTCTGAGGGCACCAAATTGCGCGTTATAGGGGGTATGCAACCTAAGTCCCGTTGGATATAGTGAAGGAATGAATGTTGTCTTCCTATAGTTTGGCCATAACTTGTGCCTTCTGCCCGCGCTCATATTTGTCTACCAGTTGTCTCCTTAATACCTTCCCCGTGGGCGATTTTGGAATCTGATGGTCTGCATGAACACATGAACGCTTTGAAATAAAACCGGTAACGTACCATATCGACCACTTCGATGCCTCCGCGGAGCCATTTATATTTACTCAACGATTCGCGCACCCACGCGTCGAGCTTTGCTATTGTTGCAGCGGTTCCCAACTTGCGACCCTCAGCAGACAACACGACCCACGCCCGGGGTATCCGCTCGTCAATGGTGCGTCCGCCACTCACACCCGCGACTGATGCGTCAATAATAAGTTTATCTGGGTGCACCAGCAGCGTGTTTTCGATCTCCACAGGAGAGACCTGCAATCCTGAGACCTTAAGTGTATCCTATAACCATGTCGGGTGAGTAAATGAGAGCGGTTTATTTCCTCAGTAACTCGTACCTTTGCTCTATCCTCGAAGCTGCACCGCAATCAGAAGGGTTTTTATCAGTGTTTCAAGACACTCACAATAAAACGCCGTCTTCATCAATTCGTATCCTATCACCGGTGCGAAGCCATCCATCGACGAATGTTTCCTTCGTTGCTTTTGGATTATTACTGTATCCAAGTGCAACACACCCCGATCGAACGTGCAGCTCTCCCGGTTCGTTCACTCCAGCAAGGGTTCCGTCCTCACGCATAACTTTAACCTCAATACCAGGAAGCAAGACGCCCGTGGAGCCTGGCTTGTTTTTCGCCCGCCCGTTAAGCACGCCGGGAACGGGTTTGTTAGCAATAGATATTGTCTGAAAAGTCAGGAGTCGAATGTCATTACCACAGAAAGTGATTGGTCAGGCGACAGAACTCACGCTTTCAGACATCCCATACCCTATCAGGGATTAGCAAAGTGTAAAACCAAAATAAAATTTGCAGCCCACCTTCACCTATCCGCTCGAGGTTCGGAAAACGAGAAAGCAGTGCTTCTGAAAGCGACGTAGGCAAATAGGCAGCTCCGCAATTCACAACTTGGACAGTGCTCATGTCAGCGGCCTTGAACTCAGGGCGATGTACGAGTTGATGGACTAAGGAAGGAACCAGGTATAAGGTGGTAGCGCGATACCTGAAACGAATGAGCTATCATGTAGATGTGCGTTGAGGAATTTATATACTTCGGAATGGCATTGAGGAAGGCTTTGGCGTCCCATTTCGGGAGTAAGACGACGGTGAGTGGCGAAAAGAACACCCGAAAACACGATATGTGCAAGCCATACGTATGATGTATCGGGAGAACGTTAAATAGAACCTGCATGCCATTAGGGCCATTCCACGCAGGTGGCTAGCTCGCCCATTAAGCCTATTTCCGAATAAGAAGAAATGGAGAAATTACTTTCTGGAATTTGTTCACTTCTTCTGTTACAACCTTGACCTGAAGCAATGAATTCGTTAGGTTGCCATGAGATATCATGACGGCTGTTGAACGGAGAAGTGATCAGGGTCGATTTTCAAATATAAAAACTAATGCAGCACGCATACCTTTAGGAAGGCCACTTGTTCCGCTCGAGAAAACCAGATATGCCAAAGTGTCTCGCGCGGCATGCTTTACAGGCAAGCGGGGTATCCGATGGCGTCGAGTGCGGTTAACAAGGTCGTCATAGCTTAAGCGACCTTCGATGTCACCTTCCAGCACGTAAATCCGATCATCTGGCAGACCCGAGGTCAAAGCGAGGGGTAGTAATGAGGGGCTAACGAAGATACGGGTCGCCTGCGACAGTGACACAGCATGTTTGAATTCGAAAGGAGTCGAATACCCAGAAATCATCGCGAAAGGCACTGTAATTGCCATCAGAGAGTGCAATAATGCAATGTAGTCCTGAGTCTGTGCATATAGATTGATAATACATTGGTAACGGAGAAAGAGGCATACCAAGCAGTTTTCACTTAAGATCCCGACGATCTCACCATTTCCGAGAGAGATACCAAGGCCACCTTGCTCGACGTCAGCTCCGAGAGCGGTAGCCCCATCGCGTACACGCTCAACGAATTGACGGAAAGACCACCGTTTACCAGTGGTTGCATTCACGTACAACGTGTAATCTGGCCAGGATTTCTGCTCTGGTCGGTTAAAGAGCAAGTGATGGACATTGGCCTCTGGCACAACAGGGAGGTCGGGGAACATGGACTTGTGGTACATCCTGCCAAGTTGTTTTGAGGATGGGGAGAGGCTAATAATTAGTGTGATGATCCATCTTATGAAAGTTTCTGCTGCTTTTTATCCGAAGCAACTGAACTGAAGTTTTGAGGTGTTCGGGATGGCTATTGCTATAGCCGGAGTCGTGGGGCCTGGGAAATGGATGGAAGTTTTTCACGATTTGCTCGAACTGATGAGTGTTGACTTACCTCTCGGCAAGTCTGGATCTAACGGAAGCGCTTATCTTCCGCGGCCCATGATACCATCTTCTTGGATGTTTCGACATCCAGAAGCAGCCATCCATATATACTAGCACGTCCCAATTTTGCGGGTGGCCTGAAGTACCGATCAGCAAATTAATCCACATGTCAGTTCACGCCGTGGTCACTTGGTGAGTAAGAACCGGGTACAGAATTTTTTTTAGAAATCATAACCGGTCAGAGGCTCGTCCTCAAGCTTCCATAGCTCCTTGTAGGGGCCATTCAAAACACCTTTTACGCTTATGCACCCGTTCTTTGGGAAGTCCGGTCTCTTTCTATAGCAATAATACTCCCTTGAATCTTGATACTCCCTCTTATTCCCTGATAAGGCCCCCGCAAATCATTCAGTTGGTATTTACTCAGCTTTTCCGCCACTGAAGTCATAATGCGCCATCGGGTCGCATTGCAGAGTAGATATTCCACGGAGTTGTCGGTCCCCTTATCTGCCACGGTAGCTCCTGGGGATTGACCGTGACGGCTGAGCCTACTATGTGCTGTCCATGTTTCAACTTCCATTGTTGAAGAGAGTGCCTGATACCAGCCGTTTGGCGTGATGGCGTTCCGGTGCTACGCCAGTTGTGTGAGCGGTGCATAGCATCAGAAATCATCATCAGAACTTGAGGTTCTATCGGTGTGTCATTTCTCTGCATATCGGGCTGTGATCATCAAATTCAGATCTTTTCGACGTGTCCCGGTTAGGCTGTCTTCTTAAATGTCGTGATTGATGCTTGATATCATTACGAAGGGAGAAAAGTTTGACTCCTTGCACTGCCTGCTTAGCCGTTTTGATGCCGCCAGTGCCTCATCCGGACCCGTCCTCATCCTCAGGTTGGTCAATCACTGTGTTCTTCACTTCCGATAGCATGTGTCCGCTTATCGATGCTAATGTCGTGAATAGACCTATACACATGTTTGCGACTGAACGCCGCCGGACCCGGACGCCGAAGATAACACCTGAACAAGGAGCATAAAATCTTTCGGAGCATTAGGACGTTCCAATCTTGATGTCCATCTGGATCCGGTTGCACCATTCAGGAGAAGCTGCTAGTCCAGGCTGGAACTGGCTTTTAGTCGGTTATAGGATGAACCGATTCTTGTCATACATATTACGGCCCCAAGACTGCCAAGTTGGACCCACGCCCGATACATAATGTTTACGACAATATATCCCCCCCTTGCTACTATTCAAGAGGTATAGGGGGTCCCGAGTTATCTCGGTTCTTTCTGCGGATCAAACGATGCCAAAACTTGGTCGAACGCTGTTTAGGTGTTCGAATCAAATCATGGATGTAACGAGTTGCTCACGGACACGCCATTTATCGATATTTGTACGACAATCTGCTCCGTCTACACGGACATCTCTCGAAGTCAACGACCAAAAGACCTGCCATCAACTTATCCTACAATCAGATTACTACAGACTGCTGCTTGTCCGGGACGTGATACCGGAAAGGCTCGTACCATGTCGTATAAGGAATCGACAAACGACAAGGCACCATGGTTTTCTGGAAGGGTGGCTTTCCATTTCCTCATATATGAATCCACTATCGATATTAGGCTCCCGGCAGCTCCTCCCAAGTTCCATCCGTCCAACCTGAAAACGGCCTCAGAAATGCAATTCCATCATGATGTCAAAAATCACATGGTGTGACCTACTACTATGACTCGGACTTGCAACCAATATGACGTATGATACTCAGCGCTCAGTAAAGCGCTGAGCATTGACGCTGACGACGGCGACGGAGGCAATGTCATATATGGCATCTCAATTAAATGTAACAAGTTTACTGGAATAGATCAGCCACTATCATTTCTTCGGCTCTTGTGGCCCCTCGCTGGAATCTTGCTGGTAAGCAGCAATTTTAAAACAACACATTTGACAGACAATCGAGAGTGTCGCCCAGCGAGCACTTGTTCCAGCAGTCAAGGTGAGATAATTGCAGAGCTGCTGCGCGAATGGATTGCTATTGAGGTGGTAACGCGTTGCTCGAATATCTTGGGAACACGCGAGAGCAGCGGAAGGTTCTGAGTCAACTGGTGCCATCCAAGTCATTGGCAGCTATATCCGGAACTACTCTATTCACGAATGATAACAAATAAGACTAGTGGCGATACAGGGAATGCAATATCTGCACGTTTTTGCTGTACCAGGTAATGTAAGGAAGTCCTGTTACGTAAATGATTAATCGGCGTTAATCAACACTGTGAGGCCGCAGGCATTCGAGAGGGGCGTGTATTGGAGTTGGGAGTCGGACAGGTCATAGTAAGGTTTACGGAGTACCTTCAATACACCACTTGACGAGTGTCTTATGAAATGTAATAGCCGGATTATCAGGCTGCGCACCAAGCAAATATATCTCGTTTTGGCGGTGCCGGTGAGCTTCCGACTATCCGATGGCATTACGTAACCAAAAACACGCAGTCAATTCCTGCCACAATCAGCCTATGATACCAAGACGGACCACTCACTCTTCGATCTATATGTAATGGCTTTGCCATTCGTTTGCCAACCTCCTCGGTTCCAGACAACGTTCACGGTCGGCGACTCAAGTACTCAATGACTGTAGATACTTCCTTGCGGGAAGGACTCGTGCCGGAGTTGATGTCAGACGGGCTGACTCTTGCGCCGTGTCGTATCATAAATTGAATTCTAGATTAGAGTCTCGACCAGTGTTAGCCCATTTCAAGCTTCGCCTCGATTCATGATCTACTAAGAGGTCTAGTGTCCGTGACGATAGGGAGCACAATTATCGACTCATGGATAGGACCATGTCATACTCCGTCTTGGGTCCGCATTGCCCAATCCAAATTACCATACGTGAGGGTGCAGCACTGCCAGCCTCGGGGACTAGCACCGCAGCCCGAATCCTCGCCCGAGAGCAACACGTCAAGCTCAACGATCCTTAGCCTGAGTATTTATTAATCTGGACGTTGCCTTGTCACTGAGTGCATACAACGCGCCCACGAAACTAGCAGTGAGGCGAGTGTTGCCTTGCATAGACATTTCTTTTATGGTGCTAGATCTGATTGCTTCTCACCGTGGTTACATTCATCAGTTTCAGAGTCGTAGATGGGTATATTACTAGACATGCCCACCTGCAACGTCTAGACTTCCGAGTCATATTAGAGTATACTTTTAGTAGCCAGTGACCTTGTACATTATTCATTATTAGATTGCCTACTGTTATCGTTCAAATTCTTGTTCACTACATAGTAACTAGGCTAGGTTGCGCTCCTATAGACCATAATAGAGTACTTGCGGATATAATAATAGTGTCAGGCACCGTATGGCAACAACGTTTCACAAGAACTCTGAACAGACAACACACACCCGCCTCGTTGGCAAGGGTCAGCTCAGCCGTAGTCCCTTCAGCTTCTTCTCTGTACTATCTCAACCTGTAACAACGTTTCCTCAAGATGCCGCCCAGTTTGAAACAAAGACTTGCTGCTCTTTCACTTGCCGCATCTTCTCCAACTTCTCCTCTTGGATCTGACTCAGGTCCTCATTCTATCAGTCGAAGAAAAGTATTCAATCCACATTGGAGGCGAACCCCAAGTGCTACGGGATGTGAACCGGGAGCAAGGGATAAAGTACAAGAGGTTATGGGCAAAGTTATTTTCCAAGCCGGTGTTGATTTTGAGTGAGTGCAGTACATGGTTATCAGCCACTGTCAAGCTATTCATAGCACCTTTCCTCCCTAGGACTAGGCCTATGTAAGTTCTCCTCGGCCTTGGTGACGGATACTAGCACGCTCTAATTGACGGCTTATTCGGCCTGTAGGGTCATTATTAGTGCATCGGCATTACCAGATCCACAAGAGGTCTCCTATGATCTGCTTTTGCAGTACGTGTCTGTGCAAAACGCAACCAGTTATCATCCTCATCCCGTATCAGGCGAATTCTGTCATACCTTGATCTCTTTGGTTCGTTCACCTTCAGTGCTATGACTATCTACTGGTCTCACCAAACTCACCTCGTTATCTCCAGTTGAATCCGATTACACAGTAGTATTCTTTGCAGCAGGCAATCGTTACGCTCCTCACTGGAACTGGGTTTGGAAGGCATATCGAAGCCTGAGTAGGAAGTATCGCAAGAACTTGAAACGCCTGGTCAGTGATACTTCACTTACTCACGATGCAAGCAACTAAATGTTCAGCGCAGCTCATTGTACACTCTTCTCTCTTCTCAAAAAGTACGTGAAATTATCCATTCGGTCGGGCAGTCCTTTTACCTGCTTTCCGCAGTGCTTTTCTCGTTGGCAGGTGCTGTTGTCAGGTCTTTCAGGTTTCGCTGTCATGGTTTTCGATCGCGCTGAACATTTCCGCAGCCCCAAGTTCTTTCGCAAAATAGCCTACGTCGACACTCTGTCGGATCTTGCTACCCAGGTTCCATTGACTCAAATTGACATTCCACCTGCAGGTGTATAAGTAAGCGCACTTAACCTGTTCAACACCTCTGATAACACATCTATAGAGAGAATTTGAAACATGAGAAGCATATTGTATTACCGAGTCCCATTTCCTCTAGCATCTTTGGTGTGCCCTTAGAAGAACTCATGGGTCATGACGGCGAAAAGGGTAGCATTCCGCGGGTTCTGAAAGATTCCATCCAAGACCTTTTGAGCTCTGGTGAGTATCGAGGATGACTCTTATTTTACTTGAACTCATTAAACATATATAGGGCTGAACGAGGAAGGGATTTTCAGGCGCTCGCCGAGTTCCGTGTTACTCAAACAGGTTCAAGAAGCATACGACAGAGGTATTTTTCTACGTCAACGCTGAATCGCATATTGTGACACTTCACTAGGCCAAGTCGTTTCCCTCCAAAGCTTTAATGACCCCCATCTCGCAGCTGTGCTATTGAAGAAGTATCTCCGCGACCTTCCCAGCCCCCCATTCCAGACTCTCTGTATCCCTGATATACGTCGATGTCCGACACCATCGAATGACGGCATCCTTGCTATGGCATATATTCGCGACACACTCCTGCCACAAGCTGATGCCATGCATGTACATCTTATTGAGTAACATATTTTGTGAGCTACGCTTTTCTTTGGTATGTCAGAAGACCTGTGCCTCACGCCGATTCAGACGTGCTGCACGAAGTATCTCTACGATCAAATGTAAATCGCATGGACGCACACAACCTTGCTATTGTCATTTGTCCCAACCTAGTCAAAAGCTCCGACCCGATGCAAGATGTACTCCTATGTTCTATACCAAGCGGACCATCGATGACCAGCACAATGGCAGCGGCCACACAGACGGCATCGACATCCTCCACTGAGACTTCAAATAGCGATACTACCTTGGGATCTATCGTCAAGCTCTGCATCCAGCGCTATTATGAAATATTTGACGAAGTCCATGATCGCGCGGAGGCAGTGCCCCCGTCCATTCGAAGGTCACCTTCTCCACCATCATCGGAGGGTCCATCAGGCTCACAGCTCAAGCAGGCCCGGCCATTGAGTTTACGGAGCGATGACGAAGACATTGATGATGCGATGTTGGTCATGCCGATTGGGCCCAGTGGGTCGGGAACTGCTTCCACGAACGAGACTTTATCCAATGTATGGAGCGGTGGCGGTGGCGGTGGCGGTGCAGATGTAGAACCAAATGCAAATGTCTTGCCATACCAACCCCGGCGACGAAAGTTTCTTGCACGTGGGGCCGGAAATGGAGGCGGGGGCAATGAAAATGGCGTAAGCTCTCTAGTGACGAGAGCCACAATGGTGCAGGGCAGTCCCATCGAAGTACAGCGCGTTCGACAATCAGCATAGAGCGTGTGGGGAGTGTGTTGGGTTCTGGAAAAGGTTCGATATCCATTGGTCGTGGGGCGCTTCGCAAGGCTAGTGGATCGGGGGTGGAAGCAATGGGAATCACTGCTGGCGGGTTTTTCACTCCACCGAGCACTGCTACTGCACCCACACCGAGTAAGCGTCGAGCATGGGTATGAAGACCAATGCTTGATACAGGTTTTTTTATTAGAAGTTCCGCTATACATCACCATCCGCTGTCTATTCACCGGCTACCTAAGCTTGAAGCTTGTGTGTTCAAATATATATCTCATGCTCATATCATATATTTACAATGTCCATGTATATTATGTACGACAGTCTTGTAAATTTGATGCTGTACCGATTCGGGTTTCAGATATCAGTTTGTCCTTACGAGGGAACATCAGTCTCTAATATCTATCGGTGTTCGACTATATATTATGACTTGTTCGGCGCTCAGCAAATACTTGAGATGGAGATGTAACATCGACGGAGCCGGCTGCAACGATGACAGTTCAACATAAGAGTTTATAATGTCATTACTAGTAGTACTATACTACAGGAACCTCCATAAGCATCAAGGCAGGGCCAATGCAATAACCAATTGTAACCTACGATAGGCAGATAACTACGATAACAGGTGACGGTTATACTTTTACCACTTATCTTACGTAAACTAAATTTCAAATCCGGTAACTTCCGCTGTTGTCATAATCGGGATTCTAATCTTCTTTGCTATCATTTCTCTTTTTTCCCTTTCATGATCAGTGCACCCTCTACTACGCCCAGGTCTTCCGCTCGTGTTCCATGATCAGCCTCGAGTCGGAAGCACGAGGGAGTGGCAAGTAAGCCCTCTTATCGGCTTCCTCTGTGAATCTGTATTTCGCAGCGAGGCAACGATCCAGATAGGCAAATAGCCTCCCGGCAGTACTTTGCCGTTTCACTCATTGTGCAGGACTATGTCAAAGCGCCAAAGCGATATTTCACGATACTTGACCCCATGTCGATGGCTATCACACACTTGACACACAGAACCTTGACCAATTGTTACTATGACAATGATACCAGGGCCAAGTGGCTTTGTATCGTGCATACGAGGACTATACGCTTCGATACCTCTGGCGTGGTCTATCGGTGCATCCGTGCGTTTACGCGCGGCATTAGCCCTCCTTGACTCGCCAAACTAGAAAGCATTTGACAAACGCATACCAAGCACTCATTTTTGACCAGATTCGTGCCTACTCGCACAGAAACGCGTATCCCACGCAGTCACACCGTTGGCCAGATCCATGTTTAATCGCATAGAAAACGCACATACCGTGCAGTCATTGTTGACCAGACCAGTGCTTCCCGCACAGAAACGCATATACCACGCAGTCATATTATTGACCAGTGCACGATAGCCGCGTTGAATTGCGCATACCACGCAATCATACCATAAACCACGCAGACATACAAGATGCGTTGCTCGCGGGGCAAGTCATGGACAAAGCATACGAGGACGACCTTGGAATCTATCGGTGCTTCCGTGCTTGGTGCGGCATGACTCAAGTCTCCCTGGGCTTTTGAATATTACCAGGACATGGCCCTAACTGGAACATGAACCTATGACATATAATTCACAGACCGTTGTCATATCAACCTCTGTCATGATGTCAGGCTGCAGCTGCACCCTATCGATCCAGCGAGGCTAGCTTCGAGTCGGACTCACTACACCTTGAGTTATCTCGGGTTTATGTGGGCCTCTGTGTGTACGCACGCAGCGAAGTGGAAGCCCGTTGAAAATATATCCTGCCGAATTTTGATTTCGGTGGCGGAATTTGTGAAACTTCGTTCTTCCGCTGGGAAGAGTATGTCATCACCACTGTTCCACGGAACTGGTTGTCCTATAATGTACACGTGTCTGTCGGAGCTCTTCATGGCTATTCATAGTCGTAAGTTGCTATGCATCTATACCGTATCTTGACGCTCACGATAGGATTTCACAGGGGCTCGCTACCTTGACTTTATATGACGGTTATTTCCGTCGATGCGGGGCAGATCCTATGGTTTATGCCAGGGTCTGTTATCTTCAGCTGGAGCCCTCGGGCCTGTTGAGGATTATCGCATAATTTTTTGCTCCTTCCCTTCTTCGTGAAGGGTCCTTGTTTGGACTACGTTCCGTGTATGTGGATAGAAGCTATATCGTGTTGTACCCCGTATCCTTTTAGTCATATATGTATGACACTCGCCTTAGCGATGCGGCGTGTCTTGTCCCTGACTCTTTGTCTTCCGTTTATGATTATACATGATATCTTAGGCTATGGCGCTTGACTTGTTATGATACAGTCACTCAACACCCGTACAGACGGATATCTATGTGTACACCTTTGCTGAGATGTATCAGGATGAATTAAAATTAGTGCGATTTCCCGGTTCCTGCGCCCGGCCCAACGCACGAGCTCCCTGGCCTCGACAGCGCGCTCAAATACTCGCCGAATCCTTCGACCTTTTCCCTGATTCTTTTTGTGCGACATAAATTTATGATAAATGCGCGTGTGGCACATCATAGTTGAGCGGATTAATTGAATTCAGGTACGTACTAGAAGCATGCAAAAGTGTCCTCATGCTTAATGACACGAGAAGTTTCTTACAATCATATCAAACTATCTGGCAAGTGACTTGCTGTGCCACATACATATAATAGACCATATACCTTTGTTGACCTGAATCTTGTGACTGACTGTTGTATCCATCTCGTCCGCTTCCTGAATGTTGAATTTTGAAGTGTCTCATCATCGGGTAAAGAAGATATTCAGCACCGTGGATGTCAAATATGAAATCAGGGATAAGTAGTCCAAAACAAAAGATTTTGCTGGCGCCTTCAGGCGCCAATCCAGTCCCTCCATGCTGAAAGCATCATCAATCCAAATGCTTGCGACTCTGTACTCAGCAGCCCTGTTTGATTCCAATATGGGAAGGGATCTGGTAAGGGATTCACTATGGGCTGCATGGTACCGAGGTTCGTGATATTGCCCACTACAGCATCTCGTATTTTTGCAGCCACGTCTGTGTAATTTGCGCCGAAATTCTGGGGGAATACATGTGCAACCCGATATGCCACAGAAGAAAGAGCAGCGGAGGAGGCTGCGTCAGGAAAGGACGGACCCCCAGTGATATAGTTCGGGATCAAATTGTCTGATCTCTGTGTCGAGAAGATGACGTTAGCCATGAATGGGGCTGGAAAGATTTGTCTCTACCAGGGCAGCGAACTCGCCATCCAGAATTTCCTTAATCCACAAGGTAAGATTAGCAATCTGGGGAGCCATTTCTGAACAGTGCTCAGTCTTCTGAATCGTCACAGCAACGCGCAGCATGCCATGTGCTGCCCACGCATTACCTGCGCAAGTTTCGCGCGATTGTAAGTTGTATATTGTATATGCGGAACCACGGAAGTGCTCACCAGTTCCCCAGATACCTTCATCTATCCACGTTTTATTATCGTCGGAGTAAATATGTCCCCAGAGTTTTCCAGTGGGACCGTCTAGAATAAGAGCATCACGGTACAACCGACATTGATCATATGCGATTTGGAGGAGAGTTGCGTTGTTGGTAACCGCCCCAAAGTATGCAATAAAGGGGAACCCCATGTAGACGCCATCAGCCCTGTTCAGTCATGTTGAGCATTTTAACACATATCTCAGATAGCAAACATCGAACCAATATTGACGTGAGTCAATACGATGGGAAATAGCTCCAGTAGAGGTACGAGGAGCCACGTCGAGTAACTAGCCGTCATTGGTCAGTCGGAGAAGCTGGAAGTAAGTGCAGAACACACAAAATTTAGTTGGGCGTTAGCCGCGTCCAGCCAATAGTTGTACCGAGATGGGTCAGTCAAACTCCCTGTTTCAGTAGTTGAAAATTTGAAAATTCCGGCACAACAAAGTGGTGTTTACCCAACAGAACTGCAGAGCCAGCAGAGGCACCATCTAACGCAGCGCCATCCAGCGCATCGCCGATTTCTTGACTGAGGCGACCGTCAGGACTTTGCCGTACAGCAGCGCTATAAGCCAGCTGCAGAGTTGCAAGGGGGAATTTTCATCACAAACAAATGGGGAAGATCCAAAGACAGAGTACTCTGGATCATCGAATTCGAGCACGGCTGCCGCCGCGGTTCCTTGTTCCCAACTAAACCTGAGCACGGTGCAACTGATTTGAGTTATCATACGATGACTTACCTAGTCCTGACAGAAGCCAACATAGCTGACCGAATGTTGCCTGCTACCCATAGCTTGCTCTGGTACAGTGATGCATCCGAAGAATGAGCTGCATATGCACCAAGGCATAGGAGGGACCATACACTGACTGCCAGCCTCGTCTGACGCATTATGAAGCAAGGGTAGAGACGGAGAATGTAAGATTGCTACTTAAGTAGGACTTGGAATTATTCAATTGGCATGAATGTCGAGACCCCATTGTATTAAATGTAATACGCCGACTTTCGAGGTGCCGATTTTGTCGGCAACGACAACAGCCGTCAGGGCCGGGGCTACAAGCGCTTGATAAATTTCGTGGCGTGTCTAGCTCTCCCACAGTTGTCGGTCACGGAGCGCTGAGCAGTGGTGGCCCTTTCAATTTCGTTCGGTAACCATCCTGGTTAGGCTATTGGAAACTTCGAGGGGGGATTGAGGGATGGATGTCATTAGCCCGCAGATGGGCTGAAGAATATAATGCGTTATTGATAAACACAACTGTACTAACAGTGGGTAGTTTTGTCGAAGCGAGGTGACTTCCAAATTCGGTTCAGTTCGAATTGTGAAGCAGTTCGATCTACCAGCGACTGTCAGTTATAACAGTAACTTACTCAGTAAGCACTTACTAACTTACTTCAGTGGGATCTAGTTGGACCTAGCTAAGTATGCTATTCTGACATACGCATGTAAAATTATATGTATCGTGAGGGCGTCTACAAACCAAGTCTCCGGCTCCGTTTTGCGCACCCAAATTTGCAGATCAGCCCCTACACCTCTTGGACACGGCTTTGAATATTTTCTGCAGTATTCCCACAGACATCGACTTTTACTGAGATAGGTCTGCCAAAATCTTGTTTCAGTCGAGAGTTTGAATGGAATGGAGAAAACACCAACTTTCACACACGGCAAGGCCGACCGATATTTCATGTTTCAAAAAGTGCTTTTGAAATGAAAAACCAAGCAACAACTTATTATATGTCATATGCGTGTGAGCACATACACAGGGTATAGCAGCGCACGCACTGGGATAAATCCTGTTCCGACTGCTTCGACTGTCAGAGAAGATGACAGCACAGCTGAAGCTTTGGGCATTTGCGTGAATTATGGTTTCGAGGCGCGTTGACCTCGAAACAACAATCACATAAATGCCGCTGGAATTTCTGCCTGACTATTCCGAAGGGCTGCTGCGAGTACGTATGAACTGGCAGCATGGATATAGATTCTAACAGTGGTCTCACTGTTGACCAGATTCAGTGCTAGCAGCTACCCCATCGCCCATGGCGAAAGGAAAGGTCAAGTGCGGACGTCTCTGCAGCTCTGCAGACAACACTCGACCTAAGACGTACAATTCCCGACTTTGGAGGGGTTGAGGCGATCAAAGTCCTGCAATAGTTTGTCGTCTGTATACATGACATTATACGTAAGCGTATACTTTTTCATGGCGAAAAGACCAGAGCTCAAGCGCTTGAGATGCTAGAGAGTCGGCCACTCTTCAAAAGCGCCTTGACTGAATCGAAAGAAACTGATGTTACCCGAGTCCACAGCCGCGATGACTATATTCTTTTTGCCAGCCTTGAGTGCTGCAAATGGATGCGGCCGTGGTTGAGATGATATAGGCTGTGGCGTTGATAATGGCAACAACCACGAGAAAATATATTTGAATATTGATGTGTGGACGGGCGATGCGACTGCTGCAGGGGATGATTGAACTACCGGAGGTGCTCCACGCTTTCGTGGGAGAGGCGGGGGAGTTTCCGGAAGAACATTGAATAGCTCCGTCAATTCGTACAGAGAGGGCACAAAAGCGGTTCGCGCACTGTCACGCAAAGTTCAACTGGCATGCCTCGACAATCAGTCTGGTCTTACTTGATGATGACAATCTGGAAATCAGGTTGTGGAGGAGTAGTTTTCCGAAAGTTGGTCGAGGGCTTGTACATGTTGTAGAATATCTTGTATGGAGACGATGGTGTGACAGGAGTCGCACAACTTGAATGAGGCGCGACTGAGTGACCTGCAGGTATGACTCGCAGAGACTTGAGGACCTTGCCTAGACAAGACTCGTTATTGAAGAGCTCGAGCGGAGTAAAGTGGTTCCAACCATATGATTTATCGTGATGTATCAACCGACTTATCCTGAGTGGTTTCCACCAACTAAAAGACCCTCTCCAAAATCTCAAAACGCTCGTCGTAAACAGCGAGAAGATCGATAATAATCTTCGGCAGAATGACGGAAGTGCTTCACTCCTTAGGCGAGGTGGGGGTACTGGATAACTAGGACTGGGTGGATCTGTGCGGGTGACGACATACCCCAAGCGTCTCAAGTATGCAAAGACCTATAAGCGATATTGGGTATTATTAATGAAAAATGTCTGGTTTCAATCACCTGATATTTTTCGAGCGTCAGATCTTCCTTCCCAATTATTTCTGCAAAAGCTGTTGAACAGACATCGGAGCACCTTCAATGTCATCCAATCCAGTCAAATCTGCTTGAATGTCTTTCCAGCAGAACAAAGCACCCCTTTCAATTAGATAAAGTGCCTCTTCTGGCAGTAACTCTAGTCTCTTCTGCAGCTTCGTTGAGCCGTTATCAATTGATGTGGGCCGTGCTGCTGAATGGCCCATGACAGAAAAGTGGATACCTCTGGCAACGGTGACGTGAACGCGAGATATTTGCGGAAACCAGATGCCATAGCTAGCAGATTTACTATGCGGTGATCAATGTTCGATTCATACAACTAAAACATAAAAAGTACCTAGATATAGCGCGATCAGCTTTGAGGGCGTCAAACATCGCAGCGCGTGCTCGGTCCAACACATGGACTTGAAGACCCGAACCCCCTCCTGGAGCGGGCTCAAAATCTTTCTCTCCGCGTTTTGGGATTACCGGACGCATGGTGCCAATCTTTCTGCTACGCTTAGTATAATATATGTACGTATAATGCTCAAGGCTCACGGTAGCTTTGTCCAATCCAGGCCCCCATCTTCATCCCCCGAAGATTCTGCTTCAGCTGGATCTAAAGTTGATGTCGCAGGCTGAGGTCGCGGCCTTTCTAGTGCATGATCCATGTCAGGTAGTGGTAGACTAGAAATCGTCTAGTCATGATTAGTATAAAACGCTATAATTACGTAATTTCTAGGTAGTCACACAAAAATGTTGAAAGCTTTGGCGAAAGGGTTTTGGAGTGGACCGCGATCATGGTAACAGAACGGAAACCGACGTTCTTCCAGTCTCTCGCTGTGCGCAAAGTTCCTTGCAAGATGAAAATATCTGTGCCGACGTGACATCCCTCATAGGCCGGCGGATTGGCAGGAACAGCGGTCGACATACTGTTCTTCCCGATAGACACCGTCAAGACCCGTCTGCAGTCTGCGCAGGGATTCATCAAGGCTGGCGGCTTTCGCGGGATTTACAAAGGTGTGGGTAGTGTGGTTGTTGGAAGCGCCCCAGGAGGTATGTATGGAGTATGTTGTCAGGCCATGGTCGTTCTGACACGGAGATTACAGCTGCTGCATTCTTCTCTACGTATGAAGCCATGAAGCGCTCGATTCCTCTTCGCGACCAACTTGCGCCTGTGAACCATATGCTGTCCGCGTCTGTGGGAGAAGTGGCAAGTCCTTGACTTGCAAAATTTATCTTCCGCAAATGAATCTTTTCCCGGTCAGGCTGCTTGTTTGATACGCGTTCCTACAGAAGTCATCAAAACCAGGATGCAAACATCGACGTATGGTGCTTCGGCATCTTCGTTTAAAGCCGCAACACTTGTCCTGCACCATGAGGGTATTCCAGGATTCTATCGTGGTTTTTGGATGACTATCATGCGCGAGGTAGACGAATGGATTCTCACCCTGTATGAATGTTCAACTGATTTAGTACTTGTACTTCCAAGATACCCTTTACATCACTCCAATTCCCGCTATATGAGTTTCTCAAATCTCGACTATCAATATATCTGGACCGAAAACCCCTATATGCACATGAGGCTGCTGTCTGTGGGAGCATAGCCGGGGGGACTGCAGCAGCACTAACAACACCGCTCGACGTCCTTAAAACACGCGTCATGCTTGATCTTAGAGTAGGTCTCTGTTATGAATCTTGATGACATATTTACGGCGTATCCAGGATCCTTTGAAGCAGCAAGTGCCAACTCTTTCTATGCGATTTCAGCAAATTTACGTGCAAGAGGGCGCAAAGGCTCTTTTTGCAGGTATAGTGCCGAGAACGATGTGGATATCCGCAGGAGGAGCTGTCTTCCTCGGCGTCTATGAATGGGCCGTTCATGGTTTTATGAGCGCCTAAGCGAGAGCAAACCTACAGTCCAAATGCGCATCTAAAACGGCCGGTAGGACCAGTGGGGGTACGCCCTACACTGGGGCATTTGCGATTTTAGTAATGCGATGCAGGGCACAGGTGTCCATTAGACTAGATGGCATTGTCCAATATATGGTAGATTACTCCAATGGACAGAAAATGGATCCAAAAAAAACCTGTGATCAATTATGCCTAGAATTCGTCAGTTCTTCAACATGTCATTTTTTACAGTCAGCAAGATCAACGACGATAGACTGATCAACTTTGCTGTTTTATGCTACCCAAAATACCCAATGCCCAACCTTTATCGCCATGAAGCTTCTCAGCGAAGAAATTGCCTAAAACCTCCTGCAAGTGCGCTATAGTCACAGTATCTCCATCGTCCGTTGCATCCAATGACTCAGGCATATCCGATGCGGGATGCAGAACATTCAAAGCGGTCTGTTGGATACTCAACATGTGTGATCACGCAGAATAAAAAGAATACTGACCATAACGGAATCGACGAGAGGGCCAGTATCCCCTGGTGTGCATTCACTTCCCACAACTTTTACTCCGCCACCCTCCACGAGTCCCTTCCTTACCGCCTCCTTTCCAATCCCCACCAGGCCGCGGATGGCACCTTCCCGCGTTCCCTTGGATTTGTCTGCTGAAATGAGAGCAACGAGGAGTGTTTTCATAATCCGTGGTGAAAGGGATGGATAAGTCGTAGAGTGCTGGGTAAGTAAACGGGATAGCGTCTGAGCAGCGGACGTGCGCAAGTGAGTGGTATGTGATGGTGGAAGCGTGGAATGGAGAAGAGTCGAAAGGATAGCCGGTAATAATTGGTGGAGCTGTACAATATCAATTTACTGAACGGTGTCGGGTTTGATTTATCACTCACATAAGGCTCGATGAATAGCGTATTGTTCTCTAGAATAGCGCTAACGACGTCCAATAAAACCTCCAACGATCGACCATCCGCTTCAGCTTGAGCGCCCTCCTTTAGCGCAGTCACGACACCCTCTCCAACCCAGCGAATGAGGTAAGGCAAGAGCGCTTGTAATCCAGCATCATTGCGCAGACTCGCAAGGGCCGCTGTCCGCTTGGTAGAGTCAGCAGTAGGTGGCAATAACGACGCTGTAAGCCGCGTATAATACAGCTGCAATTCTCGTGATAGCACTTGTTTGACTAGCTGCTGCTGTTGCTGTTGTTGCTTCTTGACTGTGGATCGGCTCTCTGACGGTGGGGTCAATGGGAATGCGCCGTTTGCTTGGGGTGGTGACTTTGTAATTTCTTGATCGACGTCCTTCGGTATTGCCGGCGGATTTTCAGGAATGAGAGGCTGGACACCTTCAACTGCAAGCCAGTGAGCAGTCCAACTGACACCTTTTGGCAGTGTGATTTTCTCCTCTCGAAGCACGCGGTCAAAATCGATCTCTTCGTCCTCCACGAAGTAGACAGGGCCTACATTGGCCGCGTTCGGAAATGGAAGAGCCCGCCTGAATACAGGGGGATTGTGGGGATTGTGACCATAAAGAGGTTCGATATTCAGAACTCGAAGGGCCTGGTCAATGTCTGAAGTTGTTATTGTGGTTCGTCGAGCATGGCGCATGAATCGCGAAGCTTCCTGATATCTCCTTAGCTTCTGACAAGTGCAATTAGACGTAAATAACACACCTCTATGACCTGATGGATGCGATACTCGACATCGCTAGCGAGCGAGGATGCTACTGTTTCGGATAAGTTGGCAATGCCTAGCGACTCGGCAACGTCCTGCAAATGTCGGCTTCATTTCGTCGTATAAACTGACACTGTTGTAATGCATACTCTAACCGAGTCTGACTTGTATATCCCCGTTTGATGTGTCTGAGCAGCTTTCGCCTTCGGTTTGCTCATCGTGATGTTGAATCTTATTAATATTATGCCGCTCCACTGAGTGGACCTCATTAAGTCACGTGCACAATACACATCAAGCCTTCTCATCACTTAGTCAACCCTACTTTTCAACACTGCGAGATTTCACCTATAGACTGTAACCTGATTATCCCTCTTATCAAAATGCTTCTCTTCACCTAAGGAATGTACAAGACCTCCAGACGGATTCAAATAATACTCAAATGTGAGGGAGTTTTTTGGGGGTTCAATTTGGTGCATCTACCAAAGGTGACACAAAAACTCTCGCTACTCTTTCAGGAACTTGTCTGTGTAATTTAGTCTCAGTACTCTGGAGTACTCCTGCATCAGCCACAGGCTAAATACAACCAAGCGCTATTTCTCCGACGATCTACCGAAGGGGCTGCTTGCCGGGCTCTCTTACACACCCGCCGATGGGTAGGAGTCCGTATAATATGGATACGCATATGTTGTTCTATCATTACTTGTATTAGCTCCCCCTCACTTGCACCAACTGCTCTGCTGTGTTACGTGCGCCTCGAGTCTTTGCATAACCCATTTTCTCAACACTCGACCAGAATCAGCGATGTCAGACAACCAATGCAACGTTGACAGTCCTTTGACCTTTATTTATAAAGAGGTCGACGGAATCCGTGTCCTGCTCGACGTCTATCTTCCACCAGACGGTGTCGACCAGCAATTCGCCCAGCAGGTGATTCAGTATCACCCAGCAGTCGTCTACTTCCACGGAGGGGGTCTAACCGTAGGAAATAAACGGAGCTGGTTCCCTACTTGGCTGAAAAGTGAGTTTTAGCTGTTCTTCCCTCATGTTGGACACATTGACTAATGCGATCACCAAGGCCGGTTGCACGCACGCGGTATCATATTCATCAGTGCAGATCATCGTCTTATTCCTCCAGGGACTGGATACGATGTGCTCGCTGATGTGAAGGACGCCATCGCTTTTGTTGCGGGAGATTTAAACGTTCAGCTCGATCAGGAGCTGGCTGATCTTGGCTCTGGTTCACGTTTCCGCATCGATCCCACGTCGATCGGTGTCGCTGGAACTAGTGCGGGCGGGTTCTGCGCGTATCTATGCGCTATCTATGCAGTCCCGAAACCGAAAGTAGTTCTCAGTTTATATGGTATGGGGGGCGATTTTCTGGTATGCCCCGTCTTTTCGCCTCCGAAAGTCTTTGATCGTACTAATACTACATACTTCAGACAGACCAATATCTCGCTCCAAAGACGCAATCTTTCCTCCGGGGGAGAGAAATGCTAGATCCCGCACAGTTCTCTGAATATATGCATCCATTCAACAATCTCCAAAGCACTTCAGACTCACCACTCGTATACCATCCACAGTCATATCACATCCCGGGATATCCTGCGAACCCGCGAATGTTAATCTCACGCTTATACCTGCAACTCGGGGTCGCTTTGGATTATATCACAGGCCAGCATGAACCAAGTCTTAGTGTCGCGTTACGCAAGGCTATCCATACTGGGGATCCCTTCGACGAGGCACTCATTTCTGATCACAAGATTATCTTCCCTCAGTTCAACGTCACATCGGAGTGGCCGGCAACATATCTCATCCATGGAACCAACGATACGGCTGTTCTCCTGCGAGAGTCTCGTAATTTGCATTCCTTGCTCTTGAAGGCTGGCGTAGAAGTTGTATTGGAAGAACTACCAGGTCGAGAACATTCGTTTGATTATCAACCAGGCGCAGAGCTGGAAAATGAAAGATCGTTCGATGACATCGTTCAGTTTCTTTATCGACACCTAACTTAGAAGCAGTACCTAATTTGATGGATGGATGATTCGGACTGGTAGTGCTGACTGTTAGTCTTGGCAGTTAGATCTGATGGACAACACAGCACCAAGTACAGTTTCTGCATAATAGGTTTCCTCAAATGTGCTCATCATCGCATATGTACTACAGTGATCGAGACTTTTCTCCAACGTCTTACAGTCATGGTTTAGATTTTTCCCGTCACCTTTATTAAACTAGATGTGGAGAAATACAAAGCGCTCTGTTCGATGTCGCACTGCTCAATCATTCGGCAAATTGTCAGTTACCCACCAGTACTGTGCTTCGGCGTTTAAAAGAAAGGTGATTCACATGCATGCTTGAGCATGAACTTACTTACATCTAGAAGATGATTGCATAGGTCCATCGCATCTTCTGATAATGCATATGGAGCATGTTAGGTTAGAATAAAGGATTCATGTCGAGCCATAACCTTGCTGATCATCTTGAATAGTGACTATGCAGGAGCGCTCTCTAAAGATGAGAGTGATTCACTTGACTGGAATAGAGGGTATTGATCTCATTGGAGGGTGCCAGTGAATACTGCAACAATGGGTCTCTAACGTTGGACTTCTTTTCCGTCGTGTAGTGGATGGTGCCAACGGTCGAAACGAGCATTCGGGAAGCCATGTATGCGTGATATCCGAGTCGGTCCCAGTGGTAGGGCGATCCAGCCTGAGTGCTAACTTGAAAGCTTAAACCTCTATGAGTGAGACTACTATGCGGGTTTTCAATATGCAGTTTGGATGCAGTCAAAATGTGGATATAGGATAGAAGAGTTCATCTTGACCGTGAGCAAACAAAGTACGGGCACGTCATTCACAACAAAAGGTAAATGAGGCACAGTTCTGCAAACAGAGCTCAACCGAACGAACTAGTAGTATGATGATGCGGACGCCTACAGATTGGATAAAAAGACACCGTGTTGGGGGGGGGATGAAATGGTGCTCGTTGGTCCACATGAAGCAAGCCGAGTTCAGGTTGAGTCGGGACTTGACGGAACGAGAGTTCCGCACGAGATATGGCCAAGACTGAACTTATGGAGGTAACACCCTATCTGATAGAAAGGGATGGAAGAGTACGTACTGTGCAATGACACCTGTCATGACTCGGAAGGGTGCTTGGAGATACACGATCAATTCCCATCATGCCGCACTACACAGGCTGTTGCCCTCACTGCTGTAACATCAATTCAGCGCGCATCCTTCAACATGACAGGCTTTTCCTGCTCCACCTGCTATACTGGACAAAGGCGCACAATTATGCCTATTTGGTTAGGAGGTCAAACCGGTCAGGGCCAGCGAGTTTCACCCATTATCAGAACTACGTGACAGTTTTCCGTTTGTGAGCTGCGGACGTTCGACTGCGATCAGGCGCCAAATATTCTGCTCATTGTAGGCCGATCCGAGCATGTGTTGCTTGGGTTCTTGTGCAAGGACGATGCGAACTGCCGGGATTGATCTGACTACAAAGTGTGAATGAGTTGGCCGACGTTTGTATGCCACTGTAACATGATGGCCCATCATGCTACAATTGGAATACAATTGATTGACGATTCTATAACAGTTCTGTGTGCTCATTGTTTGACGTTCCTTCCTACCTCTTCTTTGTCGATATCAGCCCCTTCATCATATCAAAGCTATTCCCATCAGGCTGTAAATCAATGAACTCTCCACCGCCCATCGGCACAGTACGTAACAACCCATGGTCGGGAGTAATACCGACAATGCGGACACTTTGGTGTGGGGTCCGGTTCGTTAGTGTGACGAGCTGGTCCCTGTGGGAACCACGAGTAGGTACGATAGGTAAACTTGACGTAAAGCAAAGCACAACAGAGACGTACGAATGTAACCATGATCGGAGGTATTGATCCATGAACGGATGAAAACCCTGTTCCTGATTCTGCAAAAAAGAATTCCACATGCGCTCAAAGGAGGTGAGAACTGCCGCTGCTACACGTTCTACAGAGAGCCCTGGGATAGGTGTAGATGCGAGTTGGGCGAGTGAGGCGATAGGTGGTGCGTTTAAGACGTTGAGGCCGCTTCCTGTTAACACTGAGCTTTCATAACACTGAGCCAAAAGAGGGAAGTACCATACCGATTACTACATCTGCCACGCCACCGCCAAAACTAGTGTTTATCAGTACCCCGCCGATTTTCCGTGGTTCCGGTGTTGACTTTGAATTTGATACAGGGCTGTGTTGGGAAGATGGGAAGAGGCCATAAATGTCATTAGGCCACTTCAGACGGACTTTATGGGCCCATTCGGAGCCTGGGGTTGAGGACATGACATGCGTCGATAATTGCTAGTGCGTAGAGGTATTGGATAAATACGAGGTTGGAGGGGACGATTGTTGGGCCTGGTACTGCGCAATATCAATTTTCGGATATCAGACAATTGAATAAAAGGTCGTTAGTCTTACCTAATGAAGACCCTTTGAGCCCGATTCGAATCTTGAGCGACATCTGCAAGCACCCTGCAGGTGAGAGCCACGCGTTACCACCTCTGCCGCGTCCTGCCAATTGTACTGTGGCGAGGGAAACGATGGGAGGGGGGAGTACACGGAGGAAAGACGGGTTTCTGCTCAGAGAGGGTTTCAGCAGTCGGTACGATGGACGTAATTGGGCGAGACGCACTTGTCAAACATTGTTTGTGTGCTGGAGACTACTTCGCCGTACATGAGTGCTTCGCCGATGCGCCAGGAATCTTGGTTTGTGCCTTGGCTGGTATCTTTCATTCCAGAGCGAAACTTGTCTATGGCGCGGAAGAAGGCAGATGGTGAGAATTGTGGGGTGTATATTCGTTCATCCTCGATAGTTAGGGGTCTTGAAGGTACGAGTACGTGCTTGACTTTCGGGTTTGAAAGGAAATTTGGTGGAATGAGTTCGAGTATGGGGTGATCGGTGTTTCTGGCCTCGGGAGGGATGGATGGGAAGTGAAAGTGAAAATTGTCGTTGGTATCTTCGAACACAAAAGGCTCCCACTTGGCCTTTGATTCATCGCTGACAGCTGAGCCGAGAATTTAAATGATCGAGCAGTGCCTCTACGACACGATACTGTACCTGCCATGAATCCGGACGAGCAAGAAGAAACTGAGGTAGAATGTGAGGCTCAAGACTGGAATCAGCTCTCTGCGAGGAGAAGTGCAGACCAAGTGCAGATAGCGATTGTGACAGCAGGATATCGGGAAGGGGTGGCGTGCAATTCCACATCGCGACAAGCCCGCTTTGAGATAAGATACCAGCAGGCGCATTCCCCTCAACATAACGACCGATGATGTGTGCTTCGAGGTCCAAAGGACACATGGGTAGTCTGGATACAGATAGCACGGTGTCATCGATCAGTACATCCGCATTTGTTCCAGAAGCAGTTGAGAAGGAGATGTAGAAAGACGCGTTTCCATCAGCGACTCTGAGTATAGTCGTGTCCTTTACCATGCCTAGACCAAGACCCGCGGATAGCGATCCAAAGTCATGATTCGGACCAAATAGAGTGCCTTTTCTGACGCCAACGCCAAATGCTAATATCCTACCTCCGGACTCGATGTATTTGCGGACAGCTGCATGATCTGTAGGAGGGGAGAGGAGTAAGAGGAGGGCACAAGAGGTGTGCCATGGATATTCTTGTACGGATAGTTGAGATGGTATTAGCAGCTGTGGTAGATAGTGCGGTGTCAGTATTGAAGCAAGCGTTTCAACGAGAGAGGGAGCGGCTGGGTGTGTGCTGGGATACACTAGCACGTTCATTTAATTATTTGATAGGGGAGCTCAGAGACGTGGAGAGTAGCAGCAAAACTCAACCTATTTCCGGCAACTGCAAGTGCGGGAATAAACCAAAGCAGGACTCCAGCCACTCGACCAGGACCTCCAACACTTGTGTCGACGCCCAATCGATACCAACATTTAGTACCTTCCTTCACTCGGTGCTCAATCATGAGTCTCTCGTCATTTCTGCTCGGAGGGAAAACTACAAGCAACCAAAAAGTTATTGATACGGAATTAGATGCCCTCTTTCACACTCAGGTGCGTCATGCTGACTTTCATGCTTTTTTGCGGTGGTCCACATTGAATTATATCGGCTCGTAAGGTCCAAGATACTGCAGCATCAAATGACAAGAAGCGTAAATCGGAAGGAGAGCAGAGGCATGGTTTGAAAAAGCACAGGTCCTCACGCAAAGAGTCGCAACAACACGAGTCCCCCCCTCCAAAACGCGTTAAGCTGCAGGAGAACAAGAAAGAAAAGATCGACAAGAGAAAATTAGAAGCTGAAGAAAAATTAAAGGCGACTCCAGCCGTGGAGAGCAGTAGCGCCGAACACCGAGGGGCTGAACCTGCCGACAATTCCGACTCCGAGGAGGAAAGTGGGCCATCTACGCTTGTACATGAGTCGCTGCTGAGTGACGGTGCGAAGTCCAGTCGACGCACGTCCACGCGCAAGGAGAAATTCGCTCCGCCAGATGAGTCCGAGGAGCAGCGCAACTTGCGCACGATCTTCGTGGGTAACCTCTCATCCGAGGTCGCTCAGAAGCGAGTGAGTCGTTGAATACTGGCTAATAATCGCATGAACACATACTGAATATGTGACAGCCTTTACAAAAGCAACTCCACAGGCACATTCTGTCGCTCGTTCCTACCGCAAAAATTGAATCCACAAGATTCCGCTCCGTTGCATTTCAGAACCCTACCAGTAAACTTCCTGATGACGACGGGAAAGAACAGACTGGCACACGGCAGCACGACCGAGATAGAGCATCATCGTGGCGTAAAACTAATCCCACAGCGGACGAGCCAAAAAACGACAAGAAGCAGTTTCTCACTCCAAGTCAGAAAAAAAAAGTTGCATTTATCAACCGTGAACTTCATCCTAGCGCCGATTCGGTTAATGCATATGTTGTCTTCGCATACCCCTCTCCTGCGAAAGAACGGCCTTCGAATTTGCCTCCCCTTCCACCAGTCATGGACCCCCACGAGGCAGCTCATCTAGCTGTCGAAAAGTGCAACGGGACTGTTTTCATGGACCGCACAATTCGTGTAGATTCTTTGGGTAGACCAGCGGATAGCGTTGGGAAGCAAAGTTCCCTTTTAGGCACTTTTGCGGGAGACCCGAAATCGTCGATTTTCGTGGGTAACCTTGACTTTGCGAGCAAAGAGGAAGATCTGCGGGTGTTCTTCGAAAGCCTTATCACTGCCGAACGCGGGCCCCCTAGTCAGGCTTCAGATGCACCCCAGCATTGGGTTTCACGAGTGAGGATTGTGCGGGATAAGGAGACTCAGCTTGGGAAGGGCTTCGCATATGTGCAATTTACGGTTAGTATTTGATTATCACATGTGGGTAACATTCTGAAGATTCATTTCCAGGATCGTGTTTGCGTGGACGAAACTCTTGCGATGGAAGAGTCGAAACTCAAATTTGCAAAGCGCAAACTACGCGTTCAACGCTGCAAAATACTCCCGAAGGGCTCCACGACTGACAATTCGAAGACTCCAAGCACTAATCACAGTGCGGGTGCAGCTCCACCCATCGCCATACCAAAAGGCGATCCTTCTCTGGGTGAAAAATTATCGACCCTCTCCAAAGAAGAGCGGAAGCAGATTAAAGCAGCGGACGCCAACCGGCTGGCGCGGAGGGTGGCGAAGAAGAAAGCGAGAATGGCGCTTGCGAAGCAGGGTGTGCCTGTACGTGGCAAGGAGAAGGATAGAGAACGAGCAAGAAAGACGGGCGCTGTCAAGAAGGCCGCTGTCACACCCCGTAAACAGAGCAGGATCCGAAGCGAGAAGAGTATGTCAAACCGAAATATGAAGAAATGATACGTCTTCCTTTGATCTTCAAGGAAGACTGCAATGTCTCATTTCATTGGGCTTGAGGATGTGCTTGATCTTGGGTCGTTCAACTCTCTCAACTTTGGCGTCATGGTACAAGCTGTTCCCCAAACCCATGATCAAATCTAACACCTCGACGGTCTTCTTCATGAACTTATTAACCAACGCCATCGCAACAACATGCACCCGGTGGAGTGGTATTTGTCACACTCTTTGCACTCGCAGAACTGCAAATTCTTAACTCGCCGTAACTCACAGAGCCAGGCCTGCAGACGAACATGATGGATCAGAAGGCATGTTGGCTTCGTTACGTCTCTGCGGATGCCTCCTGTCTCTTCGACCGTAGCGCGTGAACGATTCAGGTCCAGATTTCAGACCTCAAGGACTGATTTCAATATGACCTTCACCCAATGGCGTATTCCCATTCGAAATTCACTTAGGACATGAGGAACGGTGTAACAGAGAATCCTGGAAGAGAGCGAGCAGTTCTCGCTATGGCGTATACGAATATAAGACGCCAGTAGCAGAAATCCGATGGCAATATTGATCACACTTCACGTGAATGCGCGGAACGATGCCGCAGTAGGGTTCACCTCTTTCTCAATGATGTGCAAACAAATTATATGTATAAGCCGCAGGGACTGTAAATGAAACTCACTGGGTTGATACTGTACGGTGATAGTAGGATTAGAGCGGGAGCACTTGGTAGTAAGCGCCATGATATGATGAAAAACATCCAACTGATAAGTCAATGATAAGCTTTCTGCTACTTGCCGTGCGGCGTCTTCAAAATGAACCCCAAATTCATAAGCAGCTCCATACCAGATTATATGCAGTCAGTCACGTTGAGACAGTCGCCGGTAATTATCCGGATAACACAGCGAAGTAACACGCATAGAGCGCTTTATGTAAAAAACCAAGTGGGGCCAAGGCGAATCCCCCAACAGCCTCACGACGAAGCGGAAAATTTAGCCTAGTGCGGATAAGTGAATATCAGGGTGAGTGAGTAAGATAGTCCCTGAGTACTGAGTTAGGGAACAGAGATCACGCTTACTGAGTATGCTTGGCGATGGGGGTGTACTTGTGCAGGGACCTACGGCGACCTCCGAGAAACCGAAATATATACGATCAAAGATAGCTGCCAAGTTGGAATAGTCTGCGAATCTTGGAGGTATAGAACATCTGCACCTGGGGAGAGTTCGTGGTATCCTGTGGTGAGCACGATAGGGTGCAACTGGCCTGTCGGAGGCATGGTCCCTCTGCAGTGGAGAATCCGAACTTGCTGCACACTACCACGAGTGATAGCCGTTGACAGGAGAATGTCAGTGAGGTCATGACTGACGAGAGATGTCGAGCGTGCAACGATGTTACCCAAAATATACGTAGGGTGAAGTGGAGATGAGTTCCCATTCCTGGATCTTCCTGATTCTTCCATGAGAGAATATTTTGACCCACCAGTCCCGTGGGTGCAGAAAGCCAGTGCTCCCGCGTGATCCCAATGATTGTTATGGTCAAATGTGCCGTGGCTAATCCGTATCAAGCTGATTGGTGGGATAGTCGGTATCGTGATCAACTGACAACGGATGAAGGGTCGAGGGGTGGTGACTTGAGCCGTTGCTGAGCCGAAAATTAAATAGGGACGTCAACGTTGAACATGCGTTCTCGCGACATCCGACACCTGCCACCAGGTCCCGCGCCGAGCGTTCCTACTATAAAGGGTGGGATGGTTTTCATGACAGGACCAGACAGGTCGCATCTTGGTCAACTCTTGCTTGGCGAGGCTGACATAACCCGGATTGAAGACTCGGTGTATTACTACTAATACCGCATTTCACAGTCCTCTATCTTCTTGTATCTTAACCTACCACGTCCTTTTATGAACCCCAGTGGGCACAATCACTACCCAGCTGCACGCGTTATCCAGCTTCTCGGTTGAACATCCTTCGGTGCCGCACGTCATGCTATTCCGGCCGGTAAGCCACTGTTCCTGCACCCGACTGCAGCTGCAACGCTCATCGATCTTCACAGCTTGCATTAACCATACCGCATATTGCCTATGCATGTCTCGGAGGTTTCGTCGTCGTGGTAAGTACAGCACGCTTGTCTACTTTTGCAGCATCTCATTACGATATTCGTTGCAGTTTGGCATGTTCTCTTTGTTCATTCGAGAAAAGGTAATGTAATTTTATCACAATATCAACCTTCATACTCATTGTGTATAGCTTTACATCGGCGAGGCATGCTGGGCTTTTCTTTTCGGCGTCATTATCGGTGAGCTCGCCGGATCATACTTCTAATCACGTTGCCTTAACATCCTTATTTTTAGGTCCTTATGGTGCCGGCATATTCGATCCTCGCAGTTGGGGCAGTGACACTACTACCGAGGATACCGTGAATGAAATTACACTCGAGTTCACTCGCGTAGTCCTCGCAATCGGAGTCTTCGCAATCGGAGTCGAGCTTCCAAAAGCTTATATGAAGCGTCACTGGAAAAGTCTATTATACCTATTATTTCCTGTTATGACATGGGTGGGTGACGTCCTGAAAATGCCCTCTAACCCATTCTCTAACCATCACCAGGGTTGGTTTGTGTCGGCAGGCTTGATTTATGCATTGATACCTGACCTCACATTCCTATCAAGCCTTGCTGTCGCTGCATGCTTGACCCCAACTGATCCAATCCTGGCTGCTGCAGTGGTTGGTGGCAAATATGCCGATAAGCACGTCCCTGCTCATCTTCGCCATCTCCTTGCAGCAGAAAGCGGTTGCAATGATGGAGCAGCGTATCCATTCCTGTATATCGCATTGTATCTCATATTGGACTCCAGTACTGGTCGTGCAGTTGAAGATTGGTTCCTTCTTCTCTGGCTTTGTAAGCTAAAAAAAATTGGTGACGGTTCCTCAGCTGATTCCGTTATCACAGATCAAGTCATCCTAGGTGTGATGGTGGGCGCCTTGATAGGATGGGGCTTCCGACATCTCATGAAATTCTGCCAGCGTAACGATTTCGTTGATCGACAGTCCTACGTTGCACAGTACATATCCTTGGCTTTGCTCACCATCGGTATCATGACTATCCTAGGTTCTGATGATCTCCTGGCAGCATTCTCTTGCGGAACGGCATTCGCTTGGGATGGTTTCTTCAACCGCCAGACAGAGGAATCAGTGTTTAGTTCCGTCATCGACTTATTATTCAATGTCGCTGCCTTCGTTTATGTCGGCGCTTGGATGCCGTTTGATACTTTCAGCAACGAGACCCTTTCACTTAGCGTGTGGAGGCTCGTTGTTATTGCCATTTTAGTGTTGATGTTAAAAAGGTTGCCAGTTATGATTGGGCTCTACAGGTTCATACCCGACGTAAAGACTTTCCGAGAAGCCGTTTTCAGCGGTCATTTCGGGCCCATAGGCATTGGTACGTAGTGTATCTAACATCCCTCCAGCATACTGATATGACGTGTGTTACCGTTCCAGGCGCTATATATATTTCCACATTAGCGGCCCAACAGCTACCGAAACCTAGCAACCCTCCAACCAACCAGACTGAAGTTTTGGCACTCACCATTCAACCCATCGTTGCATTCATGGTACTCTGCAGCGTCGCTATTCATGGTCTGTCCATCCCATTTTCACTCCTGGGCCGCCGCGTGCATTCAGTTGGGTCTCGTACGTGGTCCCGCCACGCCACATCCAACGTACCCGACTGGACAACACATACGCGGCACGTCACGCGTGCGGAAGATGTCATCATTAACCGTGACCCTACTGGACTTGAGCGTGGCGAGGGCGGACTGACGGAAGAGGAGAAGTCTGCAATGGAGAGCAAGCGCGCAAGCACGGTCACTACGTCGCCGCTGTCACCTGATGAGATAGAAGAAATCGGCGAGGCCAGCAGTTCAGAGACGCGCGCGGAAGCTGTGCCTGCAAATGATGAGGAAGAGATGAAGGAGGAAGTGCCACCTGACGGAAAGGAGACGACTGCGGAGTGGAGGGAGGGCCCGCATCAAATTATTGAACACCGTGGTGGTCCCGGTGAAGAGGTACGCGTGGGTTGATTGCCAATGCTGATGGTTATGTTGACAGTCGTTTCCAGGTTGACGTGGAGGTCATTTATAACGCATTCAAGCCCTCTGAACGAGTCGTGCACTCCCGGTTCTCTGTAGGAGAAAGTGGCGCCTTACAAGCAGGTCGCGCGTATCTTCGCAAGTTACATCATGCGCCTGAAAATATACATCGGGCAGCTGAACATGTCGAAGAAAATGTCAAGCATGATATACATGCATTAGAATCAAAAGCCCAAGAAGTTTTTAAAGTTGGTGGCTCAAGTGATGAAAACACTGGCGCACGTGCTGAAGGTGACGAAGACGAAGAAGGATGGGCATCAGACAAAAGCGGAGATGGCAATGGACCTGCGTGGTTGTCTGGGGATCACAGGAAGCGCTCAAGGTCATCGAAACCGAAGAGCGGAACCCATCTTGCGGCTGCCCGAAGTACGAGGAGCCATCGACGAAGACAATCAACGGGAGATGGCGGAACGTTCTCGAGCCATGCCAGGCAGCTTCTGGAGCAGGATCCACCGTTCGCCTTTACGGCTGAGCCGGGTGAGATCGCGCCGTCTGAGGATGAGGACCAACGTGGGAGAAGCCATGCACCTCACCGCCAGGGATCAGGGCACACCTACCGTCGCTCCATCCAGCACCGACGGTTGGAGTCTCTGAAGACTAGCGAACATAACTCACGTGATGTCTCGCCTACTCGATCGGTCCGGTTCGTCGATGAAGAGCGCCGGAGTGGTACCACTACTCCTAGAATGACGCTTGACCAGACGCCCCAGGGCAGTTTTAGCGAACCGTTTACCACTGATGACTCGGATTCAAGAGGAAAGGTCACGTTCGGACCCGCTCACATAAGGCGCGCGTCTGAAGATTAACATATTGTATATATCTCATTTGGTGCGTTTTTAATTGTCTAGCCATGACGTTGAAATTACTCGGATATCACATTCGCATTACACCACATGCACTCTCATAACTTGTCGTCAATGTAGCATTAATGGCTTGAACATCATGTATAAATATATCGACTCTAAATTGCTATTGTATATGACGAGGCTTTTGACACGACTGTACGATAAACTTGATAAGGAGAACTAATGTCAAAGCTGTGTCAACTGCGGCACGTATACCAGTGACTTTCAAGAACCCAAAGAGCGGAACAAGAGAGACAACACGAGGTTCGCGATCAGCGCCAGCTATCTCGAATTAAAGCTGAACGCCGTCGATACGCTCTACGACGGCGCTTAAATTTAACCGGACGTAAACCTGTTCTCATGAAATCCGTACCCAAGCCACGCTTCTGCGGACAGGACACCGCTGTGGCCCTTAATGTTCGGCATTGCCTTTTGAGCGATGATCGTCTGCAGATAGGGGGATGCGCGTATGTTGATATATGGGCAATGGGCATGAAGACGTAACGAAACGCACCTTGGTGTCGAGGATGGAGTGGTCGTAAGCGAACCGTGTAGCAGTGTTAGTGACGTCTGGATCTGCAGGTGGGTTTAGGGTAACCAATACTGGGTAGTGGAGATCCTCTGGCGGATGCTGCAGCTCGTTCGTGCACGCGCGAAGTCCCAGAGATGCCGTTCATTAGTACAATATTGAAGATGACGATGTGATATTCCATTAGCTTACATGCTGTTGTAATGACAATGCGGTCTTTGCTTGTTGAGTGTACTTACGACCTAAAATTACAATATGATACAAGTTCTTACCCCAAACGCTACATTTGTTCCTTACTCCGGATGTATATCGGCACCTCTGTGCCATCCTCACCAAGAGGCGCCCACGGGACGGGAGAGACTAGCCATCTTGCACGCTCCTTGATTAGTCAACATATCCATCATAGTAGTAATGAGTGAACTCACAACATTTCACCTGTGCGTACTGGGGATGGTGTCGCTTGCCTATGACGAGGGCGCCTCGCATGCAAAAGTTCATATAAAGGGGAGTAGCAATGCTCTGTATTGCATCCATTGCGTGTTAATCCAGTTTGTGCGTCACTCCACCATCTCATACTAGCCATGGAATCAACTGTGCCCACAGGCTCCGAGTCCGCAATAGGCGTAGAATCTAGAAGAGCTATGGAGAAACTTTCACCGCGTTCTCATAGATGAGTGTATGTGTTTCTAACAACACACCCACTTGTATCTGAAAGGTACATGGAGAAGGCAGGGCAATAGACGGCTTTGGTAAGGAGGCACATGGATTGAAAGAGGTGGATTTTCGCGAGTTCTTCAGGACGTCTGAAGTAATGCGTTTCATGCGAGGCTTATTCATGAGCAAGACAGCGCCAGTGATGCCTTTCTTGACTTGCCATGTCCCTTTGATTGCAGCTTTGGCAATCTCAGGGATACCTCTGGTAGAACCAATGGAATGAATTATTACAAGGTTAAGGACCTGTAGCAACTCACGTTTGAGAATCGACATTCAATTCGGTTTGTTTCGCATTTTCAGACCAAGTTGTGAATTCGGACTCCTCAGATCTGGACATTCTTCGGGAAGGTGCTCGCCAGGCTCAATGTTGATACCTGCATCGAGAAGATGATGCTCGAAATCATCTGAGTATATAGAGCCTTGGATGATCAAATTGCCCGTGGCTTTGTCGATATCTCCGTATGACCCAACCTGCTAAACATCAGCATGACAGGCGATGTGGGCCGCCGATAACACGTACTGGATTCTCCGAGGGCGGGTCCCAGTTTGGATACTTTCCAGTTCGATCCAATACAAGTTCGATGAACTTGCGTTGGGTATGCGAATTTGGCAGTGTGTCCCAGGATCACATGTCTTGAGAGTTATAGGGAACAACTAGAAGGCAATGTTCCTCAGGCCTCAGGTGCCAGGTCTGTGTTGCCAAAATTCTCGATCATGCCGACCCGCCTTCCCGTTTACCGCGACTCCACCTGGGTTTCCCAGTAAGTAAACCTTAGGGGCCAGGTGCGGTTCCTGCCGCGCCTGTGATGGCGGCATACTACTTAGAAGATGGTGGCTACTCACAATATATGGCAAAAGACCAACTCCAAGCAGGGAACAGGGAGTACACTCCTGTCACCTCAGAGGCTACAAAAACTATCAACAATAATCGATAAGCGCAATCCAGGAATGCGCTGGAGAAAACACAGAAAAAGACATGTGACATTTTGTTACGGTGTGATACATTAACTTTCCTCGAACTCATCAAGCACGCTTATGATACAATACAGGTACAATGCCATCTGGAGTAACTCAAAAGCCGGTCTACAAAAATATGAAGCAATACATTCTGTGCAAGTATACATCAGGACATACCTTGCGCTGCTCGCCCTTGGCCTGGAGTGAGGGGTCATTCGAAAGTTTGCCAGCCATCTTTTCCACTTCGCCTATGTACGAATATGAATATAATTGCGAAGCCAGGTAAATAAAGACCAACCCGTAAATTTGGAGCCCATGGAAGACAGCTTGCTCGTTGGACCGCGACCAGTACCAGCACCAGCAGCTTGACCACTGCCAATGCCAGGAATCATCATACTCATCAGTGTCGCGTTCATACCCACGGCTACGGCCATCACCGCCGATGCTCTGGCCATAAGCACTGTCGTATCCGCCACCAGGTTGGCCAGCTCTAGGGACATTCACATCCTGAATGCCCTGGCCGCTTCGATTACCAGCCATTCCAGGGTCTGTGTCGCAGTATTCGTCGCCTTGATCTAAGCCCTGCTGACCCTGTCGACCGGTGCGGCTTTCATATCCACCAGCTTGGCCAGTCCCACTGCCTCCGTACGACCCTGAAAGGGCAGAGTCAGAGTCTCCCCCAGGGACAGTGCGCTGATCATCGGTAGGGGCGTCATAGTTTGAGTCGTCGTTGAAGTCTCCTATCAGGATAATAGAGATGTAAGTTTGCCTGGGATGTGTAAACAGTTTCGAACGACGTACGACGTGGACCTCGGTTTCCTTGATCATAAGACATCATTGGTTGTCTGTTGTGGTTGAAAAGATAAAAGAGAGTAGGTCGATGGGGCTTTATATACATACGATAAATCGATGATGTAGCGATGACGATGACGGTTAGTGCTGTTGACGTGTGTGTATTCGCGCGTCCTCCAGCACGATCCTCGACTTTGTACAGACTTCATGAGGACTATGTGCTTTTAGAGCCTGGAAAAAAACCTATGTGCACCAGATTGGCGCAATCGTTATATTCCAGCAACTATCATAGCATGAACGCACCTATATTGCGGCCAAGACAAAAAGGCATTTTTCGCTGATAATTCAAGCTTACCGAATGTTAGTTGTGTTAAGGCATTCCATGAGGCAGCGGTTTACTAATAGACATTTGCAATCGACCACGTAAGCTTTTTTCACGCTTCTTAGTCCGCCAGTTCTTCAGACTCCGATGTTCGGCAATGAATTCCACATACCTATCGAACGCACTGGAAACAACTATCGCGACGTCACTGACTCGGAGCCTTCTTGCTATAAATCTTCACCAAACTAGACGACAGTGAGGCGGAACAATATCTGCATGACCCAATGACACACAACTTTTTTTGTGCCGAGCATCCATGTTTTCTTCAAAACTAACGGGGTGGTGGAACACGGGAGGGTTTTGCGGTGTCGTTTGGTATCGATATCCACGTCCTACGACGACCCATTGACTCGGATACTACTAAGAGCAGGTACCAGGAGGTGACGTTCAATCGAGAAATCTGGATTGGTTCATTCGGGAATGTTATATCGTTTGATTCATCTGCCAGTGTGATTAAAATTTGTTAGCGGGAGAATTGATATTATTCACAGTGGACACTCACTGCAGCATCTGCTGCACACTACAGTGTCAGTCTAGTGATCTCGTGCTTGAGCCATTATCGCTGCGTGGTGAGTACCACCGTGACGCAGCACCAGCGTTCTTCCCCGGCACGATTTGACCGTGGTACCAGCACTGCAGTAAGCCGCTGCAGTAGCTGTAATAAATTTAGCATTTTGCTGATGAAACACACAGATACTTCAATGACAGGCTGACAGCCAGATCCACAGTTCGTTTATCTCATTCTCCGAAGCGAGAACGCTCTAACCAGAGTGTCGTCATCAGCCAAGAGATTCTTTCAAACCCTGGACTCTGGATTTACAGTTCCCCATGGCAATGGATCAGACAGTCGAGGGTGTGAGTGATTTTGCCTCAACCACCCCAATACTGAGGCTGTTTCCGGTGACTATCTGAATGCAAAAGTACAGACATGACGTTCACCTGACTAGTGGCTAATTGATCGATTTACGCACTCCAAGGACACTGCTTTTCCTGTAAGAGCCCTTGCCTGACTAGGCTCAAAAAATGATGGACGCTCATAGATGAAGTGGGCTGCATATCTGGTTTCATTTTAGGTCGCGATGTTTCGTAACAGGGCGAGGTTGATAACGATTATTGAGTGTTTCAACTTGCAAGATTACTATAGATTGCGAGTTTCGCAGGACCCGAATATTCTATCTGGGTTCTATTAGCAACCACCTGATTCCGAAGACCCTACGCATTCGGTATGCTTCTGATTCGAATCGATTGTGCAGTTGGAGTTTACTTGCCAATTCAGGATGATGGTGCACTACTATGTACGACACGGTCGATGCCTCCCCTCAACTCCACTCGCTCATCATCGATAAAAAGTCGGTTTCAACGTGGCGACACCCTCAGCTAGTCACTTCCTGTATCACTCCAAGTCTAACTGAGGTGAGTGAGCGAGTCCTTCTCCAGCGCACGTCGATGGTTGATGTTTAGCCATCGCCTCAGCAGGTTGATATCTCGTATGACCCTGACCTGATTGCTAATTCTTCATTTCACGTCGGAGACAAGTAAGTAGTCCCTTGGCTGCTTTATTTTTCATCTATCTCACATTATCGATAAGATAACATGCGGTTATTGAACACCGAGACCAGAAAACTCGAAGAGTTTTTTTGGTCAGATTCCACAATATGCAATACTCTCGCATCGATGGCGCGATGGCGAGGTACAGTTCTCTGATATCGACCAGCCTCACGCCCGTAATATGCCAGGCTATTCCAAGATTGAAGGCTGTTGTATCCAGGCTGACGAAGACGGGTATCGCTATGTCTGGATAGACACTTGTTGCATCAATAAGAGCAGCAGCTCTGAACTTTCCGAAGCAATCAACTCGATGTTCATGTGGTACAAGAAAGCCCAGATCTGCTACGCATATCTGGATGACGTGTCCAGATGTGACAATTTGAAAGAAGAGTTTTCTAAAAGCCAATGGTTCAGAAGAGGGTGGACTCTTCAGGAACTCGTGGCCCCCAACAATCTCGTATTTTTTTCGCACGATTGGGAGGAGATAGGAAGCAAATCTAGCCTCACTGAGTGGATCGAAACGATCACGGGGATTGACCGCGGTGTCCTACTTACGAACTACCAGGCAGAGATCAGTGTAGCAACAAGGATGTGCTGGGCTTCAGGGAGGCAGACGACGAGGGTAGAAGATCGGGCATATTCGCTGCTTGGTTTGTTTGGGGTATACATGCCTACGATATATGGAGAGGGGGAAAACGCATTCGCCAGACTTCAGATCGAAATCATGAAGAACTCCAACGATCAAAGCATTTTCGCTTGGAAATCATCTCGCCGAGGAGATAGGAGTGGTCTACTTGCTTCCTCCCCGGATGATTTTGCAGGGTCCCGCGACATCGTTAGGATTCCCACAGATTCATTCAGAAATATTTTTTCAAGCGCCACCCCATCCATCACACATCAGTATTCGGTGACGAATCGCGGGTTGAATATTCACATGCCTATTATGCGCGTGGAAGACTATTATCAGGCCGCCTTGAGCTGCTGCCGGCGAGGACAACACTCCCGTCCAATCGGCTTACGCCTTTGTCCAAACAAAGGCGAGACGGAACAGTTTATGAGGTCACAGCCCAACCTTCTATACGAAGCAGAGGTATCGGTATCGTCCAAATTCACCTTTCAAGAACTTTACGTCCGAGAAGACGACCCATCGCTATTCATGATAATCGATTCCAGGCGCGACCCTATTCCTAAAAAATATCATTTCTTCGTTAAAACCGAAGGGGTGGTAGAAAACGGATTTTCTTTGGTTGGCTATACGCCGACTGAGTGGTGGCAGCAGGAGGAGAACAGGCTCGTCCTGAGCTTGACCCACAGTGGAATATTTAGCACGCTGCTCTATCGCCATCAAATAACCGGCGAGAGTTTCGCAGTACCACTCGGTATGCATAATTGGCACGTCTGGTCGTACATTGTCACGGCTACGGACAGTGAGACGCCTGATAGCGTTCACGCATCTTTCAGCCAAGTTGTCCCAGGAGAAAGAGGTTATGTTCGATGGAGAAGTTTGGACTGGTTTACTCAAGAGCTGAGTATGGGAAGGGTAGGTGTGAAAATCAGGAAGGGGGGTAAATACTGTTCTGACGACGTTGGCGGATATTCTGTGACCATCTCTGTCACGGGCGTACAGCAATATTGATCAATGTCAGATAATTACATGTACTCATTACATATATAAGTACTGCGTACGGCGTATCCACCTACTATGTATAACTTGCAAGTCATGGAGCTCAGAACCTGGTTAACTGCAGGAAAAGTGTGGAATCAAACTTAAGTTGATAGTGATCTCGTCGAGGGTAAGTACCAACATCACTAGCGTAACGGGAAGGACTGCAAGGGGAACCAAGGCCAAGTCTCTATAGCGGGACGCCACAGCTCTATCTCTGACTAACGCTATGGGAGAGTCCTCGCCTCTGCTTGGAATGACGCTAGCTCGTCAGACATATCTTTCCTCTACCCACTACCGACCAGGGCACTAGTACCCTTTGCAATGAGTTCTACCCGGAACAAGTTATTGTATAAATCTTGGTGCCCACCCTCAATAATCCTATCACCTCTCCTAGCATTAGCCTATGATAAACCTATGAGCAACTCAGTACAGGTGGTCACATTGAGAGTACTGACATTGAGGCAAGACAATAACGCGGACTCGGGACGTGTCCCATAACGCCGGTGTTGCACACGCATGCCAGAACATCCTTATGTGAAAATGCAATGGAATACAGGTAGTTGTCGTGCTGGAAACGATGGAATAGGGTGCATGAGGTGCTGTCAAACACACTTGTAGAGTTGCCTGAGACGCAATAGAGTCTAGTGCCATGGATGATTCGATGATCACACCAATGATGTCACATAAGTTCCCAGGTTTGGGATGGGGCAGACAATAAGTTCGCCAGTCTTTGTGTTCCAGAAAGATCGTACGGTTGTACTTGCTTAGTGCAACTCTGTCGCCCGAAGATGAAAGTACAACAGTAAGCACCCACTTTTGACTCGTCTCGATCTGGCTAAGCTCAGACTTCCCGCTGTCTGCGATGCGAGTGATGAAAGTTCCATCATCAGATCCGCTTGCAATATGACTTCCGCTGGGGGGCATGCGAGTGAGTGTTAATCTCGCTGCTCCATCACATTGTTACCCGACTTTCAATCGATATTCCTTCCCATCCGGCAACAACGTCGGCGCAAATATGCTTCCGCCCTCCATGGTTCCCGACACGAAATATAGTGTCACAGTTTCACTTGCACATCATGTCGTCCACAAAACTACTTACGATGTGGACGTTGTCATGCAAGAAGATAAAACTTCGAATAGCCTCCTTGTGACCCTTTAATTTGTGCTTCAGAGGCGGTCCTATGGCATGCGTTGGGGCTGAAGCTTCCTCGATATGGGCAAACAATTCAGATGCCATCGTGATAGCAAGGCATCTGAGATTATGGAGTATTATGACTCTGATGAGGATTACGGGAGCGATAGTTGAACAGTACCCACCAGGTTGACTGCTGTCTTGCCTTGCCAGTGGAAGGTGGGCGAGATTTACGTTTCGTAGGCGAGGTAGTTCTGATAGGTTCCAATCGTCATTTGAAATTGATCATGAATTCATTCGGAAAGAATTTTCACGCAGACTCCGGTATTCGGCGATGAGTTATTCGTATACCTATCAAAGGCACTGGAAACAATTGTCCGGCCGTCACTGAGCTTAGCCTTCCTGCCATCAATCTAGACGACAGTCAGTTGGAATAATATCTCAGGTCGTGACCCAACGATACAAGATCTCAGGCGCAACTTTTTTCGTGCCTCGAATACACGTTTTCTTCAAAACCAACAGGATGGTATAGCAGCCGCACGGGAGAGTTTTGCGGTGTCGCTTGGTATCCGTACGGAATTGACACGTCTGGTCGTACATTTCCACGGTTTCTAGCTTAACAGCTGCGTTCACGTCCTACGAAGGCCCATCGACTCGGATGCTGGGAGTAGGAGGTGATGTTCAATGGTTCACTCGGGATACATCGTTTGATTCATCTGCCATTGTGATTAAAATTTGTCAACAGTGGAATTGATATTATTCACAGTGAACACTCGTACTCACTAGTACTCACTGCCGCAGCCTCTGTTGCAGTGTCAGTCTAGTGATTGCATTTGTGGCTAGTAATTGTCGCTGCGTGGTGAATACAATGGTGACTGGTGATGCAGCACCGGCGCCGCTGCACGACTCAGTGACCGTGACGCAGTGGAAGTCCAAATCGAAGTTAAACATGAAACTTTGGCTACCGGCCCGTATCGAAGCTAAGATCTCCGAAGAAGGCTCGGTCCCACTCGGTAAGCCGGTTTTGCGTCTATGTAAAGCAGCATTCCATATCCACGTTTTAACCGCATCCGAACTGCATGTCAAAAACGCGCATAGTTATAGACGTCTAAGCATTGGCATCCCGGATCATTTCACCACTGGGCCCAATATCACGGACGGTGCATACCGGCGTCAATGGCTTCCCCATCTGAATACTCGTTTCGACCGTTGGCACCATCTACTGTACGAAGGAAAAGAAGTCCAGCGTTAGTGATTCAGTTGTTGAACTATCCAGTGGCACCCTCCCATGAGATTGATACCCTCTATTCTAGTCGAGTGGATCACTCTCATCTTCAGAGAGCACTCCCGGACGCTGTTCAGGATGATCAGTAAGGTCGTGGGTCGACGCAAACTCTTTATTCTAATCTAGTGCTATATGCATTCTGTAGACTGTTCGCCGGTTGGACCAGGATGCGACATCCGGATTTTGGCTCTTACTACTTTCATGAGGAGATGGTGAGTACAATGAGCGTCACTTTGCATGCTAACCCAAAACACAGAGAGTTTGCAGTAACACGAACCATGAAATGAGCGCCCTACATGCCGCCGCGATCACCCAGCTACTTCACGATTTGAGGGACAGGGCTCCTTCCAATGCCGAGTTGACTGTTGTTCTGGACTTAATTCCTTCTTCCGTCGGCGCAGACCAAAATCCCACTTTCGGGTATTATTTTGCTTCTCATACGCACAAGCGAGTCTTTTGGCTGGAAGATTTCAATCTTGCTTGCTTCTCAGAAGAATGTGACGGATCTATGGAATCATCTCTTAGATGTAAGCTCAAGTCCACGCTCAAGCATGCATGCCAATCACCTTGTCTTTCAGGCGCTGAAGCACAGTACTGGTGAGTAATCAATGACCTAGGCAAATAATCAAGCATGTGCGACTTCGAACAGGAAGCATTGCGAGCTGTTTCCGAATACCCTCAACGTCACAGATGTTGTCATCCGAGAACTCAGGAGCATTTTAGTTCAAGCATCTGCAGGTATTTACGTTGCTTGATGTCAGATACTGTCGATGACGACTCGAAACAGATCGCCTGTCCTCGAAATTCTCGACATCGCCCTATGATGGAGAAAGTATTTTGACCATGTTAAAACTTGTGAATAACATCGAGCGTACGTGACTGTCAGAACTTATTTGTTATGCTCAACTGCTTGGAACTTAGCTCTGGGCAAGAACAAGGATGGATGTTCAGCTTGGACAATAGGTATGAATCTACACAATTTCGACTCGCTTCGTTGACTGATAACATGCTGTAGCGAAATTCATGGTGCTATCTCGTTCGTGTCTTTTTGGTATCGATCATTCTGTCGAGTTCTCACTGACGTATCAGATATCGGCATATTACGAAGCTCATATGGTCAAAACGACTGACTATTTCGACATCGAATACTCCGAGTCAAATTCTGAACCTTACAAACGCTCGATGCTGATGGCGCTTATGTCTCCAATAATGCTGAAGTCTGCGGAAGTATACGCAGAAGAATTATACAGCTTTCGAGACAATTTCTCACTTGCGCGGTGGAGGAAGTTTGTGAATAAGGTGGATATCAGCATCCGCGATTCCAATCTACTGGTACGATTTACAGAGTCGCCATCGTTTACACTGCTCATCCTATATATCAGGCAACCGTCCTGCTTAGCACGAGCATCGGCTTTTTGGCAATTGGAAGCGTGGATTCAAGTGGTACGGATGGTTCAAGGACAGGGGCACAGATTGTCATATATTGCTCCGTCATCTGCAGCATTGGAAGTATCATTATCGGTCTCATTATCTTCAAACAATACCGTGCAAAGGGTGCTGATACTCCTCTGAAAGCAGTAAGAGGTTTACATCGTTTCTTCTTTAAGGTGCTCATAATGGTGTAGATCATAATCTTGAAGCGGATCTTCCGTGAACGATATGGTCTTGAGAGGCTTGCTGTTATCTGCAGCCTGCCGTATATCTTACTGATGTGGAGGTGATAGTGTTTGCTCTGATTCATCGATATCTGGTATTCATTCCACTCGATAGTCTGATTCTGTTTTCAATTGCAGTTTTCGAGATTGCTTTTGATAGGACAGATGCCGAGACTCGCACGCCTGTCGCAGTCGCGATCTCCCTGCTTTTGTTATCTGTGTTTGGGTCTTTGTATACTGCTGGACCACGAGAAAAGGAGGAGAAAGTCGACCCACACAAGGTCACGAGCTGGAGAACTCTAGGCCGGCAGATCACAGGGTTCATTCCGGCTGCGTGCAAGCAATTGCGGAAGCCGGTCCAGGACGACTCAGTACAGTCCGCAGACATTCAGGGTGATGGGGATATGGAGAGAGCTCTCAAGACGTGTTGATTCTGCTTTTTCTCGGCTTCAAGTCGAATGATCCAAAAAGTTACGACTATTATGAATTCCCTCTAGCATTGTTGTATACCACCCTCTGTAAATTACACGGTTCATGGAAGGTCATGATATTCTGCCATCATTCAGTTCTTATTCGGTTCTTTCGAACAGCTACTGCTGGGCACAAATCTCGTCATTTCTCATTGGACAACATAGGAGCTGTCCTCTTCGCCCGTTTCAGCTAACGTGGTGATATTAACGACATCAACATAACCCAGAACCATCAGCCTCCATCGCGAGGCGTTGATGTTGAGTAAGTCAAGATCTCTCACAATCGTGCCAGAGACAGCGCGTCAATAAGTCGGAGTGGAGGACCACGATGTTCGAATAGCTGTTTTTTTCTGGTGCGAATGTAAATTGAAAGGCCGGAAACGCCAAATCGATCCAGAAAGTCAGAGGCATCGCCCGATCCATACAAGCATTTTACTACATTCCTTTGGAATACAGGGGTTTTTGTCTTTGTCAGTTACGAATAAAACTAGTGGAGAAAGATTAAAATACTCAAAAATCGCAAGTCGAAGCAGACTGACATATCGTATGACCAGACCCATAGCTCCATTCACCGACACATCTGAGTACACTTCAATGCCTTGGTATTGCGTCTTGCATCATCTAATCAGCGACTTACATGGTGAGAAGTACATTGCACCGCACTCGTTCAAACTGGCTCAAGGCTACGGAACGCAGGATCAATTTGATGATATCGTACACACCAGCTTCCGACTGTTCACGATGTCTGATGTAGCGATGATATATAATGATTTTCACTGCAGAACTCACATGAAGATCAGTCCTCGGCTGGCAAAGCCTTAGGTTCTTCCAACCCTGAGGCATCTTTTTTCTGTTCCTCATCTTCGACAGCCATCATATCAACCGGTGTGTCATCTTCCACTTCTTCCTCCACTTCTTCCTCATCCTCCTCAAGCTCTTCTTCTTCTCCTTCTCCTTCCCCTTCCCCTTCCCCTTCGCCTGGCTCGCCCATTTCATCATCAACTTCCTGTTCGACCCTAGCGCTATGCATGTCTGATTGGGACGCGGAAGATGCTACTGCTGCTCGCGGGGCAAACGTGAATGGCGGTGGCAGATTCGTCGCCTTGTCCTTTCCTTTTGATTTTGAGACGACTGATGCAGTTTCACTTTCTCTGGCCTTGCCCTTGTGCGAGGAACTTGCCGTTCCGGATTTACGACTCTTGTCTCCTTTCGTGTTGTCTCTATAAACTGCGCTTCCTCAGCACAAGTCGGAAATGAGAGGGTGATGTCTTACTTTGAAGCTCATTCTGTAGATTCTCGACGAGATCTCCAAACTCGATCATCTCCAGAGCTTTGAGGACATCGGACGCGGAGATGCTTTTGTGCTGTTTGGACATAGCCACGTCGTGAGCTCTGAGGAGATATATCAGAAGACATTGTATAAAGCCAGCAGTAACACGAACGTCGCCACTAATACAGAAATCAGCAATTCTGTAAAGCACGACTATAAGACGTCTTCACATACCAAGGTAGTTGATGAATACCGTCGAACCCTTCACCAAAGACAATACAGTCTCTTTTTGTAATTTAGCATTGTCTGGCATCTGAAGCAATGATCAGCGCGAGATATTGTGTTGCACATGATGCAAGCCTTACTGCTGACTTTGCTATCTTCGTGACAAGACTCTTAGGAAGCTCAAAGTTTTCGATACCCTCTGAGACTAGATCTTGCTGAGCCTGAGCAGAAATTGGTCCACTGCCAGCATCTTTACGCGGCATTGCTTCGTATTAGCGACGGTCGTGTGGTTGGTGTTGTGAAAGCGTTTGCGGTAGTAGGGGTCCTTGTATGGCAACTTGTATGACGTACGTGCAGTGCCAATACAACTTGGTCTGCAACCGCGATGAGTCCAAACTGGCGTTCGACCGTGACGAAGAGTGTTGTTCTACGTAAGTGGCTTTCAGGCTAGCGTGGACCTAATACCCCGCCGTGTTACTGACTCGTATGATAGATTTCTGGACCTACAGAATGCTACAGTATGTTCCTGGTACATACGACATACACTCATAACATTCGAAACTTCGAATACGCAATTCAACAGGGCTCATATTCGGATAGAAGATCACTGAAGAACAAGAACTTACTAGAAGTTAGGCTTTCCACGTGATCGCATGCGTTTGTCTTTTTTTTTCGCATGTACGGCAAAACTGGACACCGCTAAGTCTATAAGTTCGATATGTCCAAATGCTTATCATCTCTCTGAATCGATATTTAAGAAAGCGGCAGAGAGCAGATTTGTGATACCTGATATTGCCTGTTCATAAACGGTGCGTCCTTATCCTTGTCGGATAAATACCCAGGATTTGGGTAAACGAAAGGACCTCTTTGAACGTTATCTCGCCATGGCAAATCAGGTATGTAACGTTAACAGAAGGCAAGCTACTTATAATTAAATTATGAACGGGGTTATGGTGTGTTTAATGCCTTCTATGGACGGTATCAGGTGGTTGATAAGGCAAATATATTATCGATGCAACTAATAAATATCGACAGTAAACACGTTGGTGCTCGAATTCCCAGTCGTCCTCGAGCCTATTGATCTGAGTGTTTCTAACTAGTCATTCTCTTCAAAGCTACATCCATTAACTAGTCGTGTTCGATGTCATTTGGCGTCAATGTCGCCTACCACAGTCGTTCAAGCCCGAGGTGAGGAGCAAAAGTACGAATATCAGTTTTGAGCATCTGTTGGACACATGCTTATTCTGTTGGTATCAGACCATTCAACGACCTCACCCAGTATCTCCGTAAGCAATCCAACTATCCAATTGCTCACGGAGGCTTCGGAGATATCTGGAAGTGTAGCTTACCTGACGAGGTCCGCCGATGCTGACTTTCAACATATAGCCTTCAGTCACTAACCTGCAGAAACCTTCCTCACCGTCAGAATGTGGCAGTTAAAGCCATCAGATCTTACTTCATTGATGAGAATGACAGGATCAAGAAAGATAAGGCAAATACTTTTGTTTTACGTAAAATCAACACATAACGTTGGTTTCATCAGAGATTGCGTCGAGAATTAATCATATGGCAAAAACTTATCCACGACAACATCCTTCCATTGTATGGCGTTGCTCTCGGATTCGGTCCGTTTACTGCCATGGTGTGTCCGTGGGCGAAAAATGGATCCTTGATTATGTATCTTGAGTCCCATCGAGACCTTCTGATAGCCGGACGATTCAAACTTGTGAGTTGATTTTCGATTTGTCCAAAGCTGATTGAGACGATCCTGCTGCTAGTTGTCTGATGTCGCAAGTGGTCTACATTATCGTCAGTATTTGTCCGGAATGTTAATATTCAGTGTGTTAACCATATTGATTGTTCCCTTAGTTCATACAAATCAAGTTGTACATGGAGACCTCAGTGGGGTTCGTCGAGCCCAGCTCTTCCAATATAACATGCTGAAAATGTTCCAGTCCAATGTTCTGGTGATGGAGAATGGCACCGCTTGTCTTTCGGATTTTGGGCTTTCCGGTGTTGTGTCCGATTTTTTTGGTTCATCAACTTTCTCTTCTACTATCTCCGGCAACATTCGATGGGGAGCCCCAGAGCTGTTCGCTTTACCGGAAAACCAAGACGGCTCAATCAATCGCCCTAGTAAAGAAGCTGATGTCTACTCATTCGGCAGCATCATGTTACAGGTGCGCATTGTCCTTTGCATAGCCGCTTACTGAAGTATTTCCTTATGTCAGGTTCTCTCTGGGAAGGTCCCTTACTATTACATCAAACAGCAGATGCAGATTATCATGATGGTAGTGAATGGCAAAAAACCCAGACGCCCGGAGGAGCCGACGATCACGGAAGAACATTGGAGCATGATAGAACGCTGCTGGAGTCCATGCGATGCCCGACCAACCATTGAAGATATCCTAATTTTTATCGCGGCACAACGAAGTAAGCACAACATTTAATTGGTTGAACGCATGTCGGTGACTGAAGTGGGACTTCAGAATACTTGTGAGCAACTTGGCACACGTCAGATAACACTCGACACGCCTATAATGCCTGTATTAAGCCTATCGAATTCTCTACGTTCCCTAAGTACAAATTCTACGTGCTAGTAGGGTTATTTGTCAGACTTGTAGAGTCGGTTTGAAAGTTGCCGATGAGCTGAGCACATCGTGTGAAAAACGCACCTCGTGACGTGATGGTAGCTCTTTCGTTTGCACCCCTTTCAGGCCAAGTACTGGTTAAGCAAGGTTTCTACCGATGCGCAGGCAGCAATTCTCATGTACTGGGACGAGGTGTCTTAGTGCCACTTACCAATGGAGAGTATAAACAAAATGGGTTGGCGGCGGCCTGTGTATAGACTGGTCACTGTTGTCCATTTTGTTGTGACTGTCCCGATACCCCCAAGGGAGCTGAGGATGTCACCGAAATCATCCACCGCCGCCTCCGAGTCCAAATACCCCTCCGAGTTAAATGACACTCTAGATGAGAACGGCAGAACATGCGATGGCGAGCGAACAATGGTCGAGCGAACAGCTCTGGGGCTCCTCCCGAATATTGTCGGAGATGGTAGAGGAGAAAGTTGACCTGGAAGTAAGCAAAGTTCAAGCTTATGCAAGACCCCAAGGAGCCCATTTTCGTTAGTTCCAACAGTCATCCTTTCGCTGATGCCCATGTCTCTTGCCTCCCAACATTGCACGCGCTGCTCACTAGCATCACTGGTGCTCCCTCTGCGTGTGTTTTACTTTTACCGGTGCCATCGCGATCCACATTCATTATCTGCATCATTGTGATAGCCGATTCTCGAATATAGTTGTCGCGCAATCGACTGGGGTACCGAGCTCGTATTCTTCCGTCCATGCAATATTGGTACAATAATACAGAAATCTATCGTGAACTGGATTGCGCTTTCTTCGACTGCACATGCACATTCAATTGCCAGCTTCTTCAATCTCCTGTCTCCATCGCTTCTGGATATCAATCGTCTCTCGGAATATCTTGTATTTGGCATCTAACAGTTTCTTCACTTTCGGTGAAGCACCAGGAGCCACGAGGGTGCCAGCAGGTGTCATTTCGACCTGAATGACAAATAAGCATCAACTACGCTCAGTAGATTGCATGGGACGTCTTACCATGATCTTCCACATATCTTCTCCGACCTTGACACCCTCCGCGGCAATCCTTCCCAACATTGCGGCACCGAGGACCACCGCCTCAGAATGTGACTTGGGCAAGATGACGGGGATGTTACACGTGTCCGCAAAGAGTTGCATCATCACCACATTCTTTGCTTGTCCACCGGACATATACAGAGACGTGATGTCATGACCTGCCGTGTTGAGAGCCTCGACGATGTGGCGTGTTTGAAGTGCGATAGCCTCAAGGGTAAGGTAGTACTTGCGAGCAAGGTCAGCGATAGATGATTCCTGGCGACCACTTTAGCTATAGTTCAGTTCTTAATCGAAGCGGTGACTTACCAGCTCAAGACCGATAATGGAACCTCTCATGCGAGGGTCAGCAATCGGAGACCTGTTTCCTGCGATAGATGTCAATAAGATAGTAAAATCGAACTGTAGGTCATCTCACCATGGAAATCGGGGTAGAAATGTATATGCTTCGTAAGCTCCGTGTAGGTATCAACATGATTCTCATGGCGCAATTTTTCGAGGACGTCCAGCAAGACTATAGACAGACATGAGAACGGAATTCGTCGATCCAGCATGAAGAGCTACACGAACCAGTATGGATAGCCTTTCCCTCTTGCTTTGCACGTTCTTTGAGGTCAGGATACGCATGATGAGTGGTGATGATGAAGTCAATAAGCTGTCCCGTGGACGACTGGCCCCCTTCATTCATCCACCAGCCAGGGAAAGTTGCATCCTGTGGGAATGTACCATTAGGACATCGATTGATATGCAGGATGGTAGTGAAATACTTTATATGGGCCCCACACACCCTTGACAAAGACACCTTCTCGACTCTGAAACGATGTTTTCATCAGGATAGAGACGATATGTGCATGTAACTCACCTGAACAAGATGACAAGTGCTAGTTCCAGCAACAGCGGCCAAACGGTGCCGAGACTCGTCGAGAGAGGGAAGTACGGTTGAGAGCTGACCGTTCTCAGTGTATCGAGCAGCAACTGTGCCCATCCAGCCAGCATACCTAGCACGACGCATGAGCATCCACATCAAAGTAGATCCATTGATGTAATGTGACGTACGCGTCGATCAGACCACTTCCGACAGCAGTGCCCTCCACAAGTCCGAGTTCTTCAGCCGCCTGTCGAGTCAAGCCTTGACCGACTGGACTTCCGGCAGCCTGCACTCGGCCGTGGGCGGTGCCCATTTGCCTCCAGTTACCATCATCAATGAGTTCACCGAGACCAATGCGTTCAAAGAAGTCCGGCTGCCAACCTTTGTCGGGAACAAAAGAGCATTTGCACGTAGTCGAACAATACGAGCGTGTGCTATCTCCGGTTGCTTTATATGTGAAGAAATCGGGAAGGTCAAAGAATTGGCATCGGGCGAACAGGGCAGGGTCCATGTGCTTCTTGAGCCAAAGAATCTTGGGCACCTCCATCTCAAGCTGCTCGCAAAGTGAAATTAGCGAGGTATACCAGATTAGTAGTTGATGCATACACTCATGGTTCCGCCGACATAATTCAAGACAATCGACCCAGTGGAGTTGATAAGTTCAGCCTCCTTCTCAGCGCGATGGTCTGCCCACAGAATGATGTTCCGATGGCCATTCTTTCCGATATCGTGGCCTTTGGTCACTGTTATCGGATTCGCGTTAAAATCTGACACAGCGAGAGAGCAGGTAGCATCGAAGCCAAGTCCCTTGACTGCGGTCGCGGGAATGTTAGACTCCTTTAACACTTCTTTCACTGCGGTACAGATCTGCTCCCAAATATTGTTCGTTGATTGCTCGAAGATGCGATGATCATGATGATCGCGCCAAGTGATGGTGTCCTTTGTGGAGGACGCTTTGATCTCGCCATTTTGTGCGACGAGAGACGCACGAGCAGAACCAGTGCCGACATCGATACCGATGAAGTAGAATGCGTCGCTTCCCATTGCAACGGGTGGGGCTATGGCAATATTAATGGTGGTGGTCAGAGAGGAAATCGAATGATTGAATCAAAGCGCTAATAATACATATGTAGTACGACAAATATTGGAAACTCCACGGAGTCCACGCTCGGTAAGTAGCCGGCACGAGACATCATGCCATTACAGGTCACATGTTTGACGCGTCCGAGTCGCAATTGAGGAGCTGTAATCTGTACCCCATCATGATCTAGATGCACGGCTTGGCTTTCACATTCATCGTGATACAACATGTTCGATTTACCTGTGGACAGTAAAGAACTGGTTACAAAAGATATAGTACGTGCGCGATCACGATCAAGTCTCATATCGTGCCCCATTCATGGAAGCTCAGATCTCAGACTCCATATCTCCGTCTCCTAGCTGCTCTCCAACGCTCGCAGTCAGCTTGCCGATGGTTCTGATGCAACATACTTTCAAAGAGTGCCGCTTACTGACTTGAGCAAACCACGAGGACATGCAGGAAAATGTATGAAGTCTGCGCACACTCTGCGCCAAAGTCTGGGGGCACATCTGAGCAACGTCTGCGGTCTGTGATTGGAAAGTTCCGGGCGGTCAAAGGTCTGTCTGCATCATCGCAACCACCGTGCCAGTCGACGTCAAGCCACTGTCACGGATCCCGCTATCTATGTCAAATGTCATGCCAATCTCGCCATCCTTGTCGGCTTGCCGTCACGGTTCTAGGGAGGACACGGTAACCGTATAGCGTGGACTGGGAGCTGCAGCCAATGACGTAGTGTTGGTAGGCGGGTAGGAAATAAGCCAACAGAGGAAGTAGTAGACAGACAGGCGTGAGAGACTCGTAGGGATTAGAAGAGATGGAGGCGAAGATCCTAATGGCAGGCAGGCGAGATGATAATGACATCGTGCGGCGGCCTTTACAGACTTCTCGGCACTTTGGGAATCCGAGTGACCTACTGAAAGGACACAAGTCTGCATTCAGTTTACCTAAACCCATATCGGCCAAATACCGCGCTTTCTGCAAACCACAATCCCATTGTTGAAGTTTGGTGACGGCCGAAGGGAGCTTTGTGGGTGTAGAGACACATGCAAAGGGCAGCTGGGTCCTGAGTATTGAATACATGGACATCATGCCGATTATTATATCCTTGTACAAAACTTACGCTTCCCAAGGATATTGTTGTCTCATCGTTGCCGCTTGGGAGACATCATATCTTGCTTTGAAATTGCTTCCCCAACCAGCGGCGACGTGGTCATCTCGATGGGCATGAATGACTTTGGGGCTTGGTGTGGGCAGAAAACAAGCTACAGCATCTCCGATAGTAGTTTCGTTTGATAACCTCGTCAATGGACGCTCTATCAATCTCGGGGAGCTCGTTGCCGAGTCCGTTGTTACAGGACCTCATCATGCCGTGCTGTGCGAGCCGTTCTCGGTAATAAACACACGCTCGTTGGCTGGACCATACGGATGTTGTGCCGAGCCCATCAAGGCCTGGCCATTAGGAGGATATGCGCTGGATGGAAGAATTGCTCGAGTATGGCTGAAAATGGGACCAGTTGGATATTGTTACAAACATAATATACAGCTGAACATGATGTATGCGGAACAGAAAAAAAAACAGCCAACTATTGAAGATGCAGGGCAGGATAGAGGCGGAGCAGATGTCACTGGTCATCCATGAGGTCCATGTCGTGATGGATTTGCCGAACGGTGGTTTCCTTCGAAGCGGCGAGCTGTAACAACACATGAGCATATCATAAAAGCAGTAGAGGACCTCGTAGAGTTTGATACCCTTCCTATCAGTAACTTTGATGCAGAGCATTAGCTTGGAGGATATGATAAAGGACGGAACATGGGGGCCAAACCTGAGTAGCGTCCTTGGCTTCATTATAACGGTGCAACAGGTTTATGTGTTTTGATACGATAGCCTCAGCGCTCTCATTCTCACTATAGATTAATTCAAAATATCAGCACGTTCCGTCAGAGTCAATGATCATCTGTTCCAACCCTATCCTCTTCTGTAGGACATCAATTTCTGCCTGAAGTTTGTCAATGTATTCCTTTTGTTTCTATACACAAATTTGAACACACTCATTATACGAGTCTGACTTAAAATTTGACATACCTTGGCGGATGTCACGGCATGCATGATTGTCTGTCTGTTCTCCTGTAAAATGACGAGTATGTGAAAATTCGAAAGTGACGAGTAACGGCGGGAATGCAAGTTGTGCAACAGCGGTGTTGTTGATTATTTGTGCCACCATTCCTCCACTTTCAACTTGAAAGGCTTTCAAAACGTCGCTCAGACTTCTCTGGCCCGAGTCGCGCTATCATTCAAATCACTCTAGTCGATTAGCTTCCTCCTCAACCTCTCTTCCAAGGCAGATTTTCTGTTCCTGGAGGGAATACTAGGCGCCGTTCTCGCGATACGCAAGCCCAAACAGTAATACATCCCTCAGGGGAAGGTTTCTGATTCCATCTTCGAGACAAACCAGTTGAAGGACACCGAATGCCCTGTCGCCAGCACATATATGTGAGATATATATGCTTTACTCAAGTAGTTCCCAGATTCCTCTCTATCTCTGTCGAAAACAACAGCGACAGAAGAACAAATCGTTGGTACTTAGGTTCTGCATCAGGTGAGGCTCCGCAAGATTATCAACCGAAGCCTAGTTGGACTGTTAAGGTATGTCTACAGCATTTATAGTGAATTATCTTGAACGTGGTGTAGGTGGCAGTGAAGAACGTTCATTCATTCATTCGAGTTAGATAGTGATGCTTTAGGTGGAATAAGGCGCAGACAGTGCCCTTTTGCATGGCATGTCAATATATCTAATCATGAGCTCCACTCGGAGAGTGCGTCATGAGCTCAAAGTGTGGGGTCGTCTTAGACATGATAGTATCCGTCCACTCTGGGGAGTGGTAAATGACTTTGGGCACTACCCCGCAGTGGTTTGCTCATGGGCTGACAATCTATCTCGAGCGCTAGCACGACCTCTTGTCATTTCAAGATAAACTCTTGTCAACTCTCTTTCGTGTCTGCAGAAACGTGCTGAGTTTACTGACCTTGTCAGCCAAGAGAAATTGCCTTTGCATTGCAATATCCTAGGTTCTTCTACTGCAGCCAATTTTCCAAACACTTATGCATGCTCAGTGCACAGCAACTTAATTGTACATGATGACCTTGCAGGGGTGCAGATGACCACATACAGAAAGTATACTCGTCGCTCACGTCCTGATTCTCCAGGAAAACGTCTTGATTTATGGCAACATGCTGTTCCAGCATTGGTGAGATTTTTGCCTTGCATAGCAGTACAGGCGAGTAAATTGCACATTCTCAGCTTTCACTACACTAATGTATATCTATCACAGGTCCTGTGTGTGGAGGGTATGTGGGAGGTATAACTTAAACGTGTATCGGAGGGCTACCTTTCTTCACCTTGTTGAGAGTTACATGCAAAGGAAATCCGGTTATAGGAGAACTTGATTCATATAAATATCATTAGTTGGTTCACCTCGGAACCAGTCAGTCAGCGTTCCAAAGCGCTTTGCATTCGCCGCCAGCCTGTAAGTCATCCGAAATATTAGTATCTAGCAGGTAATCTTCTTCCTAACCACTACCCCGAGCTGAATCATATTCTTTCAAGTTACAGAGGGGTACAGACTATTTGCCTTCAGAGCCTAACCCAAAGTCTTCAGACCGAATTCCACTGCGGCCCTTGCCATCCTTACCCCTGACTCCCCATTGTTTGATGACGAGACCACCGGGTCAGTGATATTCTTCCACAACCTCACTATCGGATATGTCACTCGCGCGGTTTTTAATTGAATCACTCCATCAGCAGTTTTTTAAAACCGACTCTACAGATGAGAAATTGTCATTGAAGTACCCTGGTACTTAGTACATAAAATTCATATTTTGGGACCTGGAAAAGTATGTAAGGCACTCATACTCAGGTGACGATAATATATTACCTATGAGGTGCATTTTGTAACGTCTTGGATGAGTATCAGCTTAAGAGCACCCACGAAATATCGCATGTCTCAAAGTTCGGAGGCGCTTGCTTGGGGTTTTGTCATGACCATGGCTTGTTGTGCACCAGCTATCAAAATCAAATTATGCGGCGGAACAAAATGCCCCTCGCACGGGACAGTAGACTAAACAGTATGGTACTCATATTTCTATATTTCCGCACAGGATCGCTACGCATCTCTGTGGGCGAGGACACCGAGAATTGTACGTCCAACGCTGGTCACAGGACGAACGCACTTATGATAGAAGAAGTTTAACTTCTAAGTCACATACAGGTGCCTCACACTGAAACCCTCCCCACTTCATAGAGTCGGGGATATATGGAAGGATTCCCATATATTGAGTACGCTATCGAAAGTAACCAGTCGACATTTCCTTTAGGCAAAGCTAGTAAGTCATATCAAAAAGACTGAAGTTTGTCCATCAAAATCGCCCACTCAAGTACAGTCACACCTTTCTTCAACACCTCCTCCTTCATCTCCCTGTCTCTTGTTTCCTCTCGCAACCGGGCAAATGCACGGAGGTGTTCCTCGCGCCGAATTCCGAGACTAGCAAGTATAGGTGCTATATGAAGCAACGTCGGTTCGCAAGACGAAAGCACCGTTTCAACCGATGACGTAGAGGTTGAACGAACGCCCATTGCGGGCGCAGAAGGCCAGCTTCTACTAGGATGGCTACGTGGAGGCGAGTTGCTGTTGCTATTGGTACTCCTGGTTGGTGGTCGTTCTTGCGAAAAAGTGGCTGGCTGCGGTTGTAGTGGTGAGGTTTTTACATGCTTGGATAGAGCTTTGAGTTCAGCCATTGTGTATATCCGTTCAGAACGTGTCGGGCTTGGAGGAGAACACTGTTTGTCGCGTTTTGCTTTCTTCCCCTGAGGTGACCAGTTCGCGTTGAGATCAGACGGTGTGTATAATCTCTCCGAGCGATATGTCTGAGAAGCACTGGAGCGGCTTCTTCTGAGTCCTGATTTCAGATTCTGTAGGCTTTGGTGGTCAACGTATATTCGATTTGATGATGTATTGAGGCACAGACCTCTATATCTCTGGGCACTGGCGGCGACTTGCTTCGCCACTCCTGGGTCCGTTGAGCGATATCAGCGGCAATATTCCCAACCACGTTCCCAAATTCATCCTTCTCCTTTCTCGCAACATCTTCCCTCCACATGGAGACCGTCGTTCCACGTTCAACGACTTTCGATCTTGCCTCAGACCCACGACGCTTTATAGTGCCTACATGTTGTTGCCGCTTGTCCGATGAATGTACAGTCTCTTGATCGTTAAGCCCCGCATCGAGCACGCGCCTCGCGAGCTCCTCGGCATAAAGGTAATCTTCTTGTTGCAGATCAGAAGCTCGCCCATAGTCGACTTCATGTTTCTCTGCCCACTCCCCATAAACTCCATACACGCCACTATATCGTGCGGCATCTTCTATCTCCTCTTTGTGGACATGCACCTGCGTGACACCATCAAATCCCCGCATCTCCGACGCAGTCTCAAAGTCGACGTCCTGGGTCACGGCGTCAAAGTCATCGTTTACGATCTGGACCGTCGTTGGTGCTCGGGGGTGTCTGTGTCTGCGAGCCACGGGGGCTTGAACGGATATCTCATGAGATGAATCTTGATGCCCATCGATGAGTCCAAATCTGTTGATCAATTACTCAAAGGTGATACTCACCGCTATCTGACCGTCGATACCGCATTTTCCGCGATGGATAGCGGCCTTGGGTGCTGCTTGTATACCCCGATGCGATGATCCTTTGTCGATGTCAAGGGTAAAGTCAGGAGCCAGGCATGTGCCACTCTCTCGGTCTGTTTCCGAACCTGAGGTAAACACGAGGCCTTATGCGTTCGAACCTTTGAATGCGGTGCCTGGTTTACTCCACCTTTTGCAATCTGATCACGTAGAATGAAGTGGTCGAGCTGAAACGCGTCCTACACGTGTTTTTTGGAGTGTGGGACACCGTTCATGTCTGATTGATAGAAGGATGGTGTTTTGGATTGAACGGCTAATCATATAAGTATTGGGCAGTAATATACAATGCGAAGAAATACATGCCGTGATACAACATTAATAAGATAGTGCAGACATCGAAAAACACCTAGCAAATAATGAAAGAGGAAGGGGAATGTGCTACGTGGTTGACCAGTTATTTCTTCGTCTTGCTCTTTTTGTTGCTTGATGCTCCTGCTTTCTCTTCTGCCTGATATGATGTTAGTAAAGATCGTCGTGCTTCGAACAGATACTCACCTTCCGTTTTGTTCCCTTTCCGTCTTTAACAGTTTTACTTTTTGATTTTGCGTCGTCGACCTTCGACTTCTTCGGCGAGGTTTTGGTTTTTACTGAGAAGAAGCCATCAAGACGACCTTGCTGCTTTGCGTTTAAGAATTTTTGTAGCTTTTCGGCACCTTTGCGGACTCTTTCCTCACTTGTATCCGTGTCAGTCGGTGGCTGTGTCAGTGGAAGACCGTGCTTACTTGAATCCTTTCTCAGTGACCAGGAACTGCACAAGACCATCGATATCTGGGTCTTTCCACTCGAGCTGACAAGAATGTGAGTGGTCATGCTGATGGAACAGCAGGGAATAGATTTCATACCTCCACCTCAGAAGCCGGGACTACGTCAGGTTTTTCAAATAATTTCTTTGCCTCTTCCCAAGGCCAATCTTCGGGGACTTGTACGCCTCCCTTTTTCTTCTTGACACCATCTTCTGCGTCAGCGGCTTTCTCCTCCTTCTCCGCCTGCCTAAGGTGACCACGTGAGGGACATGAAGTTGCGTAGGGCTAAAATCGCGTACTTCTCGCGCAAATGCTCGACGACACCTGCAAGCCCACCATGCTCTCGTATGAGCTTTAAAGCACTCTTCGGGCCAACTCCTCTTATTGGCTCAAGATAGTCGCAACCGAGTAGTATACAGAGGTCGATGAACTTGTAAAAGTTCAGTTTCAGGATAAATCAGGGGCCATATATAGAACGGACCTGTGACATGTCCATCTCGAGACCTTCGAGTGCCTTTTGGAGGTTTATCTCACTTATAGGTGCTTTCTTTGCCTCGGAGAAGGTCAAGTGCCGGTAGAGAATGGGTGCGTTGAAGGTGAGGGTGTCCATATCTTCTGAACCTGCTGCGTATACCTAAATTTCGGTGAGTATAAACATCGACGCTATAACGCATTGCAGACCTTGCCTCCCCTGGCGAGCTCTGCACATTGTGCCTCTGCTTCAGATGGCGCCTGAGAGTGTATTAATAATTGAGCCACGGAGCATATTAAAAGACATACTACGATGACAGGGATACCCATAAGTTTCAGTAGTTTTCTACATTCTTCGTTGTGCTCTTTTGTGACTTTGACGGTTCGTCTAGAGAGCTTGTCGACATCCTCTGCAGTACCGGTTTCTTTAGCCTCTTCACCTTCTTCCTTAGCTTCCTCCCGCCTTTCAAAACGTTTTGAGAGCTGTGAGAAGGTGAGGATGATCCATACATAATATGATTGAGCCACATACCACGCCCGACTTGAGCTCGGGAGGTTTGCCATCGAATACATACGCGGGTTTGATACCATTCTCGACTATACGTATAGTACGATAGAAAAAACCCATCAAATGACTCGTCGTCTCCCCCGCATCGTTTGTGAGCATCTCGCCATCCTTCTGGCGGACAGCAATAAGGAACTGGTATATGGACATGGACGCGTCTATGGCGACTTTGCGTCCAAAGAGGGTCTTAATCTCATGTTCTGTAATAGCCTTTGGTGCATGCTCGGAGATGAGTGCTGTGAGTCCTTTGATTCCCATGTTTTTTTGGTTGTGTTGGATCTCGACGTAGTGGATGGTGGTGAGGTGTGTGACAATAGTCGCGTGACAATTGTGACGCGACTGTGACACAACGCGATGTGACCTGTGTGTTTCCTCCGAGGGACAAGTAGAATGTGTACATGAGCCATTCACTTTCCTTACACAATGTGGTCGGTTCTCGTCCACAAAAACGCAGGCGCTTCTCACTTCACGAGGATCACAATGTCGAACTTGAAATTAAATCCGTGACAGAAGGTGCGCGGTAGCCCAGAACTTTCTGTGTAACCTACACCTGATATTTTTCAGATGAAGCCGACCTTGGAATACGCCAACTTATTGCTGAGGAGATTGACCTGGATATTGCTATCCGCCAACGCCTTCTAAACACCATCGAATCTCGCATAACATGGGCACTTATCCTGCAGGAGGCTCTCACTCGGGACTCGTCCACTCCAGTTCCTGATGCTACACTAGACGACTTTCAAGAAGCTGCTTTAGACGCCCTTAACGCTGTCGAAGTACCTTGTGCCTTCTTATTTGATCGAGAAGAGTCAGTATACGATGACGCTGAACCTTCTTCTCTTCGTTCATTCTCCCCTGTCGCCCCAACACAGCGCGAGCGAATACCTCCAAAGGTCAGGCCGACACGTACGGCTGCAGCAAAATTGCATCCGCAGAAAAAGCTGCTCTATATTCGTCTGCCCCTTTCACAGACAGCCACTGATGAGCAGATTGCTATCCTTACTTGTCCTACTTGTACTCGCACACAATTCAGTACCCTTCAAGGGCTCTTGAATCACGCACGGCTTGCTCATGGTACTGAGTGGGCCAGTCACGACGCATGCATCACGGCTTGTGCTGTTCCGATACCCTCCAGTGATGATGTGGAGAAAGATCGGGTCGAGGAGGAAGGTGTTGAAGTACCTTGGGGAGGCAGCGTCGTCGGTCTACAACGACTATTTGAACGAGCTGTCGGTGTCAATATTCCCGCATCTCTTGTTTACGAAGAAGGGCAGGGAGCTGCAGCCATACCCAGCACCTTACTCTCACGCACCCTCGGTTTACATGCAGACTCCCCTGCCCTTGCTCCGTTTCTTGGCAGAACCCCCAAACGGAGATGCATACATGCTTATGAGGAAGATACAGAAGTTGACATTCTGAGTATTGATACTGCCCCATGCAGGCTTTCCCCCGGTTTCGAAAGTAGGGAAGGCGTTACGAGGAGAGCAGACGAGGGCGGTGGTCATCCTTGGCGAATGGCTTTTCCGCATCGAAATAAAGCTCGCCCTGAACTCGATCTCATTGTCGACGTGCCTGCTCTTGTTGATAACGCTGCAGAAAATACAGCAACTCCCGCGATACCAGGAAGCACAACTTCACGCTTCCATATCACCGCTCGTGTGCATATCACAGATAGAAGTTTATTTATCTCGCCAAGTATGCTCACATTCTGCAACATATTCATTGAATCTAATCGTATCCGTGTAGGCCGACGGTTAGACCTCGGTATTCCACCGTCGCATACTCATCGGTGGATGCTCAGTGTCACTGCTCCTTCTTATGTGCGTGTGTTCTATTTCCCTCGTCCTCTAAGCCTTCTGATAGATATCTATGTTTCCGTAGTCGATACCTCTGGCCTCATTCATGATACGCTTGACAGTTTTGGCGGTGGCTCCATCTGATAATACTCAACGGCAGCCTTGTACTGTGGACAAAGTGCCCTTTGCCATCATAGGCTCATCTTCTGAGCCCTTTCTTGCGAAGGTCGTAATGGAGTGGGCCAGTGGCGGGAGAATGGAAGTAGAACATTGGATTGATGTATGTCTTGCTTTCGGCCTCGTGTCACTCGTATTCAATCTTCACGTAGCTTGACCCTGGGAATGCAGCGAGCTCTGTCTTGGGCTCGGAACAAGTTCTCGATGTCGAACTTGATAGAGGGACACGCCTCCTCCCTGTTCCTTCCGGTCCTCCACTGCCTATTCCTTCCTTGGAACGTGAACCTGCAGAAATTACAAGGCAATCTATGACGAGGCCTCAAGAATTTCCAGATGAATTAGGATATGAGAAGGTTCTACGGAGTTTGTTGCCAAGAGTCCCTATGACGCTCAAAGGTATTTCTGACTAGCGCTGCAGCGCGTGTTCATCTGCGATTTTCTGATGCTAACGTTACCATAGATATGAAGTTCCGTTCACCTTCCCAGGTACCATATAAGCTCGTTCCCTCACCGGCGCATCTTTTAGCGCTTGTACCTGGGAGACGGAAAGCCATTGAAGTGCGTATCTGTATCGTTATCGACCTTTTCGCTTCATGTTTCTAAATTTGTTGGTAGTGGGGAAGAGCCCGAGCACTGCAAGCACTTTATGTTCAGCACGCTGCCTCGGCCTCCGCAGAATTGATCTCCCTCACTGTTGGTGATGTCTATGCCTTCCTAGAAGACTCGGGGCTTTTTCCGCGTTCGTCTTCGAAGATCGAAGTTCCTGTACCGAGTGCGAAAGAAAAGAAGGACAAGGAGAAAGAATCCACGCTTTCGCCGGCGGATGAACCCTGCTTTGTCTGTGGCATAAAGAAACGCTTCCACCCTATACTTGCTGCCGCTGTCAAAGTGAAAAAGGAGCCTGTTTTTGACGAAACAGGAACCTGGGTTTGCGACATCGTTCCGCCACACGAACTGGAGCGGGGTTTACGAATACCCATTGTCGATTTGATGAAGATTTTTGGATGTGGACTCGAAATTGTCCTATACGCCGGGGAAACTGCGGGCGATGTGGGACCATCACCGCATCAACCCATAGCTTCTTCTCTGCTCAGACCTTGGCGTTATTCTGCGCGGCAGATTACCTCGTTAAGTCCACCAGACCTCATTCTTGCTATTCATAGAAGAGTCGGGTCTTTGCGTCTTCCGCATTTCCCTGAACTTCTCTCTCCTTCTCTGGATAAGCGTCGTACAAATTCGGAGATCGAAGAGGCATTCGCACCATCAGCACTACTAGCCGCTATGCTCAAACCGTTTATTGCCGCCCTTGTACGCTCTGCAGTGGACGTTGCAAAACGGGATATTGCGATTGCATCTGGTGCTGGGAATGGTGGTGCTGTTCCACTCGCTGGACAAGTCAAGGTGGCACGAACTAAGCGAGGGAGAAAAGTAGGGTCTGTTCTAACTCCAGGACACATCTTACGAGGGCTGTCGTTGCCTAATCCTGTCCGCGGTGGCGGGCTCGCTACGACTACAGTCAAAGATATGTTGAGGCTTTGTCTGGCGAGAGTGGGAGTGCCCGTGGAGTTCGGACGATCATTAACGCGGGCTTCTCTCCGTCAGATTTTGGATCGGGATGGCAGTGTGGAAATGGGCGTGATGGGTGAAGGCGACGCGGTTAAAGTGGAACCGCCATGAATCTTGATTTAGTGGGACTTGATATCTGAAGTGATATGGATCCTGAGTCCAACGCTGCGAGAAAGTATTGCATGCCCTTTTTGTACATCCATTGTGATCCCTGGACTCTGAAAAACAGAAGGCATGCCTTGCAGGATCGGTGAGTCTCTTACGCTTGTAACATTCCGGAGTGGGTGGCTGATGTTGAACCTAGCTAGGATCTCTCTGCCTTGAGAGTGGTGGGTCAACTGACTCTATTTTTAAATATACTCCACATGTTTTGGAGGCGGAAAATCACAAAGGCTCTGTCCTCGGTGTTGCAGTTGGGTGTTACAATCAACGCGCGCGCGTCCTTGCAAATTATATTTGGTAATGTACAATGTTTCAAGAGACTATAATTATGATGCAAAACGCGCCAGTAAATTCATTTTGCAGATTAGTGTCTTCGGTCGCCAGTACCGACTGTGATACGCATCGCATGGCTTGAGTCACGGGCCTTGCCTCCGATAACCCTTATTTGTCCACCACATGACACTGTGGTAATTACGTACATTTTACAGATGTTTGAACTTTCTTGTTTTCGGATGACTGACATCTACCAGACCAACGACCACGATGTACGATGAGAACTGGGAGAAGCATTAGCATCATGCCACACAACAGCACACAAGGCCTAATATCGCATGTATGAGTCTTGTTCAAGACATCGATACGTTGTTCTCAAACCCGAATCAAGGAAGTCGATTATCCGAGAGAAGTTCACCCGAAATGAATAGGGGGGGTACATCGTGCCGGGCGAAGAATGCATTTATGCGTTGCTTCTGGATCATGGCGCCCATGTATGTATGGGGCACTAGCAACGCACCCTGATTACACACCATCATTTTAGCATCAAAGTTTTCTCTTCGCCTCATCCCGCCAGGCATGCTAGACAATCGATCTGATGAAACACCTACACATCCCAACAGGAAAGGCGGCCGATAATATCTCACATCACGTCCTTACCACAAGGCCATAAGGACACTATTATCGTTTTGCAGATCGCGCGAGAATAGCGGCTGGATCTTCTGATGAGAGGAAATCTGCGGACTTCAGTACGACACCGAAATCGTGATGTGGATGATGAAGAATATTTTCGATGTACTTTCGATCTTACGGAATGAAACGCGAGCGGTCGCCTCTTGAGGTAAACAGATCACATGGTTTGCTTGTGGCAACTCGTTGAAGTCACGACATCTAATTCGGATTGGGTGTCTCATGTCGGGTTCTCGGGACGGAGTGGTGGCGGAGAGAGAGTAATGCATTGGAAGATCCATCCGACCATAACTCAATCGCATCATGTCTGGAGGTTTCTATATCGGAGATGAGATGACAGTCGTGCATGTTTCAGTATAAATATGCGATGTTTGAATTGAAGTCAAGGAGTCCGTCCCCTCGCCACTCCTGTGAGCAAGTGCCTCGGTCTAGATTTTCTATCTTGTCTGACCCGTTCTCTAGAATATCTTACTTCTGTATCGAAGTCTCGTGCGGAATCTTTCTACTATACTCTATCTTCGAGGTGCGTTCAGATAATGGGAGTTCATAATAATCATGCTGGACACACGAGCGGGCAGGCGAAATGGGCAAGATTACCATTGTCAACAACACAAAAGACAAAATCACCGTTAGCATCGGTGACAC